TGCCTTTCCGATGCCTTTAAAGGGACTGGGAAGAAACAAAATCCATAGGTTCCTTCGCTACGAGATGCTCCAATTGACAATTTCACATACACACATTAATTTTACGGAAAACTTCAAGTGGCAGTTTGACGCGAGGAATTTTGATGGCCACGGAATTGTCGAGCTTGTCGTTTTCAATTTGCATTTCCAGGCTTACCAATCCCTTTAAACCGAGTTTTATACCCAATAACTCCCCCCAAATCCTGCAAATAGCAACCCCCAAATTTTTGACGCAAATCCTCCCACAATGCAGCCAATGTGGAAAACAAGCGGAAGCACGCCGAGCCGAATACAAGCCCTTTCCAGCTTCTCTTCTCTCTCCCGGCCCCTGACATTTGCGGCTTTGAAAATTAGCGGAAATATTTATGTACATCACAGCGTGTGGCGGCGCGCGGGTGAGAAATCGAATTTTGGGGGCAGGAATGGAATTTAAGAGATTGAAAAGTCTCAATATTTCGGAAAAGTTCTTTAAAACCTGCATCGACATCCTACGACAAAAATTGTGGGAAATTTTGTATTGTACTTTTTGGGAATCAACAGTAATTTGGTGACCACAGGGATGCGAGAAAATGGAGATCATTTTGACAGAAAACGTTTGAAGCTACAGTAGTAAACATGGTCCCGGCATGGAAAGGCTCTAGTTTGGTGGGGCAAGGGGGAACGGCATTTGAGGGTTTGGATGTATTTGTATAATTTAGGTTTTCTTGAAATAAAAAAATTGTTATCTCGTTATCTCTCGTTCGCTCTCTCCCCCTCTTTCGCGCGCTCTCTCTCTCACTCTCTCGCTCTCTCGCTCTCGCTCTCTTTCTCTCTGTTTACAATTCCGTTTCATTACCCCCAATCAGGCATACGGTAACAACCAATTCTCCCATCAATATTTACCAAATCCCATTACCTTCTCCCCTGAAATGCCATTCCACCTGGATGGTGGGTGAGGGTGAGAATAGACAGAAATAGCCAGAATCCAAAAATAGCCCTACCGTAGTCAGCCTGGCCCCGATTAACCGGCCGGGCAAAAAGGGGAAAAGAGGGCCCGTTATAGAAAAACGGGGGATAGTAGGGGGGATCGGAAGGGCACGCATCTGGAGAGAGTGAGAGGGGGATGATCCCTCGCCTTCATGTCGTCAGTCATCACAAATCCATTCCATTCGGGGCATCTACGGTCATTCGGAGCATCGTTTACGAGACGGAAGGTTGCGTCGGCGTGGTGGGATCCGTCTGGAAAGGTCTGAGAGTGAAAAAGGAAGAATAGTGAAAAATGTTATGGAAGGTGAAGTGGTTCCGAAAGCCTAATTTTAAAAACATCAACTTTTTACATTTTTATTCGTCAATCCGTAGTTAATTTTTTTGAGCACTTTTGGACTCAGCATTAAGTTATTTTGGAATTTTAAGTTTATTTAACCGACGGGACGCTACTATCGACGTAATTTACATTAGAAATTCGTAATTTTTGAGCAAAGCCCAATTTCGGTGCATGTCAAAGCAAGAATCCCGGAAACAGTCTGTGGAAGACCCCTCGGGTATTTGAGGGCTTTTCGACGCGCCGGCCCGGTTGGTGCCATGGTGTAATGGTTAGCACGCTAGGCTGTGGGGTGAACCATCGCTGGTTCAACTTCCGCCCGCTTCAAAAGTCTTTGCTTTTTCGCCGAGTGCATCTCTCACGAGCCCGTTAATGACGTTTTAAAAAAGCGCGATCATCATCGCGATCATAACCTTTAAATTCCTTCTTTACGATCCATTTTGCCAAAATCATTTTTGATATTTTCAAGTGTTCAAAAACCTGTTTTTACCCAGCCACGCAACACTTTCAACACAAATAACATCAGTAACATTTTAAAATGCCGTTGCGCAATTTATAATCACGTATAGGTCCAAAATCCGAGCATATTGTCACCGGGCCAGCCCGGACTCCGCGACTCGGCTAATCCTTACGAATTCAACCCAGATCACTAATGCTGAGTGGAATGGCGGGGAATGTAGTTTTTAGTGTTGCAACCATTTCGGAACGGAATTATTGCGTGCGGAAATGTGTTCTTTGGAAATAAGAGGGACCAAGAAGAAAATGGGACCATGTATATCTTGTGCAGAATTATGCGCTGATACCACGATTTCAAATATGTTTTCAGAAGAAGCGGTATGATGATATTTGAGAAGCTAAACCGTAATTTAGTGCCCCACAATTGAAAAGACCCTAAATGAATGACAGATAAAAATTACCGGAAAATATTCCCGAAGGTTTTAAGGTTTTATTGAGAAAAACACAGACTTAAGGATAAAGTTCAAAATGCGTTCACGACGGAGCGAAAAAATACTTGTTTAGCTGGCGCACCATCCACAGGTGATTTTAACTTAAGGGATTTTACGTTTTGCATTCATAAACTTTGAAACATATACATCTGAAAGCCGATGTTTTCTGAGTAAAATCTGCTATCTAACTCTTCCGAAAGGTGAAAGTTTCCACGTAAGTGAAACACGTTACTGTGTTAGGCTTGGGCTTAGGCTTTTGTGGTCCAAATCTGGAAACAAAAGTTGAAACATACCAAGTTTATAGGTTGCAGCATGACTGGCCGAATGGTAGGTGGCGGTTTTTCCTGAATAATTTGAATTCTTGAATCCGGAATAGGAGTACTGTAAGTGTGAAATTGTCAAAGGCGCCCTCTTCTCGGAGAATGGTCGTGATGTTCGATAGAATTTGATCACCGTAGATGCGTTGGTAGTTCATGTTTTCTCTGGAAAATAGAATATTTAAAAGCTATAGAATTTTAAAAAATAGTATTAGCCTGAGGCTTTAAAAACCTACTGTAATACCCCATTCAATGGGGAACTATCTGGGAGGCCTCTTGCTCTTGCAGCTTTCAGCCGGCGTTCGACGGTTTTGTACTGAATTTGGAGCATTTTGTAGTTTGTAATTTACAGTAAATATTTCCAATTTGGTTTTACTGGTTTTAATGCATCGCGGGTTTTTAATTTAAGCAAATTTCAAGCGGCAGTATCTACAGTTTTGCTTTACTAACCTTCTTGCCTTGCGGATTTTTTCACTGAACATTTTTAAGGCCACAGTACAGTGCGGGTCAAAATGATAGGTCCACCTAGTTTTTGTCGATTTTCTCGGCGGGGAAATAATTTCTGACTAACCCAAATAATAGGCCTTGTAGTCCTACAAAAGACGAATTTTTTGATCTACTTGAAATGACTTGAAATCAACGGGAAGCCGATTTAAAAATCAAACAATAAAATAGTGCCAAAAACCGATGTGTCAAAATGATAGATCCACACTTTACATATGATTACAATCAACAATGGGTATGAATATTTGATGCTAATTATATTCTAATTATGGTAATCATTTTCCAGTTGACTTTTTTGAGATAATATTGCTGCTATGCATATTTTTCTACATTGCATCCCGATCAACATCTAATATTCATACCCATTGTTGATTGTAATTATATGTAAAGTGTGGACCTATCATTTTGACACATCGGTTTTTGGCACTATTTTATTGTTTGATTTATAAATCGGCGATCCGTTTTTATAGAGATATTTTGAATACATGAAAAAATTTGTCTTTTCAAGGGCTATAAGACCTGCTGTTAATATTAGCTTAAAAATCGTTCTCCTCCGAGAAAATTGCGAAAAAGTATGTGGACCTATCATTTTGACCCGCACTGTATACTTTCAGCCCTAAATCACTCATCATTTCTGTTTTGCTCTGCTCTACCGTATCCCTATATTTTCGTTCCTTCGTAGTTATTAACTCTACCAATTGCCACTTATATCAATTTGGCTGTTTGCCGGAGTTCTTCGAGAATCCGCCACCCCCTAATTGCGCATAAATTAGCCCCAATTATTGGTGGACCCGAAAATCTCGGGCAAAAACTGCCCCCGCCCGATCTGCACTTTGTGAACACCCGTTCTTCTGACGCAAGCCGAGGGAGGGGGAATTTCGGCGAAAACACGTACTTCCCGTTCCACCACTGGAACAGGAATCAGCTATACGGTAGTTGAACGACGTCGTCAAAAAAAACTCGGGGGCTTCACATCGCCCTGTTTTTCGGGTTTTCCAGGCAATCATGGCCGTTGAATTGGGAATAGTTATATTTAGGGGATTAAGGGGGTGTTGAGGGCACTATGGTGCCGTGTCGTCACTGTGTTCGGTTGGGGAGGAAGTGCGGAAAAAATATTGGGGGAAGGAACGGTAAGAGGATTTGAGGGAAGCGGCGGGAAAAAAAAATTTATTTTGCTTTGTGGTTCCAAATCCCTTTCACGAGGAACAGGAAGCCGAGCCAGATTTAGAGGGCTCATTGGCACGAGTTCGGAAGATATGCTCGCACTCTTGTGAAATGGGATTTATTGGAGGAGTGCTGCATACGGTAGGTGATGCGAGAGAGGAGAATTGTGTTTTAGTGCGGGGGGACACCGATGTGATTTTTGAAAAGAAGGCCATTTTAGTTCTTTAGATATTTAGACATCAATAAGGGAGAGAGAGAGAAAGAGAGAGAGTGAGAGAGAGCGAGAGATAATTCCATTTTTAAAATCTACTAAAATAACTTACCGCTTCCAAATCTGACGGCTCCTGAATCGACCTTCCTAAGCACATCATAATCAGATGAAGCACTCCTGGATTATGCGAATAACTAAAATTTATAGTTTAATAAGATAGAGAACTTCATCGTAATTTTGCTATTAACTCCAATATTTCTAAAATTCTAATTAATCTGAAACTTCCATATCTCTCTTGGCCCTCCCATTTGCATATCCTCCAATTTTTAGCACTTCCGCGTTAATCGAACGTATTTTTTCAGAAAACCCTCATAAACCCAAGATTCCGGAAATCCGAACCGCCGCAGTACTTTGCGCTTTTGGTAATGCGATTTTTAATGCCAGTTCCGGGAAACTATGAAATCATAATAAAAAGTCTAATTTTCAAGTGAACTTCCCATGCCTACATTGGCCCTTTAAAATTTTTCCACAACTGACTTTGCCACAATCTGCTCGACATTCTCAAGGACAAAGCTCTGGAAGTGATCTGGGTATGAGGGTTTCATCGAGCTGCAACGCGATCGCACATCTTCACGCCGCCCAAAATCGAACAGCACCGCTTTCCAGGTCCTAAAAATCGCTTTAAATTTTTTGTAGCTTTTTTATTTCCTAACAAGAATTAAACCAGATATTTTTCAACCCAAGATCTTAAATTTCGCTACACTCAATGCGTCATCACCAATTATTTACACGAACACCAAAATCCATTCAGCTTTAGAGATTTGCGGCTCAGCCAGGGCAAAGAATATTTTCCCGGTTGTGCTCGGGGCGCTTAACCTTTTTATTTTGGCCAAAACCAGCGTTCAGATCGAGCATGTCTGTCAAAAATGCGACACGGAAGGGGTGAAGACGCATTTGCATGGTTTGGCTACACCGCAAGTATAGTAGGGTTTAGGGAAATTACCGATGAAGATGCTCCTTTTTGGGGCTATTCGCCAGGCCGTAGAAGATACGATCGCGTTCCATCTGAAATAAGTTATCAAGAAAATTATAAAGAAATACCATATATTGTTCATTCGTCCATTTTTCGAAGAGGTATTCAAATTCTTCATCACCGCCGTAGTGGACGACGGTTTGGTAGATTGGGGTGCGCATGAAGTGGGGGATACTGTAACAGGGTTGTGTTTTCGGAGGGCTTTAGGGGCTTACTGATTGCAATCGACATCGCTGAGGGGCTTTGATCCGCAGGCTTCCTTGGTTTGTTTGAATATTTTGCGGGCGTATTCGATGCAAGGTTCGTATCCGGTCGTGCATACGATAATTGTTACCATACCGCGGAGCGAGCTGAAAATACAAATCTAAAAAATTCAAATTTAAATTGCACTAAAAAGTTTTAAGAGTACAAAAAGTCGTTTCTATTAAACGACGACTCAAAAAAGTACTTTTTGAGTCGTCGTTTAATAGATTCATTCGAACCCCCCACTTTTAGTTATGAAAATCCATTTCTCAAGAATTTTATTACCTTTAATTTTTATTATTTTCTATTTTCACCAATTTCCAGTCACCATGTTTTGCCCACAGTAAACTATCTTTTACAAACCGTTCTCTCTCATCTCTCTCTCTCTTTTTTCTCTCTCTATCGCTCTCGTTCTCTCTCTCCAAATCCAACCCTAAGCAAAAAGTTGACCTAGGTCGTCTGTATCCGGCTTACTCCCCTCACATCAGGTTTACCAAGAAAATCGCACACTCCTGGAAACTCCCTCAACTCGCGGATTTTCGGGGGGCTTAACGTAAAAACACGCACTGATCATCCCCAAATCAGTGTCCACTACACCCATTTTTCGTGTAGGATTTACGAGGGCGACCAAAAAACACCCATCACCTAGTGGTATCTGTTAAAACAACCACCCATCCAGTGGTATCTGTTAAATTCTCTTAGACGAACTCCTGAAATATGGGCACATCTTCGCCGACAGGTTCGCCGATGAATTTTTGGAAGAGCGGAAGGTAGAGGTGGCGGATGAAGAGCTACAAGATTTTTTGGTGAATTGAAGACATTTTAAAATTAACCTGTACGATCTTGACTTCTGTACGACGCACAAAACGGGCGAGCATGATTTCGAAATGGGAGCCAGTGATTTGGAGGGGGAAATATTCGGTCTGGAAAGTGAAAGATGTTACTTTAAACCTTCATACTTCTCAACCCCTTCACCACCTACCTCTTTTCGTAAATATAACGCCAACCGGAATACCGTCTCAAACGATAGCTCCCCAATTTCAGCAAACGTAAATCCATCATCAAGAAGGCGAATTCTGAAAACAAATATTAAGTAAGGCCCCCGGAGTTCGTGCTCACCTGCTCGAAACTGGGACGGCCTTGGGATCTTCGTGTAGCGCCGTGGTTATCCGATCGTACGTTTCCACGTCGTAGCGTATTCTACCGTACATTCTGCCCTCGCGATCGAGCACCAGATCTCTTCGCAAGTCGAGCTCCACTGAGACGTAGTAAAATTACCGTATTTACCGTATGTCATTCTGCCTTTAAAAACAGTACCTGTCCCATTTTCCACAAGCCACTTGACAACGGTTCGATTTGTCTCTTGATCTCTAACAAACATCGGGATCTTCCATTGGGTTGTGTCGTTGGATTTGAAACGCTAAATATTAACTTTAAAACCGAATATATAACCACTAAGAAATATACATTATGAAAGATTTTTTCAAAGAATTCGATAGAAATCATTAATTTATAGTAATCCCACCCGAAACGATTTTTGAGTTGCAGTCCACGCAGAATCGTTTGTGTTGGCTCTTTCAACCTAAGGATCAATAAATAAAATGTAATTTTCAAGGAACTACCTTAATCAATGGCAACCCCCGTTGATGGATCCATTTTTCCACCACATCGCCTAGCGAAAAGTTTTGTTCGAAGAGGTGTGTACGAGTTTCGGCAGCATCGTGCACGCTAAAACGTGCATTGCAATGTTGCGAAAATTTAATTATCTACTACAAGATTTTAAAATAATTCCAACCTGCTCAGCGCTCCAATCAAATCCTCGTGATCCCCGTTGCCATATTCAAGGTTTTTTATGTATTTTCTCAAACCATCGCGAAAAATATCTTCACCGACGATGAATTCGAACATGCGGAGCAACCCAGCAGCCTTCAAAAAAATTTTAAATTAGGTAATAGTGCCTAAATCACCTTTTTGTAGGTAATAATGTTGAATTGGCTATCAGGGTTGACGATGACACCGTACGGAGTTGTCAACGGCATCGAGCGGCGCGATTGGTCATAGCGGTAACTGCGTGCATTGTAATCTACCGCAACTTCGTCCTAAATGGGGATTTTTAATAATATAACCTAGTTGTATAACAAAATTGGCAAAAATCTAGAGTCTAGCGAATTAAGTAATCGAACGAGAATTAATAAGTTTTGATTTTTAAAAATTTAAAACCAACCGTTCGTACAGTAATCCTTTCCGCTTCATCAGCGGCTTTCATGCCAATCATTGTCGCGAATCCTTCATTCAACCATAAAGTATTCCACCACTTCATCGTCACCAGATTTCCGAACCACTAAAGTTAAAGTTAACCCAATTTTTTCGGTAACCGCCTACTTGATGGGCGACTTCATGACTCAGCAGGTCCGTAATTTGGCGTTGGTCGGAAGGGGAATACAGCTAAAGGTATGAAAACTAATAAACTTTTTCTAAGTTACCTGAGAATTATAGAAGACGTGCTTTTGGCGGCAGATTATTAAGCCCCAATTTTCCATGGCGGCTACTCGCATTGTTGGTGTGGCGAAAATATCTGAAAAAGATAGATTTGAGTTTTTTTTCTTGAGTTATATTACTTATTCTTACTTGAATATATATTCTATACTACTCTACTTTACTTTATTTTTCCCATAATAAGTGGTGTTATGGTGGTACGGCTTTACTTCTTTATTGTTCTGTAAGGTATGACTTTGCTACCTTTTCAGGAGTGAACATCTTTTGCCCTAGCCCTTCCAATATTCCAGTGATTACTGACAGGTGTGTCGATGTGTCTGTCAAGGTCTTTTTGTCTGTCGGTTTCACCTCCTTTCCCGCTTTTCCTAAGGGCAAAAACGAGAGCCGAGAAGACACAGTCCATCACACCCATTTGGCATTGCATTTTCGGTTTCTGAGCGTTCCGTCTAACTCTCGGGAAGTTTGCAGGAATTGCTTGTTAAGCTCTGCCTCTAGCTTTTAATACCTTAAGATCCCCTGATATTTTTAAAGGGAAAGTGACAGTTTTCAAAAATCACTCCACGACCTCGCTGACCCTCGATGTGACCTTTCACTCAATTTTCCTTTTGTTCCATCCGGTCCTCTCAATTTTCCCTCTTTTATAGATGCCAATCCAAAACCCATAATGAGCGGAAAATTGCTGATAATCATTTTTATTCTTTGTTTATTCAATCTCGCAACGCTACAAATCATTCCAATTTCCCTTAACAGTTTATACCCCTCAAAAATTGTGCATGGCGCTCAGGTAATCCATTTATCGGAAAATCTATAACCTTTCAGCTTTTCCCCGCTCATGATTCCACAGTATATCCAACATTTTTGGAAACAAAAGCCGTTGGTACGGCAATATCCTATGTACAGGTCCCGAGACGGGATACCGATGCTTTATTGTATGATCTCAAAAAAGATGGCTACCTCGCAACGGCTATTTGTGGATATCGGTTCGTTTGAGGGATAGAGCGAGAGTGAGAGAGAGAATATAGTGCCTTGGTTGTCCCTTTAAAGGGATGGTGACAATAAATAGTCCAATTCCAGTTACCTCAATGATACATTCTTTGTAATAAATGCTGAGAAAAGGCCAGGAATTCATTTTGTGGATATTGACGTGAGCATCGAGACATTGCAAAAGCGATCCCATGAATTTACCGACCATCGATATGACGTAAGTAGTAGCGTAGCGGATTTTAAAGCGACTGTAACACATTTCCTTAGCCTATCCACATCTGCGCATCCCCGGGCGGCGAATTGTTCACCTCGATCTGGCATAACCATCCCGGATTTCTATGGCATTATACGATACAGGTGACGTACCCTCAAGATTTTCCTCAACTAAAATTATAGGCAGGTACGGTAGACTCGATTTTGGAAGAAGATCAACAAAGAAAAGCGGAAGGATACTATCCATCTACCCTCCAAGTTCACTTTCAAAATGGCTCTGAAATGTCTCCGTTCAGATTTTCCGCAACGAAACTGCCAACGCTCTGCAAGCACTCGCAATTTGGAAAAAAGGCTATGGTGTACGGTAAGGGTATTTTGAGGAATCAATAAAAAAGATTAGGTATTCTTTGACGAGTTCTTTGACCTTAAAGGAGCTCAATGGAATGGCCCCGGGAGAAGATTACGTTATATCCTCGCTTTCCGTGTCACCACCACCAAAATCTCAAATTTACGAAATCCGCAGAAATGGAGGGTTTTCATGGCGAGATCGTGTGATTCCGAGGGAAGTCGAGTAAGTGTGATCGATTGGACCACAAAAACATCACACATTTAGATTAAAATAAAAAGTAAAAATTTCAGAGGCCACCCCGGATTGGAATACGTACACGCTGAAGTGGAGCACAAAATAAGACAACTTGAGATACCCTCATTATCTATTGCGGTTTTACAAAATGGTCAGCCTCGTCACATTGTAGCGTATGGCTACGCCGACTTGACAGAACTGGCGACGGTAGGTGACCCACTTTTTAAACATCAAAATATACCATTTTCAGGCCACCCCAAGCCACCTTTATCGTATCGCTAGCGTTTCAAAAACCATAACTTCCATGGTCATTCAAGAACTGATAAATTCTAAAAGTATAAGGCTCGATTCTCGCGTTTTTGGTTTGTCTTCAATCTATTAAGCAGCAAAATCATAGGCCCCACCGGAATTCTCGCGACCGACTTCGGTTTTATGCCGTATAACTATTTTCTGCTTTCCATCACTGTGCAAAATTTGCTGGAGCACTCGGTTGGCTCCTGGGAACATTATCGGAAGTATGAATTTGCGAGGTGGGTTGACTCACAAGTGTTTAATTGTAAGACTATGCAGAAAATCGCTGAAATCGCATAAGGCTTTTCTGGGGTGGTTGTTGGATCGGCATCCACCGTGGGTGCGAGTGAATCGGGTATTTCTCTACTCAAATATTGGTTATATTTTGTTAGGGCGAATTATTGAAAAGGTATGGATTACCAAGCGATTGCCAGGTTGGCCTATTATTTCCAGATATCTGGGTCATCGTATGAGAATCATGTGCAGGGTACACTATTCAAAGAACTTCACATGAATGGGAGGGTAGGAAAGCGGAAGAGGAGTGAGAATGAGGTAGTAAATGGATATCTTTAACAATAAGGATATAGGTATCCTATTATTCGCACGACAACGCGAATGCCTATTTCAATTGGGATCCGGTGAGGATGGATGCTGCTGCAGGGTGGACGTTGCGAGCAGCTGATGTTGCAAAAATATTTGGACATCTTGAGAAATATCGGTAGGGTGTGGTTATGCTTGTACTTAGGCTTGGGCTTAGACGTAGAACTAGCTTAGATTCGGTTTAGCTTAGGCTTAATAACTCCAATTTTTTCAAATTAAAATCCGCTTCTACAGATGGACACGTTATCGCGACGTAACCCAACGATCTACATGGAAGGCAGATTACGGTAGAGGCATCCAGATAGGTTGGGATGGGTCGTTATATCACTTTGGATCACTGGCTGGTAAGTTTTTTGCGATTTTAAAGCTTGTAGTTGTAAAAACATAATCCTAAGGAAACCTTTAGGCACTGAAGCGATCGGTTTCTCCAAAAACGGCGTACAATGCGCGCTTGTGGCCAATATTCGAGGGCAAGATGAGAATATTTTGACAGAATGGATGTTGCAATTTTGTCAAGCTATTACTGGCAAATTAACAAATGAATAAAAAACAATATTAACGACGAAGCGTATAACCTACCAAGTTTGGTGAGAGGGTAGTCGTGTTGGAAGTAATCCTCATAATAGTCCAAAAGGACGGGAATTCTTTCAAGAGCCGTCATGGTATCATTTAGTCGGGCTTTTTGTGAATATACACGTATCTAAAATATATTCTGTAATTTGGTAATTTTAATTGTTTTATTTGGCTTAACAAAAAACGGAATCGCACGTAGAGCTACGTACCCGAACTCCCTTTTTCGTATACGTTTCTGTATATTTAAAATCAGACACGCAGAGTGCGAATAGATAGGTGGACATTGGGGGTGTGGTGCGGAAATTTGTAGTTGTCCAGTTCCTGAACAAAGGCGTATAAATTTAAAATATACAAAGTACAAACCCGTCAATTTGTACACTTGTTTCTTTTGTGTTTGTAACAGCATCGGTGCCGGTTGGATGGACTACGGTTGCCTAAATACCTTTTATAAATCTTAAATCAGATTTTGCACCTGAAATTTGGCTTTTGCCTCTGGGACATCAAGACATGGGAACATTCGGCGGGCATCGACCGTTTGAAGATGGGTTGTCAGCTAAAAAAATTGAAGATTTTGCTTTTAGGGACGTTCATGGCTTGGCAAAGGTCTGTAGAAAATCTACCATCCAGTGTTTCTCCTTATAGTACTGATAGGGAGCTGCGTAGACGCCAGTCCAATTTGCGTTCAAAAAGATGCCACTGAAAAACAGACCTTTCCAAAATCCATGACGGTACTACTTACGTATAGTTGAGTTGTACTGTATATGTGGCCCCTAGCGTCAATACATCTTCAACATCAATATGGAGCACTTCTTGAGTATGGTTATGGTAGAAATCAGTGATTTTCACTTCGTGCTGCTTTTCATCAAATACCTGGCAGGTACTGCATGTTTCAATATATTGTGGATACCTGTATCAAAAAGTTTCCTTGTCGAATTGAGTGGAAGAGGATTTTTTGATTTGGGCGTTCACAACGAAATGTTATCTAGAAAACGCAGTTAAAAAAAACAATTAAAATTTTAAATCATTTTGAAATCAGTTAAATTGTCACCTTGGCAAAACCGTCAAATGTAAAATTGCGGCGCCCAAAATCAACTCCCGGGCGGTAGGGCAGAAAGAATTTGAAGTATAAATCGTATCGAGTTGGGATATTGTCGCGGGGTACCTGAATTCAAAAGAATTTTTAACTTTTTGAATTTTTCTAACCTGTTGCCAGTCGTGGATTTCATGTAGACGATCATATGGGTTATGGCGAGCCGTAGTGAGTGGTGTTAAAAAGATGAGGCCTGGAAAAAATCAACGAATTTATTAATTCGTTTTCTGTGAACTTGAATACCTGTGACCAGGATGAACATGAGAAAGAGCCAGACGATGGAGAGCGGAATTCGTGGGTCGATGCCCTGGCGGAGAGATGAGTAGGAAACGAGACGGAACCGGTCCGCTTCTTCCTAACAAATTTGGATGTGAAAAATTAGCCTTCAGCTAAAGTTATGGCTTTCTGGCTTGGGAATCTCTTTAAAAGTCACCTGGCCCATCAGTGGGCAAGCAGAGGGCTTGCCGGAGGCGGCCCTCACATCGAACGCCGTCACGCGCACCACTCTGAAAAAATTCGCATAAGAAATATGATAATTTTTTACAATTTCAGAAATAATTAAGGGACTATTGAAGGTCAAGGATCAGTAGAGTAATAAGAGTATTAGTAATAGTATTAAGAGAGAGCGAGAGAGATTACTAGGGGTAGAGAGACACTGAGAAAGATAGATAGGGGGACAGAGACAGAGACAGGAGAGACAGAGAGAGAGTGAGAGTGAGAGATGGAGGGCACAGAGCGAGAGAGAGCGAGAGAGAGAGATAGAGAGAGAGAGAGAGAGAGAGAGAGAAAGAGAGAGAACGAGAGAGAGATAGAGAGAGCGAGGGAGAGAGAAAGAGTGTGCAGTGAGAGAGAGATGGAGGGTAGAGAGAGAGGGAGAGAGAGAGATAACGTGCGAGGGAGAGACCTAGCAGGCGGGAGAGATAGCTTAAAAGCGAGTGAGCTGCAATGAGAACAACGGAACGACCCTCAGCCATCAGCTCAAAAAATGCTGAACCCAAGTCACAAGCCAACGTTCTAACCAAATCCCATTTCCATTATCGTGATTCGATTCGATAGCCCGCCTTCAATAGGTTCAATCCCCAAAAATACAACCCCCGCCCATTCTCCCACCCAAAATAATCGCATAATGGGGTGCCTTCAACGAAAAAATCGGATTCCATTCCACCCCCACAACCCCGTGAATGCGAATCACATATTCAAGTCGGCGACAACCGAATAATCAGCCCCCGCAAAATGGCGGGTCGGAAGGCAATGGGCGAAAAAGGTAAAGGTAAAACTGAGGAAATCTTTTATAAGAATGATGTTGACAGAAAATGGGAAGCGGTTTGGTGGTGGCGGGCCGAACCGCTAGGGACCAATTTTTTTTTGCATTCGGTTTTGCCGGAAGGGGGAGGCTGTAATTAGTTCAATCGAGGGTGGTTGGATTGGGATGGGGATTTTTAGTAGGGGAAGGCATTTAAATCATGAATCTTAATCAATCAGAGCGTAAAGTAAAAAGAAGGACGGTTGAGCATCAGCTTTAAAGACTCGTCGCCGGCATGGAAAAATTATAAAAATAAGAAAGTCTAGTTTTAAAACGTTTTAAACGTTTTAAACCCGTTGAAGGTTTTCCTGAGATATTTAAAAAGGCTCATTGGTATCCAAGAGCTTGAAACACGCGTTGATTTTAGACGTATATGCTATGAACACCTACGTCTCTCTTTGCCTCAAATTTTTCTTTGCGTAAGTAGGTGTAAACGTAGTAATGCATCAACTGACGGTTTAACATCGATAACCACACATTAAGGCAAGCTTATGAAAACAACGTTTGTAGTGGCATTAATGGTAAGTTTCCTAAATTTCGCGCAACTTGGATCAAACAAAATGGGATTTCAAAAAATGTACAGTAACCCAAAAACACTCAGAACTGGCCACCGTCCAGCCAGCCCCAGTTTAAACAACGACCACTTGTCGTTGTTTAACCCTCGGTATGGGGAATCCCTTTTTTAGTTTTGGGAAAGAGATCAAGGATAATCGATGACCGATCCTCGCGCCCCTTCTTTTCTCCCCGCCACCATTCATTCCCACGTGAATCTATCGCCCCGATCGCCCGGATAAAGAACGCCACCTTTTCAATTTTTTTGATCGGCCATGATACGGGGGTTGGTGTTGGGGGAGGAAAGGGTTTTCTGACTCGTGGTTTATAAATCCTGGTTCGGAAGGCATCAAGGTGCAATGATCATTTTGTGGGTCAAGAAAGGCTATGGGTAACTGTTCGGAAATCAGGCTGAGGCGCCTGGAATAAGCTTAGGTGAGATCCAACGTCTACACTTCTGCCTAACCAGGAGACGTTTTTTGGTGTGAATGGAGTTCTGAGTGGAAACCAGGCCTATTTTGTGCAGAATTTTGCGCTGATTCCGAATATGTTTTCCATTTCTGCTAAATAGCTCGATTTCAAAAGTTATAGCAATTTTTAGATCATTTTAGCCCAAATTTTCCCCTCTTTAGGGACCATTATATTGCTTTTCCCGGCTGTTTTTCCAAAAATAAATATCGTCACCGTATTCAGAAAAATTTTCTCTATCGAATGAGCTATTTAACTCAAAATTGTTGAAAATCGAAAAAATCGACGATACTTGGTATGAGCTGCGATTTTCGTATGGGAAATGGTGAAAAACAGCCTATTTCTCACCCCTGTAAGCCATCGTCGATCGGCAGTAGTGCACTAATCAAATATACCACTCGAATCAGAAAAAAATCTCTACAAGATAGGCTACTTAAACAAAATTAAAACGTTATAACAAAAAAGTAGCACAGCATAGCATATGGCTACTTTGGGCCTAAAAATTATCTTAAAATAGCTGTAACCTTTTAAATCGAGCTATTTAGCAAAATTGGAAAACAGCATCGGAATCAGCGCAAAATTCTGCACAGAATAGGCCTGGTTTCAACTTAAAACTCCATTCACACTAAAAAACGTCTCCTTGTAAGCCAGGCCTCATAACCTGGCCTAGCTTTAAGCCAAGGTCTAAGCTTAAGCCTATGCCTAAGCTTTGGGCTTTAAAGGATTCGAAAGATCTAAAGCGAACTTTAAATTCATTGTGCAATTCACTTACTTTAAAGCTAATTCATTTTTATTGAAGCTAACTTCCATCCTAAAAACCTTTTAAAGGGATTTGGAAAGCAAAGGGAGGACCTGAAAAACCACTGCCTGAACTCAAGTTTAAACCAAAACATATTTATAACTCGAAAAGGCCTTAAACGAGGCTGGGATCAGAAGTTGAATTTTGAGTCTTTAGGGAAGCTCAAGCACAAGCCCAGGCGTAAGCCTAAGCCAAATCCTAAGCCTGGAGCCTAAGCCGAAACCTAAGCCCGTAAGCCTAAGCCTGAAGCCTACACCGAGCCTAAGTCTAGGTCTAAGCCTAAGCCTAAGCAAAAGCCTAAACCTAAGCCCAAGCCCAAATATAATGATCTCTAGAAGCTCTGAGATGGTTGATCTTGGCTTCATCCCCCCCGAAAGCGAGGAGAGGCTAATGGAAGGACCCCCCTCTTGAAGGTGGAAGGCTGGAATGGAGATAGGGCCCCGGGGGCCAATTATGAGAAGAGCTGAATATTCCACACTGAAGCCCTCCGAGCGACCCAATTAGGCGTCGATGTGTATGTGAGTTCCATCAATTCCTCCGGGCCTCTCTTTTGGCTGAATAGTGCAGCCTTCAAAGCCAGTTCACATTGGCTGAGGGCGAGACACGAGCTGCAGAATGTGGCTGAGACTCAAAATAGCTGAAAGCTTTGGCTGGCAGGGTGGGCTACGGTAGAGTGGAGAACGGGGGGTGGCCTTTTTAATATTCTATTCAGCAAATGCCAAGTGCATTGGACGGAGGGTCCAAAAATGTCCTCGGGACAGTTATGAACTTCCGAAACACGCCTGTTATAGAAGTTTCGCGTACACTTCCCTGCTGGTTATTCGAATTCAAGCAAATGGATGCAATTTCGGTCCAATTTAAAAGTTCAAGTAGACTCTATATCGTCTATTATTTTTCCCGAAAATGTTCTACGGACGATTATGAACTGCTAACCCACGCTGGGTATAGGAACGTCGCGTAGCCAGCGCTCTCGATGCTCTCGAATTCTGGTTTTAATGAAGCTTTCGATCTAATTTATTCAAGCCTGACTCGAAATGGTCTATTCTTTACCCAGAAAATCCCTATTGTCACTAGGAGATTTGTAAAACACAGCGTGGATAGGAGCGTCACGTAGTTGTCCGAGGAATCAATGTCCTCCCATATAACATTTGAATCAACCCCGAGATTTCCTATTCTTCGTACAAAAATGAACTGTCGACGCTGTGTCACTGTTAGTGCGGATAGGAGCGTAACGTAGTCGTCCTTCCTGATGACGCAAATTCAGGCGTCAGGATGCCATTTTCGCTATAGCTTATGCAAATCAGACTCTAGATTGTCTCTCCTTTATTAAAAAACCTAAAATGTTTTTTGCTTTCTATTTTAAGACGCTTTGACCATAGGGGCGCCGCGTAGCTGCGCACCGAATCCACACATTAACCCAATATTCGATAAAATTTATTCACATCTAATGCAAAATTCTATTCTTTTTTTTGCAGCTTCTTCTGTTGCGGGCCGGTGCCGATGATTGGTACCCTCCAGGTGAGCGGTGGGTAGACGAAGTATAGAGAAATCGTCATCAAACTCACTACCAGTCCGGCAGCATTTGCTACCTAAAATCAACTATTTTATAATTCTTATATTATATTAACCCGTATTCCCTCTTAAGACCTCACCTAAACTTTATTTCCTTAATTATACCTTATAATATTATCAAAACCGTCCGAAAACATACTGCAATGTACGGGTTCTGAGCCCAGATTCCAAAAATCAACCACTGCAATGTGAGGAAGAACATGGCAAATTGCATCGTTGCCGGCAAGTATTCAGTATGCCCGAAAGACACCGCTCGCTTCTAAAATTTATTGTTAAAAATTCCTTAAAAACCTACAATTTCGTACAAACCACCAGCCAACCCAAAGATTTGTGTGGCAGCCGCGAATGACCCCATCACTTCGGGGGCGTGTTTCGGGTCCTAAATCCGAATTTTTAAACTAGAACCTTACGTTACTTACATGCTGATCAACATATGTGAAAATTGACAACAAAATGATGCCGAGGCCAAGCAGCTGCCCGTAGAGGTATTTCTGTAAGCATTAAAAGCATTTGCGCAAAAACACTCACTCGTTTCGGCTGATAGTAGGCAAACATTGAAATGTAAACTGTGAAAAAGCAGAGGTTGAAGAGATTGAGGAAGATGTTCATTTTGTCGTTAGTCATAAAGCCGTGTCGAAGCCAACAGAGCATCCTAAAATTGTTATACGGGATTTTATTTCAAAACTTACATTAAGCATGGCAGTACAAAATTGACGGAAGAGAATCCCTCGGCTGTGCCTCGTTTCTTCCAATCCAAAATGGCGAATCTAAATTTGATTTTTAGTTTTTCATTTTAGGTAATTTGCCTCCAAAAACGAAAATTAATTTTAGCTGCTTACATTGGCAAAAAAGTGAAGGCGATGGAAAAGCAGGTCAGCCAGAGGGCGTAGATTGAGAAGAGATCCATCGTGATCTAGATCTGAAACGCTAAATAAATAAATAAAGCTAGCGATAAAGAACTGAAACACCGTTGAATTGTGGAAATTCACAAAATTTTAAATTCTAAAAAGAGTAGCCATTCGAAAAAGATACGAAATTGGGGCCAATAGAGTGCATGGGCAATTTGGCCCCCTGGTGAATGGAGGAGTGATAAGAGTTGGTGTTTGTGTGTATGAGAGTGCTGGAAATAGTTTTTGCGCGCACAAGGTTCTGCTAGAAACAGTGACAAATCATAAGTCACAAGCGGAAATGCATGCGACCGTAAAAAAAGATTGAAAAATTGTAAATTGGACATTATAGATACAACTAATGAGAAAAACACATACCGTTTGTAGAAAATGAAGTTTTAAAGTTTAAAATCTTAATCGGGATGTTTCAGAAAGCAGAAAATTAAGCGGAGCGACAGTAAAAATTTCATAGCAGGTTTAGATTACCTACCGTAACGTTGTAAGAGCGAAAGCCTGAAAATCGGACTTTACCGGACCAAATTTTAGTAAAAACAAGGAAAACTAGTGCCTAACGTAGAAATTTGCTCATAAACCAGGTTTTAAAGCTTCGAGGCTTACAGGACTCATTAAGAAACCAATGAAACTCAGTAAGTCTGAGCTTTCGAAACCAATAAAAATCTTATAAAAACTTTAGAACGAATCACATTGCCCAAGCTCAATTTTCTAGAAATATGAACTTCTCCTGCAATCAATAGAGCGTTAATGTTGTTGTTTTTCAAGGGTAGACGGGGGCCGAAAGAGGGGAGAGATGTTTTCCTGTCGTGTATTTTGTGCCAGACGGCTACGGACCGAGTGGGGGAAAAGAGTGGTGGTAGAGTAGAGAACACAGGCGCTAAAAGGTGTTTGATACTCTCAACTAGAGCAGGTCAAGGAAACGCATTTGCAAAGCTGGAAACACTAAGAAAGTTTTACCTGCATTTCGAAATGGGTTGAAATTGTGTGAAAGAGCGTTCTCGGCTCGGCCGAATCGGTATGGTTTGGCGGAGTTTATCTTCGGTGGTTATTACCGCATCTGAAAGAGCGTGATCGAATTAGACAGAGAGAGGGCACTATTTTGAGGATGTTACAATTTGATTTACGTTCTAAAGCGACCCTTAACTATTTTTCAAAAAGTAGAAAAAATTATCCGATGGCCTCTACAGGCAGCAAACAGCCACGGTGAAGTAAGAAATATTAAAACAGGCAATACTAGGTCCAATTATGGGATTCCAAGAGGATAAAAGCTTCGCTGGACCTTGAAAACGATCGTCGCCGGGCACTCCTCATCGGAGCGTACCTTTAGGCTAGGAAAGAATTAGTTTTGGTATGAAACGAACACAAAGATTGAACCACGGGTTTCCCGAGCTTTAACTCAAGGTTTTGGCTTCGGTTTAGGCTTAAGCATATACCTAGGGTTGCTTTTCGCCTAGGCTTAGGTTTACTTTATGCGTAGACTTAAGGTTTGACTTAGGCGTTGGCTTAGTAACAGATTTACGCTCAGCTTTGCGGAAAGACCCACAGTAAGGTTAGGTATACTTCTCAATCTCGAAATTTAGACGCCTGAAGCCAAGCCTTCGATGACTTTAACACATACACGTTTACGCTAATGCCCCAGTTTCCTCGCTGGGCGCCATGCACCACTGCATTCATTCACCCCGCCCTGGCTGCTAGCAGATTCTGCCTCGCACGCAAATTCCAGGCGAGACGAGGGGATAGGGGAAGAGGGCAAGAAATAGGGATGCTGGGACAAGAAATACAAGAACAAGGCGGAATGGCGTTGAGGGTGAAAGGGGGGAGGGGGGGGATGCGGAAAAGAATGAAAAGTATGCCAAGGTATCGTGGTGGCCGAGACGTTCCTCCCATGCTGTTATGCAAAGGGAGTGAATGGCTGGGGCACAATAACCCGTCTGTCTGTGTCTGACGATTTTTGCTGTCTTTATCTCGGACTGTCTGCTCGTTGCTTGGGGGGGTATATAAAGCTGATGAGGATTGGTGGTGGAGAAGCATCCGGCAATTCGGCTTTCTAGCTATTCTTCAGCATTTCTACAGTAGGGCTAGAATTACTAGATACTACTGTTGGCTATTTATCGTATTTTCTTTAATATTAATTTATAATTTTTTATTTTTTATTCACTATAATTAAAAATCAATATTTAAACTTTTTCAGAAGATGACCGCCATCCGTTTGAGCTTGGTGTGCCTCGTTGTTGTGGCTTCGGCTGTGGCTCACTACGTTCCGCCGTACTACGGGGAGCACGACTCGGCTTATGGTGATCATGTAAGTCGGAGCATCGGCTTCTACTATCACTTTGAAATCCCCACCCTAAACTAACTTTAGGATAACCAATACGGTGACTACCACGGAAACAAGGGACACCACGCCGACGGGTACGAGGAGGGCAAGTACGGAGGAAACTATGGACAGCATGTGAGTTTTAGCTTTTTCTGAGCTTGACCCTGATTCAGGGACACCAAGGATCCGAGTACTACGATAAGGGACACGGCAACGGAGAGGGATATTACGCTGACGGAGGAGCCCACGGTGAGGGCGATAACATGTACGATGCGGGACATCGCCAGGCTGCTGGTAAGTTACCTGAGCATCGATCAGCAGCTCTGAATTGTAGATGAGGACGGCTACAAGAAATACTCGTTCTACTCCTCCGGCTCGGGACCGTATGGCGCGTACCAGAAGGGATACTACGGATCTGAGGGCTATGAGCACGAGGACTCGGACTCCGCTCACAAGAAGGCCACCGCTGGCGGCGCCTACAAGAAGAAGTACAGCGAGGAGGGACACGAGAAGGATCATGGAAAGGAGCACTACGATAAGGCGGTTAGTGAGCCTGAGCCTCATTGAAAGCGCATGAGCATGGCTGAAGCTTCACCTAAAAACCCAAATTTTAGGCCAAGAACCACGCCGGCCACGAAGACAAGTACGCCTCCGAAAAGCACGGCCATGAGCACAAGGGCTATGGAGCCGAAGAGCACAAGAAGGTGAGCATCACCCACCAGGTCTACCTAAATTTACAGGGCTACGAGAGCGACAAGTACGGCCATGGCGAAAAGTACGAGAAGCACTAAAGATTCTGAGATTAGCCGCTTTCTTCTGTGTCTACCCTCAACCTCCCCGCCCACCCAGTCACCGTAATCCCCGTGCACTTGCGTTGGATGCGAATAAATTTCTCTTGGGTTGTTGTTGTGGGAGGGACAGTAAAAAGGGCGCAGGATATTTTTAAGGGCAGTTCTAAGAGCAGTAAAATCCAAATTTTAAGAGTCAGAAAGCCAAATAGCGACTTGTGCACAAAAAATACCTTTTTATAACAGCTAAAATAAATGGTTTTAAGGTAAAACTGAGGTGCGCTATTATTAAAAACGGCGACTTATCGATGCTTATTTTAAATATCGGTAGTTCTAAAGGTATATTCAGCAAAGTTCGACCGAAAATATTCAAATTTGAACCAAAAAAAGCTTGAAGTACAAGTCGTAGGCATCAATTTTTTTTATAAACTATTGATTTTAAAGTTCCGAGTTACTAATAGATTATATTCTATCCAACTGTTAGATAGATTTCTCTAGATTTTGAACGATGAAAGATACTTCCAGTCATCTAAGTACCTAAAATATTCAAAATCAAGCTAACGGTATCCAATTTTCTAAACTTTTTATTTTACTATGTCAAAAGTTACGCTTACAATGAAATACTCTGGATTTTAACAATTTATTCTCCAAAAAGCGACAGGACAGTGGGCAAGCGGGTGAGAGAGGGGGTGATTCGGGCCATTTTCGGAGTGAGGGGCGACGGTATTGTGGTCGTGGCGCGGGGTCGGGACTAAAAAACTTGATAATTTTATCGTTATGTTTTTTAATTCTTTCTTCCTAAATCCCTCACTTTTCCTGGGTGGTGATTTGTCTTAGAATGTGGTGGATTTAGCCAAAACGGAGTGGCCGTGGGCCGTGGCCTCGCTTGATCGATCTGGAACGAGGAAAATAAACTTTCATCACATTGTCCCCTCGCTATGTCATCAAAATATGACAATTACAATATCAAAATTGACGCGACTAAGTCACTTTTACAGAGTTCATTTTATTATGCCTTTCAAAACACTCACCTCATCTCCGGTTCCAAGAAGAATTCACGTATCACCTGGTCGTCCCGCATCGCCCGCACTAAAATACGATTTCATCGTCTATTTTAAGGAATTGAATCCCCCCGTCTCTAGTATACAATCGGAAATTGTGCACAGAACTTCGGCCGCGGGCTATCAAAAATCGTTGGCGCTTGCACGAATTTCCGGGGGCTGCGCCGTAAACATCATTTGGGGGGCCATGGCCGAAAAGCTTGCGGCAAAACTTTGTTAACGCTTTGTCTCCGTGGCGTCAATTTTTTAGGCAGAAAATCAATCATTCTATTCTTATCCGGTGTCCGTGCTGGGCTCAAACTTTTTCAAAGTCTTCAATCGCACCAGAAAACTTTGGAAACATTCCAAAACTTTCATAACAACACACTTTTCTTCCCCATCACTTTTGGCCCCGCAGCTAGCGCCATCTATCATACTAGAAAGGGGGTCGAGGAGGGGTTTTTCTGACAGATTGGCCGTCTAGAATGAAGGGCCGTGGAGGAAGGGATTGTTGGTTGTCGCATCGTATGTGTGTCCATTAGACAACCAATTTCCCGGGGATTAGAAAGCGGGGACGGACTGCCTAGGGGTGGAACAACCATTGCTTTCTGCGTCATCAACCGCCCTCAAACGGATTTTTGCATTTTTTTGTAGTAGCCATCACGTACTAGGGGTAGTTAGACGTTAAAATAGGTAGACCACGGCTCGCAACGCGTAGGATTACTTACGACACCATCTCCAACGACTTGCGCTTGCCAAAAGCCGGACTTTTCAAAAATCCATCCCACACCACAATGGCAGCGGCTTGTTTTTAGCAGTAGCGGGAGGAAGAAGACCATTAGGTAACCCGCGCGGCCATTTGACAAAGAAAAAGGAGGGGAGGACGTCGTGCAGGGCCTAACTGGATTTATCGTCGCGTGGCTAGCCCCCTCGGGCGTTCAGCGGTTCTTAAGGCTTTTGCTTCAAAAACGGCTGTAGCATGAGGCGTCATTGGATCTCTAAGTATTTGGCCACCAAAAAGGAAAAGTTGAATTTGACCCAGCCTTCTAGCGTAAATAGGCGCATTCGTTATATACAGAGCCAATGCCCGACCATAACGATTTAACAACATTAACTTACGGATCTGGTACGGATCATCAGCGTCGACCTGGGCGAGACAGGCGGCGAGGCTGGCCACGAGGAGTAGCACGACGCTCCAGAAGCGCATGCCGACGAGGAATGGCTTGACGGACGGGAGGGTGGACACCAAGGGATGGACCACGGAAGCGCCCATTGCCCTCACAACGGCCCCGCCCACCGCCGCCCACCAACCCGTTGCCCTAAAGGGGCTGAAAAGATGGTAGTTGAAACTCGAGAGAGAAGCCTGACGACTACCGGACAAGTTTTAGATAGAAAAGAGCGGATCGGTTCATTAGGTTTCGAAATGTCTAAAGAACCGATTGCAGAGTAGGAAGGGACAACCTAACGCCGAAAATGCTGAAAAAAATTTGGGCAAAACGAATTTAGCGAAAATAAATAAACACGTCATTATTTTCGAGTACTGAATATATTTACAATTTTCAGCTTTCCGCTTCGGTTATCCGGGACGAAAACGGGTACAGTCTGCCTGGAACACTACTAAACGAAGCGTCGGTGGCGAAAACCCCGAAGTATACTGAAGTCGATGACCGCAGTCAGCAGAGCATTTATTGGGCACGTAATGAATTGGCGCCTATGTCTTGTGCTTCTGCCGTCGATCCGTGCCAATAAGCATGTCGCCACCTCAAGATCCTGACGAGGAACACCTGGAATTAATCAATCCCAAGGCTTTTCCCTTATGCCTTTCCCCCCCAGTGTACAACTTATGAATCTCGTGCCGAATATTCTGAGCCCTGTTCGTGACAGGGTCCTCCTCCCTAACCCCGCGCTCCCCTGGGGCAGACATTTTTAGCGAACCTCATGGATTTGAACCCCAAAGCGCCCGGTTGAGTGATGCCCCAAGGCGCTACGAGACAATGTGACGCATTTGTGGTTTTTTGAAAAAAAAAATGGGGAGCGAAAGGCCGAACTAAACCAACAACCCCCTTTAAACAATGTATGTGACCCACTAGCGCGATTGTAACCTAATATTCAGCGGGCATTCCGAAAGCGATGTGTCGCTGCTGGTGATGAGTGCGTTGGAAACATGAGCTGACCCATGACACCAACTCCTTCAAGTTCCAAGACTTCACTTCTCCAGGCGACGTGCTTTCCCACGAAAGCGACCCAAAAGCCGGCAGTAGAATACGATTGACCACTCTACTAGAATCCTTTTTGCGGATAACCGTAGTGATCCGTACACATCAACGGCACGGGGCTCCCACTGAAAGCCATACCAATTAGCCGCCGGAATCGGACCAAAACTTTCTTCATCCTCATCAATCAGCGCGTTGTCAGGGTTGGCCAAAGTGGGATGTCACTGGCACAGAAAGGACTATAAATTATTGGGGCCCGCGCGTCAGAGAGCAGCTCGAATGCCAAGAGGAATGCATTAGCGCAGACCGAGAACCGGATGAATAGGAAAATTCTCATCGCGGTTGAAAGGGATAAATTAACCAGTAAAACCCTCTACAAATTGTGCGGCTGCCTAAATGTATAATTCTAAGCGAAGGTTGCACGCGCCGATATCCCGGAATCAATTTAATAAGAGCTTGTACGGGATGGGCCCCAATAAATGATGCCAAAAGTTCTATCTAAAGCAGCTCTACGTCGACACCTAAGAAGAACGAGACTGTGCTATTCCCTAAAACGTATTTAGAAAACTTTCAGTTTTATTAGTTTATTCGCATCAGATCTGGTAACAACAAAAATTTACGAAATGTTATCAGATCAGAGCCGCCCATAAGCATCAAAATAATAATAAACAACCAGGAAATGTTAAAGTTCGGGCCCGCCGCCACCAGGCACCAGCATCGTCACATGGTTTCCATTGAGTAGAATGATGTCCAATTTTGTGACCCTAAAGCAGATTAGGTGAGGCAAATCAAAAACTCACTTCTTGCCCTCTTGTGTGTTTTCGTATTCAACGACATCTTCAAGCACCATATTGACATAGTCGTCAAATCCGCATAGAGTTCCAACGACTTCTCGATCACCTAAAACGAAGGAATTTGGAAAAGACAATAGGAGTGTACCTTTCATAATGACCCAAATCCGCGAGCCTATACATTTATCGATCAGCTCAAGTGGTAGTAGTGATGACGGATTGATAGATGTCGACGCCATCTGAAGTACTGGTAAATAAAAAGAAAAAGAAAATGCGAGAAAGGAGAGAAAGGATAAAGTTCTCCACCAACAACGTTACACTATAAATCACTTTAGAAATATCGGTCAGTAAAGCGCCAGCTGGCGCGATAAAAAGATCACCGCAGCTCGCGCGCTACCAAAATGTGCCGGCAGTGCGCGAAGAGGCTAAATTTGATGATCCAAAGAAAGCGCTTTTAGCGGCTGACGCGGTACAAGAACTGATTACTTCCTGACTATTATTGCGTATTAGCTAGTTTTAAACAATGTAAGGAAGGTAAATATTTCGTAAAAGTTGCACACTGTTCGTGTTAAGCCTCTGATGAAGCTTTCAGACGCCTAGCGCGAGCGATTGCACCCCCTACCAGAAGCCCTTCTTCTCAGAATCGAGAGCTAAATCATTTAAACTACCTTTTAGACCCCTCCATTTTAAATTTTTACATTAGCTGCCCTTTTCCGCTGACCCTCAGGGGAAACACGAATTTTAAGTAAATCTTAAGCCAAGGCAGGATGACAACGCTTTGAATAAACGCAAAGTGCTCAGGCAATTGACAGAAACGAAGCGCGACGCAGTTTTACAGCATTATTAGCTCCATATATTTCAAGGTGAGGTGGTGGTTTAAAATAAATAAAAAATATTACAATATCTAGAATACTATTTGCCCAGCGACGCTTTACTAACCGAGAAATTATACCAAAAATTGCCCTAGTTTTCGGTTTTAACGGATATCAATTGTTTTAACAAACAGCTTAATTAATAAATTCGAAATTATGCATTGAAGAATTGGCGGGCGTAAAGCCCCAGTATCTGCGTCTCTGATTATCCGCCCTGCGGCGGTACTGTGTACGGTGGCAGGGACACCCGATAAGAGCGACCGGTGGAAAGAGAGAGCCTCCCGAAGCAGGTTTTAATTTTTAAATTGAAATTTGAAAATTATTCCATGTAAATAGTTAATGTAAACTTAAAGAACCGTTTTGCTTTATGTCAATGCTCAAAAATTAGGATGGAATTGACACCGGCCACTATTACCAACCAGGTACATTTCGGAAACGTGTAGTTTAGTTGCGCTATCGAACAAAAAAACACATTTATTATGAAGCAAAGCGAAAAATTGAGAAAATGGCAAGCTATGACGACCTAAAGGCAATGAAAAGCATGGGAAAGAGGCATTGTAATACGGGTTAATAGTCGCAGATCTGGGCATAAATTGAGTCACCACCAAAATACGCCAAATAAATAATGCAATATTACAGCATAGCGTTGATATTCGTTTAATCTTCAGCATCTTCCGGAGCCGAGAAGCCGTCTTCTGTTTCATACAAAATGTCGAGAACACGAGCCACTTCAACGTTTCCAATCGCTTCATTGTCTTGGCAAAGAATCTAGGAAAATTGCATGTTTCTGTATCGTTTTTGACCTTCCCCAAACTTAAAACATTACAATTTTATTAAAAAAAGGCAGCAGATGTTGATTTTTCGGGGCAAAATTTTGAAATTTTAAAAAGTTACGAAGTTTTTATAGGTATTTTCCGGTTGAAATTGCTCATAACTAAAAACACTATAAAAATAATTGCCGTTACGTTATTAAGCATTTTTGGGTTAATAGGACCCCCCGATAATGTCAAAGCTCTTCCACTGCAACACATACCTCGATTTGCCGCAATTTCGAAAAGTAGAAATCACGTTCCTTCTCTAGACTGGCCACAACTGCATCGCTTTCCGTCAGTTGTCGTTGGCTATCATCCAGCGCAATTTTTATGTTTTTCATATCCTAAGCGATAATTTAGTAGAAGAGTATCTGGTTTAACTCACCGCCTCCAGTTTGGCGATGTCCTTGCCAGAAGCCCCATTATTATTCTGGTTAGACATGTTAGATTTCTGAGCCAACGGTCTTGCCGGAGCAGGGGCTGCCATCGCTGGGCGAGGTTGAGTCTAATATGGTTGTATGTTTTTTTTCTGCTTGTAAAATTACCACGGCAGGGGCGGTTTTCTTTACACCGGCCGCTGCAAGTTGGGTGTTTGATCCACTTTTGGGAGGTTGCGGGCGTGGAGCACTGAAAATTGGCATAATTATATTTCAATCTAGTAGTTAAAAATGAGAGTTATCGAGATAGTAAGATATTTAAAATCTTTCTTTTATCGTCAGGATTTGTTTAAAAATCTTACCTAACATTGCCGATAGTCCTTGTCGGCATTTTCGATGCAGCACCGGGCTTTCCATCGACGGGCAGAGGCTCTCCGCTGCGAGCTTCAAGGGGACTGTAGCTGTGCCCATCGTAGTTGGCATCAAAGAATTTCTTGAACCATTGGAGGAATTCGAAATTGTCCTGTAAACGAAATGTGTTTCATCAACTATTATACGTAAGTTATTCTAAAAAATTTGGGCATAGCGAGCCAGGTGGCGCGCCTGTCGGACAAATTTCAAGGGTCCGGAATGCGTCTAGCGATAGTATATGACCCCTACCTGGAATTTTCCCTTAATTAGCTTTTCGACTGGAACTATCTTGTCGATTCCCAGCGACTTCCATGCGTTTTGAACCTAGACAACATACAATAAAAACAGGTTTCAATTATTACAATTTTCCAGTTGGCCAACCAATCCAATTCCAGGTGACTGTTCCATTTCACCTTCTTCAGTGGAATCGTTTGTGGGAACAGGAAATCGGTGAACTATAAAGGGATATCAAGAGACATTATGGGAATCCATTACCTGACAATACCCGGCGCCGGTGTGCATTTGTTCGAGTTTGGTGAATTGAGCTTGTAGGCATTCGTTGACCCACATCAACATCTAGGGGAAATTATAGGCAAAATGAGGTGAAAAACCTCATGGCGTGAAAGGTTATCCGTAGTGCTAGAGGTGGCGTAAACATTAACCACGTTATAGGCTGGATGAGCCATCTAAAAAACGGTAGAACGTAAGGAGCAATATACGAGAAGAGTATATAGAAAAACTGTGGCATTGGCATACTAATGGAAGTATCTAAATATTGGGCGTTAAAATATAATATAACGAAGCTAATAGGTCGATCCAAAATAAGGTTGAGGTGCTGCTATAGTTAGTGGCTAGTTGGGTGATTTAGTGGGTGAGCGGGGCAAAGAAATGACCTTGTCACAATCAAGAACAGCGATATCATCGGCTGAGGTTGCGCGGAGATTAAAAATACGAATAAGTCTCCCCAACTAAAGCAGCGAGATGGAAATTACGAAAGTGCGTTTGATTCAGAAAACGCGTGATGATACCCAGCTTCTCGTCCACGCACGACTACAAATTGTCGAGTTGGAATTTCGTTTTGAGTCGGAGGTGAGTATGGCTATATGCATCTGCATTTCCCGCTATTCTATCAAAATTAAATGAATTAACATTAAATAACTGCGTTTGATTTGATTGTCATTTTATTTAGCTGTTTTTCATCACGCCGCATTCTCAGAGCGCTGTAATTTTCATTACAGCGCGGTTTTTCTAATATTGTAATTCTCAATTTTTTGGTTTTGAAACTCTTAAATTTAAATTTAATATTACTGACTATTCGTACACCTATTAATTGCGACGCTACGGTCAAATTAAAATCCGATCAAATTAAATCCAGGTAGTGTAGTGTAGTGTAGTGTTAGCACACGAAATTCAGAATATAAACGTGTTCTTAATAACGCCTATGAACAATGGTGTAATGTAGATAAAGCTGTCCAAAGGCAAGTGTGTGTCGGACCTTTAGGCCTCAATGAGGTCCGTCAACGGGTCCTAGGCGTAGAGATTGGGTGAATAGGGGAGAGGGCGAAAAGTGCGGGAAGGCGTGCTTTCAAAGTAACGACTTGTTAGCTAGAGCTGTCGAGTGAGCAATGGCTCACATAAGCCGACAATTTTCACACACTCACGTCGAAAAACAGAGGGATTAAAAATTCTGGTTCTGGTGCATTAGCGGGGGGGGGGATTATCGACAGCTTCTCTTTGTTTGCGATATTTTAGATACTATGTAAAACTGTAATTAAAAATCAAAATAGTATGTTCGATGCACTATCGAATTGTGTTAACAGAAATTCGAAAAACAACGAAAATGTCGAAAACTTGCTTTAAACCCCGATTTTAAGGGTTGTTATTTGGAGGTATAATTCAAACTCCCAGTATATTTTTAATGCTTTATCGGCAAAATATCAATAAAGTGACAATAACCCCCGCTAAGGAACCTGTACCAGACAAGCGTGTTGAGCTGCAAAAAATAAAAACAGGACAACTGCGTCCCCGGGAGAAATCGACCGTGTGCTGGGCAAACACAAAAGCGGGCCCCGTTTCCAAACCAAAATAAAAACTGAGGATGATGAAAGCTCTACAACTATGCGCGGATTTTCCTTTAAAAAAACAATTCAACTGTCACATTACACCTAGGTGACACATACGCGATAACAATGTTTACCAAGGGCTTACTCAAAGAACTGATTGGTTGCCTCCCTCTCACCCCCAACGTCTATGCTTGTTTTATAGAACAATATAACAAATAATATTTTAGATATTTTGCCATAGCTTGAATTGTTGAGCTTCTATTCCCGTTCAACCACCAGGGATGTTGATGTATTTTATTCAATAAAAACAAATAGAAATAGAAATATAGCGGGCTCTGAACTGGCGAGGGTAGCTGAACTTGGAGGTGAATGAGGTGATGGTAAATACAGACGATGTGCCTACTAGACTATATGGGGTCTAGGTATACTACTTTCGAGGTAACGTAACGGATAAATTAAAGGGAGGTCTGTCACGCCGCCTTTAAAAAGATGGCACCGAAGGTATTACAATTCATAGACAAAAAGTGCTATTCGTGCAACTAGGATTCTTGGGTGCTTTTGCATTATCGGGGGAGGCTATTTTTTCCTGAAAATTTTTCTAATATAATTAATGGAGGTGTTTATCGACAATTTTAATCTATTTTAAAAATTGACGTATTTCTGTACATTTCTGTACTAATAGAAAAAATTCAGTGCCCCCACCCTTCATGCATAAGCACCAATTTTTGCATTAGCACGTCGAAATACCTAACAATCATTGGGAAACGAATTGAGCTGCTGTGTTGCCGGGAAGCACCGAGAATAGGGTACCAAAAAGGGGAATGATACATCAGACACATGGTCATGGGGGTCGATAAGCAAATCAGTGCTAAAGAAGGACAGGACAATGGGGCATCAGCTATGGTCAAACTAAAAGGGGGATAGAATATTAGGGATACATTGTAATGTTTGATTCAACCGGTATGCAACGGTAAGGCGCTAGTTACATAAGGAAAGGATATAGGGGAAATATGAGGATAGAAATCAGAAAAGAATAGAAAAAACGGGATCAGCGGAAGTGCCGTTGAGGGTTAGGCTCGATGCGGCAAAACACCTAAATTATTCGTTAGTCGTATGTGCAAAATATTCACCTTTCCCATCTACTTCCGACCGTACTCCACCAACCAACGACATTCCCGTAACCTTCTGGAAAACGAGCTGTTCCTAAATATACCATTATTAATTCATATAAAAATAAGCTTTTTGTGTTCGCAGTTGCATAAAACTTCCGTCAATATTTCAGGTTTTCTCGGTATGGGGGAATTCTAGGGTATTTTTGAAGCGTCATTAGAAGCGTCATGGACTTGAGATGACTGCATAAATATCAGACTTTTTAAAATCAGTTATTTTCGATATTAAATTTAACTTTTGTGAAAATCTAGCCAACTGTTAGTAAACAATTAGAATCAACCAGAAGCGGGGAACTTATAGAATTTTTGTCTATGATAATAGCTACGCATATTCCTACTACCCCAAAGCCGTAAAGCTGTTTTTTGAGCCGATTTTCTAGCTAAAAACGGTTTCCTACCTCAGATGATGTTGCATGCCCCGGTTCCGATCGATCTAGAAAAATCAGCATTCGTCGGCTAGCTAATAAAACTCACTACACAACTTGCGAATAGCTGGGTACACCGACATCGACTTCCGCGCAGTCAGGAACGGGGCGGTGGTCAGATTTTTCCATGCAAATTTTGGCTAGAAAGGCTTGATCAAAACACCTAATTTCTCACCAGCCGAAAATCAAGTAGCATCCAATCTTGCTTGTATATATTTGCGATTGTAAGTCGTGAAAGCGGGTCCTTGGCTAGGAGTCCCTCTAGTAACCTATATTTTGTAATTAAAGATAATAATGGAAGAATCTCATACGTTGCGACTTCACTGCTCAATTTAATATCCGGTATCGTCAGTGGTTGCTCAATGATGTTTTCAAATAATCTCATTATTACTTCTCCTGTAAAACACGTCATCTAGCAATAAGCAAAAATCGATACCTTCAAAGGGATATATCCCGGTAACAAGGTTATATAACGTTACACCGGCCGACCAAACATCGACTCCAAATCCGCTAAAAATGTATATAAACAGTAGAAAAACAAAAATCTACTGGAAAAAGTCGTTCTGCCCCGAGATCACTTCCGGCGGCTGGAATTTCGGAGTACCCTGAGCAATACAACAGATATCATCCTTCTAAACATTGTATTTATAGCTTGGTTTAGTTCGTTACTTGAAAAGATGACAACTGCTCCGCAACCCCAAAATCAGTGATCTTCAAGGTACCGTCAGCAGAGATCAACAAGTTAGCTGGTTTGATGTCTTTGTGGATGATGCCTTTCGAATGGAGGAAATCAAGGCTAAATTTTTGTTAGCCATTTGATTCTGGATACCCAGTGATAAGCTGCTTGAAGAAGAACTGGGCCCATGGTTCCGTCAAACGCCCTTCTGTTGAGTTCTCGACGACCTGGAGGAATAAGAAACAACGAAAAATATTTTACCTCATGTAATGAAGCAACGCAGTATTCGAGCACCATATAAAGTTTTTCCTTCTCTTCTATCCGAAAAAACTAGAACGCTTAGGTTGTGCAAGGTCGGTTCTTTTGCATTATCGGGGGGGGGGGGGGGGTTACAACTTTATTGAAAAACAAAAATATCGTTTTTAGACCAAAAATTGCCGTTTTTAGACCAAAGTTTCGCATTTTTAAAGCTTTTCAGATAATTTTTCCGCTTTAAATCCAATTAACTTTTACTAAAAACAATATTTGCATATGACCCCCCCGTTAATGCAAAAGCACCGCAAGATTATCCACCTGAAACATCCTAATACAATTCGGATGATCCAGCCTTGAAAGAATTTGCTTCTCACTAAGCACATTTTCGTAACCGTTTGGGATTTTTCGCAGTTTCCGTTCTAAAAGAATTACCCAATGTTGTAAGTAACAGCTTACCTTTAAATATTTTTATGGCAGCGCGTTGTAACGTTTTTTCATGAACAACTTCCTAAATTGAGGTTTGTCAAACATTGATTGACAAACCTTAACTTTGGCATAACTGCCCTCGCCTATCACAGCACCAAACAAGTACCCGTATAGTTGTTTTGGAGCCTTTTCACGCCAAACTTCTTCCACAACCTAAATATATAAGTAATATTGTCTACTGCATTTCTATCACTTCATGACACTCTTCTAGGGGCTGGAATATTGGGCGATTGTCTTTCAGCAGCTGTTCCAGTTCCCGTTGTAAGTTATCCGGTAAGGAATGTGGTAGTAGCTCGTCGTTCGAGGATCCGATGAACTAAAAATATGGCATTTCGGAATTTCCGTCCTAATAATTATGTTAATTTCGGTTCTAGTTCATCAACGGGGGCGGGGGATTTTGTCGAAAACTGCTTTTTGCCTTCGTAATTTTAACTCGGAAGATTACGCGCTGTAAACAAAAACCCTATTATATTTTTCGACGCTCTAACGAATGCAGAATTTCAAAAAACTGCTTGACAATGCTCACCTCAGGCTCAGCAGGACGCTGCGCAGCAAGCTGATGCATCGTCCATGCCTAAATTTCCATGAAACCCGTGAATTCTCGACTTGCCCTGTGCCGATCCTTTAGGTCTTCAAACTCATCATAGCTGGGGTCGTCGTCGTCACAACCGATCGAGAGTTGCTGTAAGTGGTTAAAGCAAATATATGCTTCATACCAGGGTTTTCCCGACGGGGCCGGGGGTAAATGCTTGACCCGGAGCCATGACATCCATTTGGTCCCCTGAGCTGCTACCCGCTTCCCAACCATCGCTGTGACCGTCATTGTACCGAAAGGCATCTGAAATTAGTCGGTACTTGTGCATTTACGAGGGGCGGTAGTGGTAGGAGGCTACGAGACGCTACGCTTAAGAGGTTACGAGGCATATCTTACTACCAAGTCTCACTTGACCTAAGCTAAGCTTTGACTTTGTTTATATCAGCCAATCTCCGGCTCGGCTTTAATTGTTTTAAAAATTCAAAAACCTACGTTCTTCTGATGACATCCACTGTTTCGCACCCTTCACCCAAGCCCCTCCAAGACCGGTCCTAAACACAAATATTGAGAAAAAGCCTCCAAAGCCATATCTAATCTCGTAAAGTATTCTCTGCGAGTTTCTGATGCAAAAAGTACAAGGATGGCATCTTCCTGATAATTCGTTGATGACAGTGATTTATTTTTCCAAACAAAAAGCTTTATTCCGGAACACTACGCTGTACAACCCGATGATGCAACCAAAATTATAACGAAGCAAAAATGACTACGCGGCGGCAAACCTGAAATTAAGACTGGTAAAAAGCAAGGCACGAATTGCGTTCCGGATCGAGGGCCGGAAACACTAATAACAATGGAGTTGGGGCAATAGAGAGTTAAAAAACCATGGAATATAGAAAATAGGAAAATTGATACGGTGGACTAGACTTCATTTCAAGTGTCACTTTAATCTAAATCAAGATTATCCACGCAGCCATCATCGTAGACATGGCCATATGTTTTTGCATTGGTATCTTCGATGGTGACTTCAGTTTCGATCCATTCTGTATCTCCCGGAAGTAATTGGATTGGAGGTGGAGGGGGAATGATGATAGATCGTACTGGCAACGGTTTCGAGAGCTAAAAATTAATTAATTAATCGGGCTTAATTCATTATTTAGCTATTTATAAATCCTATTTAACTTACCACATTCTTTGGCCGCCAACCAGCCAGTTTCTCTTCAGAACCTTTAGGCAGTCGTAATGGCTCTTTCAGGTAATCCGCTGCTTCTTTCTAAATGTCCACCATAAAGTCCGCACTTTTACTACTGTCATACCCTGGTTATCTGAGACAAAAAGCCGCCTGATCTTTTCAACGATCGTGTAGGCGGATCTTTTGTAGACAAGTAACGGAATCCCACTCCTAAAATACTTTATTATCACTTTTACTTGCCAACCACTTACCAAAATCGTCATCCACCAAAAATTTCTGCAACTCATTTTCTTTGATCTCTTCCAGGTCGTTGTGCATGAACACGCTAAATAGCCATTCGGTTTAGAACGCAAAGGGCGAGCCTTACTTAGTGACGATGTGCTTTTCAACGTGTTCTTTAAAGAAGCGTGCGCTTCTGCAAGTCCACTTGCAAACGGGACATCCGAAAGTACAGGACCGGTTGGGGTGGCGTGTGCTGGAATAGGAGTCCTCCTTAGTTTAGGGTTAAGATCTTACCCAACATGTGATTGGTAGCTGGCTGGTTCCATAAAACACTCTGTACAGTACGGACAACGATAGCCCCAGTTTTGACGTGCTACGTGACTGCGTAACCGATGACGTCGGAGGGTCATTTGAGAAGCTGAAATTAATTGGAAGCTGTAATCGGAAGTATATTTTAGCTTACCCGCAGCATATGAACATTCGGGACATTGAAACGGGCGTGCATTGTTGTGTATGTTCATATGTTCATCATAGCTCCGTTTAGAAGACAGCGACTTATCGCATTGCTTGCATTCCCAACGTCGCTTCATAGGGCCACCATTGGGGCTGACGTCAGAAGTAACTGCTGTTTGGGCGACATCTTCTGCAAGGGATAACTATTGTAAAGTTGTTTTTTATTTGATTTTCTATATTTGGTACCATCAAACTATTCTTACAATGGAATTTCTATCCTCAAAAAAGGATCTTCCTCACTTCTGGTTTTTATACACTTGGTCAGCTAACCTGACTGCGGAAAACCGGGAACACTCAAGAAATACTAATGGCCAAAAAGACCGGTTTATAGTATCAAACTCACCAGAAATTTTTGTTATCCTGACTACGGTGGACGGACCGACGGACCATCTACTAACGGTGCTGCTCATCACAGATGAGAGGAGGAGGAGCTTGGCTGTAAAGTTGGTTTTTTAAACTGGATGGATGGCATAATCCTTGGTTATTACCAGTAGATGGGACGGTTTTGTTAGAGGCTGCCTTGGCTCATCCCATTCCCTGCCCAATGCAAAACGTTGCCAGCACATAGCGTGGTTGTAATGTGTTGCCGTCCGTACTTGGGGGTTAGAGGTCGACAGAACGGGGGTTCCCGTGGGCAAACACGGGTGTCACAAAAAGGGATGGAGTTCCTGAAAGGGAAATGCAGCGATAAGGAGGTTGGAAGTGGAGCTGGAATTATTTAGGAAAAATCTACTGTTTTGTAAACTTCTCAAATCAACCCAGATTTGATTTGGGCCTGAAGTTAAATTTAACTCGAATTCTCGATGTATTTAAATTAACTAATTTGAAGCAGTGACAAAAAAATGCATTTACAGCTAATTAAGGGCATTTTCAAGCCGAAGAGATACGAAACCTCTAGAACTGACAAATTTTCATACAGCGCTAGTCATTTGTCCGTATAAAAATGAATCCAGATTTTTTTTTGAAAATTCTGGGAAGTTTCAAATCATATCGGGAGTTCCGGAATCAAATATCGTAAGTCTTTATGCAAAACAAAGCACATTTTTGGAGTAGGATTTGCTTTGAATACCAACAGATTGCCTGGAAACTTCCGCTTCCTCTTCCCTCTCATTTCCAACAGTACTGTCTAGCGAGTTATCTCGAGTTCCTCTCTGTACCCCCCTATAATCTAGGTTTCCAACCAGATCATTTTTTGATTCCTACCTAATCCCCGTGACTGCTGGTGAAAGGGGCCTCCTCCTTCGAATGTCCTGAGTGCCCGGCCAATGTTGCCAAAAAAAATAATGGCCCCGAGGAAGATTGATAGGCCCGGAAGGGCAAAAGGGTCGCCGGCCCTAATCCGCGAAACTCCGGTAGTCAACAGAGATGTTGGCCCTGATATTCCTCTTTATCTGCGCTTTGACTGTTGGTGCTCAGCAAGACCGTAAGTTGCTTTGATTTTTCTAGGATGCCCCAAAAAAGCCCACTTTGGCTTACATGCTAGCGGCCCCAAAATAAAATAAGAGGTCAATTAAACCGTAAATAGAAGGAATCCTGATTTACAGGGCCGTAACTACAGTAGTAGTGCCGACATTTTTAGGGCCAATTCGTTCTAGGGCATCCCAATGTCGAGGGTTTTAGGGTTAAAAAAATTACCGAAATTCATAACGTCTAAATTGATAATGTCGAACTTTCATAATGTTGTAAATTGTTATGGATAATGTATAAAAATATTGTGTAAGAAACATAATTATCAAATTTTGACATGATGTATTTCGATATACTTATAGCGAATCTTTTTTTAAGATGCCCGTTCACTTCGGTACTGAACTGTTAGCAGGGGAAGGAAAATAGTTTTTGTTTTTGCCTGCGTTAATCATGAATAGTGTATTTTTATGATTTTTTCGCTGCTTTGGATTGCTAGAAAGTTACAAGAAAAATTTTAAACGTTCAAATTTTTACCGTTTTTGGTCATTTATAACATCTTCACAAAAATGTCGAACATTTTTATAGGTTTTAATGGGTTTTTATATCTAAAAACTCGTAAAATGCCCTAAAAGTGGTTTATATTTTGTCATAGGACCGTACAGGAATACTGGGAAAAATTAGTTTTTGCCCCCTGCTGACCGCACCCCCCCCCTAAGAGCCCAGTACCTAAAATTCTAGAGGCCGGAACATCCGAGAAACTGACGCATACCTATCATCAGCAATCTTCTCAAATTTCAACTGGTTCCTGTTGCGTTCAGCCTCAAGCTCCAGCAAGAAGGCCCCTTGTCGAATTTGGACGCTGGCCAAGCCTGGTGAGTCGATGAATCTCCACAAATAGCATTCACTTTTAGCAACCACCTGTTCGCCAACAACAAACAAAAACCTGGCACATTTCTGGCTTTTTGGAGAACTACCCCCGCACCTATGGACACACCAAACAGTCTACCGTAACAACGAGTAGTGTTGAATACAGGTAAGTAACCAAGACGCCTATTTCCCCCACAGAATTTTAGCTTACAGCAGAATGGCGAGCAGCAAACGCTGAGTCTCAGCTACAATGATGGGAAGTGCTTGGTCACATTGGTAACTTAAATTATAATTGGAAAAAAAACTTTTATAAAGGATTCGATCACGGAAAACGGGAATCGGAGGGCTTTGGATTTCAATACCCAGCGGGAAGTTCGGGCTTATACAAATGCGATGAAGGCATGGCAGCAAAAGGTAATTTTTAGTAAAAATGTATGGAGTGGTTTAAAGTTTCAGGCGTAGAAGGTTATTGCTGAAAATTAACTAATTATTGAAAATGCGATTTAGGTGATGGCCGCAAAAGAACGTGGTGTTGCGAATAATTGGGAGGTAGGCGAATCACGGAATCACGGCTATCGTAGCGCATAACAGGAGTCGTGTTTTGGTGCCTTTCGGAGTCTTGGGATGCGCTATAGCTATCGCTTATTATCAAGCTTAAAATTTTCAACAAATCCCATCTATCAAAAATTGCTGAGCGATTTGTTTTTTTTTGGCACGCATTTAACAAATCTTAATCTTTTCTCGAACAGCATTGTCGTACAGCAGTTTTGAAGCGCGCTGATTTGTTCAGAATTCGAAGCTCTATCCAGTGAGCTCTCCCAAAACACCAATATCGCGTAAAACAATTCCTTATTACAGAAAATTTTTTTAATCAGCTTCTTAGGGTGAGCCAGACGTACCACGTTGCCCTTGTAAACCTGAGGTCTGTGGGGAAACAATCACCGAAGTGTCTTCCAACCAGCCACAACCGTATCTGACTATCAAAACCCTAATAAAAATATTTTAGGCTTCTCCACACCGGCGAATCCAAGCAGACATGGGCTGACCAATACAGTGTCCAACCCGTCGCTAATAACAATCGCTACGAGTTTCGCTTCAACAATGGACGCTGCCTTGTGAAGGTGCAGCAACGACAAGTTTCCATAAATCAACCAAATTTCAGGATGGTGTAATCACCGAAGACGGGATTGTCAAGCAATTGGGTTATGCTGAACAACAAAAATTAGAAGAATTCAAGCGGGCCTTTGAGAACTATACGAGGGAACTCCATCAAAGCGTAAGAATCCTATTCTGTCTTCAAATAACTATATATTTTGATATTTCAAAATAATAAAATAAAACAATGAAAAAGCTATATTTCGGATATTATTTCAGATGCGCCAGCAGATGGATGACTATTTACGTCGTAACAAACAGGACATGCAGCTTCAGGTTCAGGTAGAACTTTGAACCTGTATTTAAAATAAAATGTTAATTAGACAAATTCGGTTTGCACAATTTACAAAAAAAAAGTTTCAGCAACCCCGGATGGTCGAGCCGCCTTGCCTTTGCAGCGCTCAAGCCTGCGGAACGGAAGTGGCGTGATAGCTTTGAATAAAGATTAGTATTTGTAGTTTTTGAAACCGCAGAGAAATAGTTACGGTACACAAAGAAAGTGAATCTGTAGCTTGTAGACTAATGGCACCTAACACTTTGGGGTGCGACCTACCTCACGGTTTCGAGAGGGTGGGCATTGTGGGTGGTATCGTGCCGTTCTTTTTCTATGAAGTTGGGGCCAGGTATGGTAGCGATAGGTAACGCTGGATTTGCTATCAGTATGAAGAAATCAGCACTCCATTTTGTAATGTCCAAAACCACAATATAATTTTGTTAAAATTTGATTTTTTCGAAATTTAAATGCGCTACAAGGCGTTAAAGGCGTTAAAAATTAAAATGTTACCAGGGTTGAAAAACCGCTTCGCGGCTTTTCAACCCTGGCCCCGTCTTCTCCAATGATATTCTTGACTTTGCATAATCTTCCCGGATTCGGATGACGAAAATGAAAAATGCTCTTGCCGTCCCTTTATATAGGCTACCGCGACTTCCGGTGCATGCTAATTTTTTCCTAACAAATTGGGGTGTCCGATTTTCCATGAAAAACTTAATTTTAATGTCGAAAACATCATATTTTGTAAAATCTGATATGTGTGCAGTCATCTCCAGCCCATTACGCACCTAATGACGTATCGAACATACCCCTAAGTACTTCCCCTCTTGGGATACTACTGGAACACGCTGACGGAAGTTGCATGCAAATGCACACACACACAGGAACTATTTTTTTATATATAGTAGGATTTCGGCAAAACGATTTTCGACAAAACGATTTCCGAAGCCGAACCAAAAGCCGTTACTCTGGTATTTTCTTACCCTCTTGATGGCACTATCCCTTTAAAACGTCGGCCCGGCTTTCGGTTGCATTCTAGTTTTTTGCCCATTCAATTTTTATTCGAACTACTTTGAGACTAGATGACGGGATATTTAAAGAAAGCGAATGTTCTTCCTCCTCCTCCTTCCCCTTCCCCCACTGCCAAGCACCCTGTCGACACCCAGTTGGTATGCGAACCCGTTTGGCCCGCAGATCGTTGGTTGGTGGTGTGGATCCGTGCGACGTACGCCCAACAGATTATGTGCCACACGGGCAAACAGCTATTTGAAACGACCGGAGTGGTGTGGAGGGTGGAAGAAGCTGACGTGAGATCGCATCTATCATTTCCTCATTTCCCTCTGTTCTCGAATTCGCCTCACAAGAAGTTGCGGCTACAATTTTGGCTCAAGAGTTAGGGTAGGTTTTAAGGGAAATTATTATTACGTTCGCTAAAAAATCTGAACGCGGTGGAAAACAGGTAAAATGGACGCCTAAAATTAGTCTAAAATAGATTGATTTTAACGGCTTTTCAGGAACAAGTAATGCATAAGTATGGACAGTGAACAACGTGATTCCCAGGACCAGGTAGGATTTTTTGCTCAATTACCTCGTTTTAGCATCCAGCTTCTACTCTACCGCACGATACCTCTGCCAGGACACGACCGAAAAGTAGTGCTTGCTTTTAAAATGTTTAAGTTAAGGATTTTTAGTGGAAAAATCGATTATCGCTGTACTCCAGGCAAGTGTCTACGACCAACAATCAGCGGATGAAGCCCATTTTCAAAGTGGCATGAAAAAGTAGGTAGATTCGTTTTTGAATCATCCGTTCCCCCGCAAATACACAAGTACCGTAGGTGCTGAGGTTTCTTGGATCAAGGCTAATCTAGTCTTCTCAAAAATCACCTCTAACTGGCATTTTTCCGGACTGTATTTTTCAGTTTTGATAAGGACTGAATGCGCTTCATGGATCCAGAACATTTTCCCCCTGCGGCTATGATAGATAATCCTGGGGGCGGGTCAGCTCCGAGGAGAATCGAGACCGGAGGGGAAAATAAGAAAAAGAAAATATCCCCCTTTAGCACTGTCACACACACACCATATCATCCCCATCAACCACCACCTAGCTTATCTTGGCTCCGCAATTTTAGGTCAACACCCGGGGGATGAGCTCGTTGATCGCTTTCGATCGCCTATTTTTTCCAAATGAAAGCGCTGCTGGATTTCTATCGTTTATTAATAGTTTTGGACGCTGTATGATTCTAAGACAATGATAATCCTGGAATTTCTGGGTCTGGTTCTTTAGCGGGGGGGGGGGCGACTCTACCAAGATGAGTTTCTTACCCCAGATTTTTCGATACTTTTGCAAATTTTCAATCTCGCGATGCTATAGAGAATCAAACATTATATTTGGCGCTGTAACTATCAATAAAAACACTGCTATTCAAGGCCAAAATAACCCTTAGAAATTGCGTTGTGAAGCCAGTTTCGACATTTTTTCGAATCTTGTTAGCGCTTTGAGCTTTAAGAAAGCCTAAAAATAATGCGCTCTAAAAGAGCAGCAACAAAGCGTCGAAAAATCGGTAAGAGTTTGCTTTACCCCCCCACAGCCGAAGGGTCTCAAAGCTGTCGGTATTTTCGATTATTTTGTCGGGATTTTTGCAACGCCATTCGATAGAGAGTCGAAAAATATACTAAGAGTTTTAATTTGAGCCTACAATAATGTAAAACAAAAAAGTTATAGCCAAAAACTTCCGGCTGGGGGGTAAAGTAAACCGTAGCCGAAAATTCCGCTTCGCTCCTCCCCCTCCGCTAGCGCACCAGTACTGTGGGAAGCTCCAGGTTTCTAGCACCACTGAAATTTCCAATAGTCAAATATTTGATTTTCACTTCCTGTCTCAGCCATTCTGGTGCAAAGTTTAGGCGGAAAATCGCAACAACCCCCCCCATTCAAATCCTGCGTATCGCTGGTCTCAGCGAAGCGGGGGAAGGGAACCTTTGAAAAGGAATGTGTTCGGCTTTTTTGCGCCGTCCCCCCTGGGGCGAGATGCGAAACGCGCGAGAGTGTTGTGTGTTTGTGGGTGTGAGTGAGTGAGTGTGTGAAGTGATTGGGCAGTTTGTCTGTCCTTCTTTTCCGTTCGATTCCGCTTTTTCCGCGCCGCCCCTTCTTCCACAAATACCAGCGATTCCCGCCGCTGGATCCATCCGCATCGCGCTGTTCGACCCGACACCATCGCCCCGAATTGGGCCCGATCTTTTTGGAATCGGGTTTATGAGCATCAAGGGGGAAGGACAGTCTGGGAATTTTGAAAATTGTCTTGGTGCTGGTGAGATAGCGGGGGTGGGGCTGAATTTTTCCTGTCCACTAAAGCGTCCTATGATTAGATCGCAACCATTTTAATGACATTTTACGTTCTTTTTAGATAAAAAAGTTTATTCGCTAGCCGGGGTAAAAACATAAACAATCTCTAGGTTCCCCTAAGCGCCCTATAGACAAACAGCAACGATTTTAATAACATTTAACGCCTTTTTGACATCTAAAACATTTACAAAAATATATTAACCTGTGAAAATGGTTTACTTTTTGTCAAAATTGTAGGGAAAACGCTCAAAATGTTAAATTCTGATTTAAAATCTTTTTATAACTTCTTAATAACCGGAAACTACTCAAAACACTATAAAATAGTTTAATTCGTATTACTATGGAAGCTGAATGACCGAGGTTTCGTCCCCCCCCCGCTAACGAACCAGAAACATTTGCCATTCGCGTCGACAAACATCCCTACGAAAAATTCGTAGTGAAAAACCTCCCCTATTGACGACCTTTTGTTTGTGACCACCTTGATGACCGGCTTCGACCCCCATTATTTGGACAATTTCATAACACTCCCTGAAATACCTAACTTTGCTGATATTCCTGATCCCAACCACTCTCTCTCCCCCGTATTTGAACACCGCTCGCCTTACAAGTTTTCTAGCTATTCTAGTTTCTGGTTTTTCTGCTCCCCCCCAGTTCTTTTTGGTCGCATAAAACCCGGGCAAATACAGTCTGACCACTGCAAAAAGCGGCTATTTTCCTTTCTAGATGTCTAGGCACTATTATTCATCGCTAAGCCCGGTTGTAGAGAAAAGGAGAAGGTGTTTTTATTGTTTGTTTTTCAATAAAGGTTGTGAAACATCAATAATTTTTGATCTTGCAGGTGCTTGCTGATCTCGATCGGCAGTATCTTGACAATGGTGACGGTGATAGGAGTGCTGCTGCTTGTCATTGGCGGCGGCCATAGTATGGTAAGGTTTTGTTAGCTATTTTTATACTTTTTAGGCCACGCACCGCCAATTCAGCTGGCCCCAACCGTCAGCCAGTATACTTGGGGAATTTTCCAAGGCTGCGATAACGACGGATCACAAGTTTTGCGCCGATATTGGAAAGTAAGTTTTTAAAATTTAGCGCTGAAGTTTAGACCAATTGTCTAAAACGGGCAAGTTTTCCAGAGACATCATGGATCGAGGCGGAAATGCTGCCGATGCTTCGATCGCCGCTAAATTTTGCCTGGGCGTGATGAACCCACAATCTTCCGGACTGGGCGGAGGCTTTTTGATGACGCTTTACAACAAGTAAGTAGATAAATTTGTGTGCGTTTTGTAGATCTATATTATTTCTTTTATATATGGAATTTCCATTTAGGAGCGAGGGTCGTTGTATTGCCATCGATGCTCGAGAGACGGCCCCTGGAGCTGCACACCAAGATATGTTTGTCAACAACCTAAATGGAAGCAAATACGGTAAGTTATTTTAAAAAATAACACGATGATATTTCTAGGCTTTAACGCTGTGGCAACTCCCGGTGAGCTGGCAGGTTATTGGCACGTCTACAAGCATTATGGAAGCGGGAAGGTCGCTTGGAAGGAGTTGATCGAGGTTAGGAATTGAAACCTATATTATTTTTAACGCTTTTATTTCAGCCATCCATCAAGATCTGTCGTGATGGTGTTCCCGTCTCGGAATACCTGGATACTGTCATGCAGGTCAAGGCCTATCACTTCCGCACCTTCCCCTCCATGAAGTTAGTAATATTGAAAACTTGGTTTTTAATAACGAAAGCGACTGGAAATTCGCTTAAAAACATTTATTTTGTAGGGCTTGGATCAACCCAGCCACGAATGCTACGTACAAGGCTGGCGAACTGTTACCCCGCCCCAAACTGGCTGCTACTCTACAGAAATTGGCCGATGCTGGCAAGGGAAATCTACTTTTCACAATTATTGTTTTAGAAGACCCTGTAAAACTCTTCTATCACGGAGAAATGGCCGAGACGATTGCAAAGGAATTCAATGACAACGGTAATTGAAGGCTTCGTCAAAGAAAAAGGAGTTTAAAGGCGGCATGATGAACAAAGATGATTTGGCCAACTACAAAGTTCGTGTTTACGAGACGCCGCTCATCAACGATCATTTCAGGTTTGTTTTTGCTCGTCCGGAAGTAGATTTAGCCCTAAAATAGTAATTTTCGGTTTTAGAGGCGATCTGGTAATGTGCGGAGGCCCACCACCCTCCTCTTTTGCCGTCACTCAAGTCATCATTTCCGCACTGTCAAGTAAAGTTTGCTACTTGACACTTTAACCCTCGTTTAGAACTCTATCCCCTAAAAAACTCGCCAACCGAGCTCTATTTTGAGCCGTCGTTCTACCATAAGTTCATCGAAGCCATGAAGTTTGCCTATGCTCAGAGGTTGGTCAAAGCAAAATCCTAAAAATAGCTATTGATGCTAAATAGGCTTTAGATACATTATTAATATTCAGGACCCTCTTCGGAGATCACGATTTTGTGCCCGGTGCCCTTGCACACGCTGAAAATCTGACGACAATCGATTTTACGCGATGGGTCGTTGACAACATCCGGGACACGGCTCAGCCAACCGAAAAATACGGAGGAATCAACCAGACCCATGTGAGTAGACCAAGCTAAATCTAAACATCAATCCTGAAAAAAATACGAGCAAGGCTTTAGCCAGCTGATCACGGAACGTCGCATGTCTCTGTTGTCGATGCCGATGGAAATGGTGTCACTTCGACTACAACAATCAACCGATGGTACGTCTAGAATAGAGAGTTTATAAAAGGACGCCTCATAACTACAACTAAAATATTATAGGTTCGGCGCCGCCGTTGAGTCCGAGGCCTATGGAATCGTGTGGAACGATGAGATGGATGATTTCTCAACCCCTGGAGCAGCCAATGGATTCGGATTCGCGCCTTCGGAAACCAATTTTATCAAGTAAGTTCCAAAGTCCACGAAGTTATACCATTCTATAGGCCTGGCAAGCGCCCGATGAGCAGCATGAGCCCGTTGATAATCTACGACAACAAGACGAAGGATGTAGGATTTTGGGAAGATAGAAGGCGCTTTAGCAGCCCGCGGAATCACCCTAAAAGCTAAAATTCTAGTTGCGAATGGTTGCTGGGGCTTCTGGCGGCTCAAAAATCATTTCCGCGCTCGCCAAATCGGTTGCACGACCACTGCTTTTTGGTGAAACCGTCAAGGTTAGTGATAGTGCCTAAAGAATTGGTCCTAATGCCGAATTTAGGAGGCAGTCGACGCGCCAATGCTGCACAACCAATTCACACCGGATATCACGCAGCTCGACAACATGTTCCCGCCGGTAAAATAGCCATCAAAAACGTGCACCATGATCTCTAGGAGCTGAAAACTATCTTGGAAAAGAAGTACGGCCAAAAGTTCCGGAACACCACTGGATTTGAGGGCATCGTTCAGGTAAGCAGACTCAATTACCATTCAAAGACAAAATTCAGATCATCGACCTGCCAGTCCGCGGGAAAATCCAGGCAGTCGGCGACTGGAGAAGGAAAACACCTCAACAACCCGCCGGGTTTTAGACAAAATTTCGCGCAACAAATGCTGGTCCTCAATGGTGCAACATAAATTCTATTTATTTTTGGCCGGCATCCGGCTGTCCCGTTCGTGTATGATGATGTGATCTGGTTTTACAGTTAATAAACGGTTTTTTATTATAAACTCGAAAAAACAACTGCACGGACTATCTACGGCAAGAAACACGCAACATTTGTGAATCCAGGGCCCATCAGCATAAACCGGAAGTGCTGGATCCTAATTAACACTCATTACCGTATTAGCATTCCGCAAAGCTCCGTTCGGGCGGGCATTTCCCAAAAATCCCAATCATTCTTTTCGGCGTCTCCAATTATTCGGCCTGATGATTCTTCTCGTCGTTGGCCTGGTTTTGGGTATTCAACCAACCCTTGCTATCGTAAGTTTTATTCTAATTGGTTTTTACTATTCATTTCTAGGAGATCCGTCAGGATTTCAAATGGCCCGGCCCCTCGTCCAGCGTACTCGGTGAATTTGCCAACGCGGCAATTGCAACGGATCATACCCGCTGTGCCGGTATTGGAAAGTAAGGTTTTTCTAATTCTTTATAGCTCTCGCCGGATTTGTGGTACTATTCAAGTTGGAAGGGCTATTTTGCTTTCGGGCGCTTTAGGGCTAGTTTTTTGTGAGGTTTCGTTCTTCCTGCATGACCCAAGCATAACCTTCGTCTCATCCTATCCTTCCCCTACGCTTTGAAAACAACTTTATCCCTTCCAACTTCAATACTGCCAAAGTTTTTCGCGAGTTTATTGCTTATTTTCAGAGACACGATGCAGCGTGGCGGCAATGCGGCTGATGCTGCCGTCGCAGCTCAAATTTGCCTTGGCGTCGTCAACCCACAATCTTCCGGGCTCGGCGGCGGCTTCATCATGACACTCTACAACAAGTGCGGCATATATCGTCGTTTGAAACTTGTGGTTTTCTAGCTATCCTGGTTAGAGGTCATTTGGTGGAAAGTTGTTTTGCTTTTAAAAGAAAAGCTACTGGTAACGCCAACACTGTCTGCTCGAAACTCAAAATCTCAAAACCCGCTTGTCGCTGTCCCTATAAACTTTAGCTTGTTACTTTCTTTCTCATTCATGGAAACTTAGCTCTTCTGTCTTCAGTAGACCTGTGGCATTTAGCAAACTTTGTTAAACTGGTGTTGTATCTTTAATTGGATGTTCTTTGTTAATATTAGTTTTCAGGACCAAGGGCCGATGTATTTCCATCGATGCTCGCGAGACCGCCCCGGCCGCTTCCTATCAGGACGTCTACGTCGGCAACCCGAACTCCAGCCTCTTTGGTAAACTTGATTCTGTGTTTTTCGAAGTTTATTTCTAGGTTTCAATGCGGTGGCCACCCCTGGAGAATTGGCCGGACTATGGCACGTCTACCAAACTTACGGCAGCGGTAAAGTTACTTGGAAGTCCCTGCTTGAGGTGGGCTTTCTCTTGAGGTTTGCACGTGTGTTCCTTTTTCAGCCATCGATTCGTATCTGTGAGGAAGGAGTCGTGGTTACGGAGTACATGGCCACCGTCTCTATGAAGCTGGAGCATCAAATCCGCGCAGCTCCATCGATGAAGTATCTTTTATTTTTCATCTTTTGCGAACGAGTTTTCTTGCAGAACTTGGATAAACCCGAAGACCGGAAACTTGTACCAGACCGGAGAAGTGTTGTTCCGCCCAAAACTTGCGGCCACGTTGAAGACCTTGGCGCAAGCTGGTACGCCATCACCTTCCTTGGATTAATAAAATCTTTTCAGTCAACCCGGTGCAAGAATTCTACCATGGAACTATGGCGAAGACAATCTCCAAGGAGTTTGCCGAAAACGGTCTGTCTAATTACCAATCCGATTATTATTTTTAGGCGGTATGCTCACGCTTCGAGATCTGAAAGACTACAAGGTGCGCGTCTATGAGTCGCCGATCGTCAATGATCACTTCAGGTACCTAGCGGCCTGCGGATATTTTTCATATTTGATTTCAGGGGCGACCTGGTGATTTGTGGCCCACCTCCGCCATCTTCATTTGCCGTCACTCAGCTTCTGATTTCGGTCATGTCGCGTCAGTTTACTTATGTGTGCCTTGAAATCCATTCTTTTTTAGAACTGTATCCGCACACTCAAAAGTTCTCTGCCGAGCTCCTTCACAGCGACCCGGTCTACTACCATAATTTGATGGAGGCCATGAAATTCACCTATGCTCAGAGGTGCTACTTTTCAATGTTTTTTAAAAACTTTTTTTAGGACGCTTTTCGGCGACAATGATTTCGTGACCGATTCGTGGGACAAGGCTCTGAATCTGACGCAGGAAAGCTTCACACGATGGGTGGTCGAGAACATCCGTGATCATGCCCAGCCAACCAGTTCCTATGGCGGCATCAACCAAACTTTGGTAATAACTTTCGATTTTTAGTCGAGTTTTTGTTGGTTGTATTTGCGTCGGTCTTGACTAACATTTTCGTTGCAGCCCGTCGATGCTGGAACGTCGCAAGTTTCGATTGTGGATGCTGGAGGAAACGGCGTCAGTGTCACCACTACCATCAATCAATGGTTGGTTTATATGAATGTGCTTATTTTTTTCTTTAGGTTCGGTGCCTGCGTCGAGTCTGTGAAATATGGGATCTTGTGGAACGACGAGATGGACGATTTCAGCACCCCTGGAATGTCCAATGGCTTCGGCTATGCCCCATCGTACACCAACTTTATTCAGTTGGTTTTCTTTTGGGCGTTCCTGATCTCCTCTATCTTGTTGTTGCTCACGGACCTGCGTGGCGATGTGTTCGCTGCCACAATGGTTGATTTCTAACGATTTGTGTGTATTATTAGACAGTAACTAACTTCTCGCCTATTCGCCGAATTCTTGATTATTAGTGCCTTGTTTTGTTTTGTTTTTGTTGAATTTCTCTGTGAATGTAATATACTCGCCGAAAATAAATTTATCCGTTGATAATTGGTGCAACGCTTTGAAAGAAAGAAACGCGCAGATGAGAACTACTATGCCTCAAAACGTACTGAGAAAGGCGCGGGACGATGTCCCACAATTTTAGCTGTATTGGTGATTGGTGGTTCATGCTATCGAGCTCTGGTTTAGGCCCGGCAAGCGCCCGATGAGCAGTATGAGCCCGTTGATCATCTACAACCGAACAACCAAAGATGTGGGCATCAACGAAGTCTAAAGAATGTAGCTCTGCAAGGCGCATTCTGTATTTTCAGAGTGTATTGTTGTTATAATGATCTTTCCAGATCCGCATGGTGGTTGGGGCAAGCGGAGGTTCGAAGATCATCTCGTCTGTTGCCCATGCCGTGATCCGCCCTTTGGTATTTGGCGAGACCATCAAGGTGCATCCTGCTATTCTATTGTTCCATCCATCTGCACCTATTTAGGAAGCTTCTGACGCTCCACGCCTCCACAATCAATTCACTCCAGATGAAACTCAAGTCGGAGGGGATTTCCCCAAGGTATTACACAGTTTTTACGACCCAAATTTTGCTTAGGAGTTGAAAGAAATCTTGGCCAACAAATACGGCCAAAAGTTTGTGGACACGTTCGGATTTGAGGGTGTCGCTCAGGTATGATCTTTTAGCCTGACCATCACTTGAATGTCTAGGTGATCGACATACCCGCCCCTGGAAAAATCCACGCGATCGGGGATTGGCGTCGCAAGACCCCGCAGGAGCCAGCCGGATTCTAAGGTAATATTTCTGCGCTTGACTTATTGTGTGAGTTTAGTTTAGGAGTCTCGGCATATACTCACCTCAAAAACGGCCTTTCGCTGATGGTGTCGGGTGCTGACTCCCCTTCACCTCAGCCCGTCTCGAAAATAAACCTCTCGACAGCTTTCCTGTCGCATTAATAAATCGTTCGTTTAACTTTTTTCGCTGCTGCAGTGCCGAGTTTGTATGGGCGAATTGCTCAGCGATGGAATGTAGGAGTTGGCACAATTTAGTTTATTAGAAATTGTCAAAGCGTGTTGACCGTATCCGGCTCCTTATCACAACCGACAACATAAATTAAAGCCATTTCACAGTAAAGCGATAAAGAGTTTGCGGGGAAATGTTGTGTTCGTGACAAATAAATAGTGATATGGCCAATAACGGTGTTTCCGATCCGTTTACAATGTCTGGCAAGGGGTGCGGCGAAAGGATTAGCCAATAAGTGAAAGATTATGCACAAAACAACGAGGGGAAAAATGGGGAAGGCACAACCGAAGACACAGTGACTTTTGGGTGGCTAGCTTGAAAAAATCCCTGGAAATTAAAGGCGTGCACCTCCTGTGAACGATGGTTGCCACATGCAACCCAGTATATCTCACAGCCGTGAAAAAGATTTAGGATATATTTTGCGGCTGGGGTGCAGCGACTCTAAGTAATAATAAAAGCCTAGAATTAGTTTTGATTAGTATAATGGTGAGAACCGGGACAGTTACTGGAAAATCAACCAAACTGGTTTCTATTGCTAGAAAAGTGGCAGCATTGAAAATTAAAACAGAAAATTTTCGGACTAGGCAACGCTGAAGAGTATTAGAAACTGGTCGTAAAGATAAGATTCCTAACCCAGCAAGTTTTGTCATGCCCGGCAAAAAAATGGATAGGCTGCCGAAAAAAGGGGTGAGTAAAAAATGGTAGAACTGCACTCACTACAAATCCTCAAGAAGAATCACGCAGCGTGAGGGGTGGCGATGGTTTTCAATTAAAGTGGCCATTGAGGTGGTGTCCGTTCAGCATTTCGATCGGCATCCGGTCGTAAGAGCGCACACCGGGTTTGTCGATTTGGCTCAGGAAGTAGGTTCCCGGGAAGAGATTTTGTGAATTGTTGGCGATTCCGGACGGGGTGTAGGCACCTGAAATGTAAAATTATGAATGGCAGCGCACAAGTTTGCTTTTCTCTTTAGATCCAAAATATAGCTAACTACAATAATAACACTTTATAATGTAATAACATACCTGGCTTGGTCAGTAAGTCTTCACGGTGAGCAATTGCTTGACGATACATGGCCGGTGAAACAACCACTCGTTGATCGAGCTGTTCCAATGCCCTTTGGCATACGCGACGCAGCTTGGAAAGTGGGGAAGTTGGGAGTTCACTATAAACAGACGTATAACAGACAAAACAAGTAAAACTCACTTTTCAGTGACGCGCACTGAGAACATCGCAGCCGAGCACCCGCTGCCGTAGGAGTAGAACAAGATACGGCGTTCCTCAGAAGAGAGTTTCGGCGAACTATAAGTAAAATGAATCATGGTGATTGATTGGCAATGAGATCGTACTATGTATGATCCTAGAAACAATTTAAATTACCTTTTCGCAAGCCAGGCGACCAGTTGAGCAAATAGTGCAGCAGTATTCATGTTGCCACATCTCCGATTGAAGTCCAGATATGGCAAAGTCAGCCGCTCATATTCTAAACAGGGACAATTATTCCGAAAGCCCAACAATCAAACCGTTTGCCGAGCTTCGCAGCAATTGAGTAATTACGGCCCGATCGTCCAAATTGGGTTTAGCCCTAAAATACGATTAAAAACACCAGCTTCAAAGTTACGGAAGTGCTCGTAGATCTTCAGTTCCAACTGCTTTGCCTGCAGCGATGTCCCAGTAGTGGAGGCGCCCTATTGCCTTCTGCACCATTTTCGTGAACGGTGAATGGAAAAAGGCCGCACCGAACGAATCGATCGAGATTTCTAAAAACACTTTAACCAACAAGACACAAATATTACCTTCGTTGAAATATTCACGGGCTTGTCTTTTGTAATCCTTGTAGCATTCGTCAAGCGCAAGCATGTAGGTGCGCAAGCTCTCGCCGCCGTTCACCACCGGGTATTCCGTGATGCGGCCACCACCTGAAGTCGCAGAGTGCGCTTTTATACAATCGTTTCTGTACTGGTTGTAAGTGCAGGCGCTAGCAGTTTGTTGATATATGCGAACTTACCCAGCGGCTTGTAAAAGTCCCAGGCAGAGCGTTGGAACGTCCCACGTAAGCAGTCATCAAATACGATTGGAGCATCCGGTCCGACCAAAACAGCTACCGCGCCCGCACCTGAAATCATCCGCTACTTTCAATTGAATTGGATTCTTTGATGATTCGCTATTTATCCTGCGTCTCGGGTGGTCATCTAGTAACCGGGAACTTACCGCCTGTATACCTCGCTGCCCCTTCCTCATAAATCGCTATATCGGCCATTACAATCAAGGCATATTTCTCTAAACCAGCATGTTATGTTTTTTTTGCGTGCCGTGGACTCACTTTTTCTGGCCCAATTCGCACGCACCCAATCGACACCGCAAAACAGAGCTTGTGTGCCTCCGAAACAGGCGCATTTCATATCAACGCCTTCGACATTCGCATTTTCGCCTAAAAATAAGGGTCACCGGCAATTATCAGCGAGATAATTCCAAGCGTTAGCCATTTTGAACCGAAAGAATAAATCCTCTTACCGAATAGCATCATCAGTTCGGTGGTGACGCTCTTGCTAACATCTATCAGCGTCTCCGTCCCCACTGAAACGTAGCCGATGTCGGAAGGGAGGACCTGAAAATGAAAAATGACATTACAATCTGGCAAAAATCGACATTTCTCGGAACCGCCTCACCCAGAAACCTACTGCCCTCAAAATATAAAATTTTTAAAAAACTCACCCCGTAAGATTCAAATAGTTTCTTGGTGACGGTCAGCGAGATCGAAACAGTGTCTTCCTAAAAAAATTAGATCTACCTTCTCCATAAACGGACCTGATCATCACAAAAAGACATTTCCTGCTGCCCTAGGCCGATCGTATTTTTGCCAGTCGGGATGTTGTCGGCCTAAAACAACGATTCAAAAATTAATTAATGGGGCAACGTCACCTGTTCGAGCGCTTCTTGGCTTATGGCCAGCTTCGGCGCATACAATTCGATGGCGAGAATCCCGACGCCTTCCGCCATCATCTTCTGAAAGGAAAATTAGTTGAATCGAGGAGAAAGCTGCAAAAAAACCGAACACCGAAAGAGGAAGAAATAACAAATGGCAGGGCCTCTCTCGTTGCTCCCCCATCAAATCTGGTGCTCCACGGCCTAACCAAAGCTCCGCCCCATGTACTTTGGGCCTGTGGTAGGTGGACACAAAGGGAGTTTTTCGGTATGGTGCCCAACGCGCAGACATGCCCTAAAAAGCCAGACGCCCGAACACCCCGCAGCGCATAGCCCCCCAAATTGGGGAAGAGGTTGGAAATAATCTGTCGCAACAAGATATTGAATGCAGTGTGACTACGTGCAATAATATTTGAACTGAAGATAAGATAAAACTGAGATAACGCACTGATGGAGCCAACCGAAATCAAGTGTCCGTCATCCTGGGTCGCCAAAGCCAGCGAAAACTACGCACTAAAGTTTGGGAAGCCTCCAGACTTGAAAATCGCCGCTGCCCATTACGCAATGTATACAAAATATCACAAAAAACGTGCTGTGGAATTTGAATTGAATAAAACGCTAAAACTATCTGCGGGGAGCTTAGAAAAACCATAAAGCTAATAGTTAATAAGCTAATAAAGCTAATTGGAATTTTAGGATGACGGCTATTGTAGGGCGCCTGTAAATCTACTCCTTTTCGCGGACGCTTTCCTAGAGTTGATTTCCCCACTTCCGACTGATATCTATTCAAAAAATGCTGGATTAAGGCCTGAAAAATTTATTTTTGTTCTTCGATATCGTAATGCTATCATCGAGAGGATGACGAAACGCGCCACCACCCTCGTCTATGTGCTCCTGAAACCCTTTGAAGCTAACATTTCCCAAGCCAGGAGGAAGAATAAAATCGTAATATCGATGGGAAGGCAGGTGAGGAGGTGGGAGCATCAGATAACGATTTCCTTCGACCTGTCGTCGTCCATTTTTCAGAAAGAAAACATTATCGCGCTCCCCTTTACACAAAAAGCCACAGAACGATTTCCTGGGGCCAGACAGAATTCATTTTCGGAGATGGGGCGAGAGGGATATAAAAAACCTAGAGTTTCTGCCTTTATTATACAACGAAAAGAAGTATAAAAAGCGGAAGGCTGGAGGGCGGACTATTAAGTTGCACTCCGTCACACCCCTATCGACAGAAGTAACATCTGCTTCAGTGAGACACCGGGGATAACCGTGCCATGAGACATCTGCTTTGACCAAATTGAGGTGAAAGAACAAGAATTCGGGGGTCATTTCAATTTTTGTGGCTAGTTAGAGGAAACGAATGAGACATCAAGCATGTTGTGAAAATATACAGCTTGGCTGGGAGGCACCAGACATGTAAGGGCGTCCTTTCCAGCGACCCCATCACGAAATTGGCGAATATCAGAAATATTTCACTATCTTTCTCATGACGCCTATCCAAACTGTGCGTGGAGTTACCGGACCAAGCAAATAGCTTAATTTTGGGTTGTGTGAGTTGTTCTGAGGGTTTTATTAGCAAAATTTTCCCCGGTATAGCTACATTTCGCAAGATAGGTGATGATGCAAACGCTGACAACTCACCTAGCGACGCGAGGAATTCAAGCGCGGAAGTATGAATATGTGTAGAGGTGCAAAATCAAGTCCTTGCTTTAAGTTTTTTGGGCTGTATTTCCTTGTAAGTCGGGGTTTACAAGTATTTATCTGCACGAACTTTATCGACTATTTTTATCCGCAGCCGCAGCCATAGTAATCGCCACCATAGCCTCCATACCCACCGCCGTATCCATAAGAGGGGTAACCGTAACTAAAACGCTAATTTGATATCTGTTCGTTATTTTGCTTTCTGTAATTACTTTACGAATCCTTTGACTCACCCGTAGCTTGGGTAGTTACCATAGCCGTACGAGCTTCCAAACATCATCCGCCCTAATTTTGGTATTATAGGTATGAAATATTGGCGCTTTATACTAGGCGATTTTCAAATAATAATAATACTAATAATTGATCTTTACGTTGCTACAATAACTTACTCAACAGCCCCCAAGCATCCGCTTCAAGTGCCAAACAAAAGAATAGCAATATCGAGAGGAGGAGATACATTTTGAATCTTCCAGCGATCGACTGACCTTTCCAACTTTTATACAGCCAGGTTACTCTCCATACTTTTTTTTTCTGATTTCACGTGCCAGTTCGGCCAACGAACTCTGGAGAGCGGACATTCCTAGAACATTACCGGGTTTGCCGAATGGACCTGATTTTTCTGTGTTTTTTTCTGTAAACACCGGTCACTAAGGGTTCACTTGGTCTTTTTCGCCTTCTAAAAAATTCCTCATGTTTATCGCAGCACCATCAACAATCACAAGAACAGACCCGGGAAATGAGCGAGTTTTTTAGTTTTATGGTCTAGAAATTAAAGCTCTTTCTTGGCTTTGATCAGTTTTTCGAGGACGATTTCGAAGTGAAGGGGAGCATCACCAGGGATGGCTGGTGGTCGTCCGGCAGTACCGTAACCTATTAGATGATTCCATGGAATCGTAGTGCTAGGTAAATTTACCGAGCTCTGGTGGGATGATCAACTTTCGGCGTTCACCCTCGCACATTCCAGTCATAGCTTTTTCCATTCCTTTGATCACCTGGAAAGGTTTTTAGTTCAAGCCAGCGTAAATCCTATCTAGTTTATCTTGCTTCCTATAACCTACCATGTTTTTTCCGAGGGTAAAGATAAAGGGCTTATTTCGCGACTTTGACGAATCGACAAATGTGCCGTCTTCAAGGTGCAATACGTAGTGTTGGTGGATCGTATCTCCCACTTCGGACTTTCGGCATTCGTCATCTGGGATTTGATGTGTCACCTGAATGTTATATTGAATTTTGGCCAGACGACACCGGGGGCTCGGGATGCTATTTCGAATTCGGGGGGCTGATGTTTAGAGATGGGGCAAAATCCAAAATTCACGCGGCGCGATACGAAATTCAGCGGGGGGTTTTTAAAGAGAATTTTTTGAGGGTCGAGAGAAAGGGTTGATACCTCGATCCTCATATTGTCTTCATCATACCACGCATCACCAGGGTTCGGGCGGAAGATGGACTTTAGTTCGACGAAATAGTATAGGGAATCTCCACTCTAAATTTTTAAATTATCAGAGCCGATATAATGTTGACAAACCTTGATACCGTCAGAGGTGCGTCCTTCATCGCCAAAAGCCTGTTCAGGCGGGATGACAACCTGAATTGTAGTTTTTTATAGATTATAGGAAAGTAATGTTCATATATCATCATCAATTAAATCTAAAATTTCCATAAACTCCGGTTCTTTTGAAAGCTTTTCTAAATCATGAAACTGCGCATTTTGGTGTTGGGCATGAAAAAATTGGACATTCGAATAAGAATTGGCAGCTAACAACATCCTCAGATTTTAGTGCAGATTTGGTTTGAATAAAGAGCATACCTTTCTCTGCTCTCCCACACACATCCCTTCCATAGCTACTTCCATTCCCGGGATCACTTCACCACGACCCAGCGTGAATTCAAAACTGAAAAAATATTTATACGGATGTTCCAGCTGTCTAGACTCAGCGAATTTTGCCAGAAAATCTGAAAACCCACGGCTTCTTCCCAAAATTGCTGCCAACCACCTTCCCGGCCTTGTCGGTCAGCTTAAAAAACTGCTCGAGCGTGTCGCCATACTCGGATTTCAGCTTGCACTTGCTGTCTGTAGGAAAGGATTGTATTACTGAGCCCAAAGATTCAAGAATACCTCCAATTTTCTTAATAATTTCAATCTGGACTCCTTCTTCTGTGGTCCATGATCGATCGTCAGCCGCGACAAGTGCAACAAGGCACAGTGGTATTAAGAATATCATCTGAAAAAATATTTAGGCAAAATTAGGCGGGATTTAAATTTGGTTTATGAAATTAAGCGACAAGGTATAGGTGGAGGTGTAGGGGAGGAATGCGAGGCTAGTGGACCCCCGTTATTTACTTCCTGATTTGATCTACGGGGCAAGGTCATCTCCTAGAAACCAGTTTGGTAGGGGTAAAAAACGGCTAGCATAGTTTGTTTTATAATTTATAATAAGGTTTAAAAGGATAATTTCATGGCGTAAACGTTTTTAATATTACTTTTACACTTTGAATTCTTATTAGCTTGTTATCCCGAGGTCTAGAATAGGATTAACATCTCTACCGGAAACTGAAATTCAAGACAAGTAAAAGCTTTTCCTAAACCCCGACAAAACCCATAAACTGTCTCAAGTCAGGCTGCAAATTGGTGGATCGATGTGGATGTGGATGGCCTAGAGGGGAATTGTGGGGGCGAAGGGGATGGATGGTTCTTTGGGAAATACCTGTTTCTCGCCGCTCGATCTCCCCTTTTCTCATTCTCCTCCTGTATCCCCGCTTTTCGAGGTCAGCTTCAGCCTCAAAAATTATCCGGGAAGTAAAAAACTGACCTGCTGCTCCAATTTTGTGGAGCAGGGTAGGAGATCAAGGCGTTTAGCGTAGTTGATGCTCATTTTTAACTTTTCTAAAACAGAAAATTGAACGTTGCAATGATCTCCTCTGACACGAAATTGAAATGGAAAAAGTCACATCTCATCCGCGATTGCTCGGAACGTAAACATTTGACGGGGGCCTTATAAACATACGGAAAACGAGACAATCAATGGCACAAGGGGAACGATGGCGCTCTATCCAATTCTGATTCTGTTAATAGCTAGGTATCTATCCGCTGAAGACACTGTTGTCACTACAAAATACGGCAAACTACGAGGCCAAATTGTGAAGTCACAGAATGGGTCGACGATCTACCAGTTTCTCGGGGTTCCATTTGCGAAGGCTCCGATCGGGACGTTGAGATTTGAGGTTGGAGTGATGACGCTTTGACGAATAATAACCTTAAAATTGTTAGAAACCAGTATTTCCGGATGCTTGGAGCGATACTCGAGATGCAATAAAATTCGAGAAAACATGTTTGGCCTGTAAAAAGTGAGAAAAATCGTTAAGGAAGACTGATAAGAGATGGTTTTAGAAACTACAGTCCAAGTGGTGCAGAAGATTGTTTGTACCTGAATATATGGACTTCATCCTATGAGGTGTGTCGATTTAGCTCGGTAGCAGGTTCTATCGCATGATCGGGGGGAGGGGGGGGGGGAGATCAAGGGAGAAACCTACCATTTTTAGTATTCAAGTTTTCTATTATAAACCAAGACACCGACTCTAAGCTGTTTTTATTAAACTAAATGCATGCCTTGCCAAATTGTATTAAAGCGGCTAAAATACAGATTGTTCAACCAAAATTTCGAGCCTAAAAATTTTTCTAAGATTTTATAAATATTTTTACACTATAAATATTGTTAAATATTGTGTGTTTTACATTCTTTTACTAAATTTTAGATTTATCGACTTACGCAAAAAATCGGTATCTGTATAAAATTTAGAAAAGCTCGAGCCCTGTGCTGGTCTATATTCATGGCGGTTCATACTACATGGGCAGTGCCCAATCAATGAGACCAGAAGCTGGAGCATTTGTAAAGTTTTCTAACTGACACTCTCAATATCTTTTGCTACAGTACGCCAGCCAAGGGATTGTTGTTGTCAGCATTGCATACCGCCTCGGCCACTGGGGCATGTTTGAATTTTCTCTCAAAACTACACGGCGTTTAGGCTTCCTGACATTAAATGACACAACAATATCCCCGAATCTCGGCCTTTGGGATCAAAATTTAGCGTTGCAATGGGTAAAGGAAAATATTGGAGCCTTTGGAGGTCAGCCTCCAATTAAATTTACCGCAAAAAAATCTGCAGGAAACAATCAACGTGTAACGATTTGGGGTGATTCTGCTGGGGCAGCTTCTGTCAGCCAGCATGCCTTATCGAAGCACTCCACTGGTAGGAATAAAAATTCTAAGAAACCCGAAAATTGGATGGATTTAGAGCTTTTCCATCAAGCGATCCAGCTGAGCGGCTCAGCTCAAGCTGCTTTTGCTCGAGGCACGAATACTATCGCTTCCAGCCGGGAACTCATCCAAAAAGTTGGCTGCAAAACTGCTGATGACAAGAAAAAGTTAATCTAACAAGTTTAATCCTAATAATAACACGACTAGATGCCTTCAAGGCAAGAAAGTAGATGAGTTTTTCAATGTGGATGGCCAAGAATTAGAGGTAGGGGATAAATCTAGTAGATTCCTTTAATAAAACCTAGCTCTGCATAATTCCTGCCCTTGCCTATCCACAATTTTCGCCAATATATGATGGTATTTTCTTCGAGGTAATCTTGGGTTCTGGTTCGTTAGCGGGGGGGGTGGGAAGGTGACTCTCACTCTCCTTTCTTCATTAGGAGTTTCACCCTGTATCTGCCCCCGCTAACGAAACAGAACATATTATTGAAATCCGATATAGGAGGGAGCGATCAGCCCAACAGATCTCAAACCCACGATTATCGGGTTTGCCGAAAAAGAAGGACGAGCATTTAGTTGGGTTTTAATGGAGTAGAGTGTCCTTAATTGAAAATTTAGCTCTAAATAACCCCTGGGCCCCGTGGGCACTTAAAGTGAATGCCACAGCGCCAGAATATCAAAAGAGGGAATTTATGAAATATATAAAGCAATGGATTACTGTTACGGTAAGGGTCTGACAATTGTCGAGGAAAATTAACAGGGTTATAACGCCGACGAAAAAGAGGCCGCGGAGAAGGATATCTTCAACTTTTACGCCAAAACCAAGAATGCTACTGGGAATCAGTTCTTTATTGAACAGTATGTTCGTGTAGGTTTTAATTGTTGTAAAATTAGGCGCAGTAGCTTTTTCAGGAGTTGCTTTCAGGGATTCAAAATTAATTTTGCGGAAATGTGAAAAAAACGGAAATTCAACGTATTGAATGTTCTACAAAACACTTTTCGATAATCCAACTTTCGTCGAATTAAAAATAACTCCATTTTCAGACCTTTTCCGATTTCATGTTCAACATTCCGGGCATTCGCGAGGCGTTCACAAAACAGCAAGCAGGAGCCAACCTCTACGTATTTTTGCTCGAGCACTTCAGACCCAATTGGCCTAAAGATTATCCAGCACAGGGTAGAGACATCATTTTTCGGCTTTAAATACACAATACCTTCCAGGCTCCACCCATTCCGATCAATACCCCTACACGATACTCTGTAATGATATCAAATACACGGAAGATGACCTCACGGTCAAGTGGCTGCTCCAAGAAGCTTTTGTGCAATTTGTGAAAACAGGGTGTTTTGCATCTAAATTTTTTTAAATAACATAATCTAGCAACCCGTCTACGGATATGATGGAATGGCTCGAATTTGATACCTACTTTTCATACTTAAGCCTCAAACCCGAACCGGAAATGGAGGCCGGTAAACTAAAACCTCCCAAAAACGTTCGCTCATGCTTTCCAGGTCTCTTCCTCGAAAGCTTCCGGTTTTGGTCCAAGAAAATGGCGAAGTATTCCTTCGACTTTATCAGCCAGGAACCATGGTTCAGTCCATAATGTGAGCCCCAATTTTTTCGATAAACGTCATAGGCACACTCTATCAAAAATGGCGCCCCGGGGAACATTATTTATGCGAAGTGTCTCTAGCAGAATATTGGGCTCTGATCGGCTAATAAGGGGCTTCACATTGAGTGCCCCGACTACGATGAACACCTTTATACAGCTTCAGATAACTTCATGAATGTTTGGTGGGCACGAAAAAAGTGGAAGAAAGGGAAAGGTCTTTTCGGTAAACATCACAAAAGTACAAATATTTGGGGGAGGGTATGATTTCCCTTGGGAGATCGTAAACGGTGAATAATAGCGATGGCGGGAGTTGGTGGGTGAAAATATCCGCTGATTATAATTTGGAAATCCGCAAAAAATACCAGAAAATCGAATCAGAAATTAGAAATTAATGCGAACTTATCACACATGGGGGTTTGGAAGGTACAGGCTAGAAACTAGAATTTGGTGGACCAGGAAGTAAAGGTATTTGGTACTGGACTGCTAGCAAGAGGGAAACTATCTTTTCCATACCTACCTGTTGATAATATATAATGTATTCTTATAATGTTTTCGTTTTTCATAGTTTTTGATTGCTAGAAAGTTAAAAAATAAGATTTTTGATTAACGTATTTGAGTTTTTTGAGTTTTTGATAGCTAAAAACGGTGTAAAATGCCATTAAAAAGGTTTCATTGTGAGTTAGGACCGTACAACAACTGATAAAATTAGTCCCCCGCTAATCGTCCAGTACCGTATATTTCAATTTTAGCTTGTAAGAGCATTATATTTTGCCTTCAGCCTCCAGCTTCTTTAGAATTTTCTGCAAATTCCCCTCCACCTCGCGGCGCACCTCATCGGGTACCATCGACAGTCGCGCTTTAATCTGACAAATATTGATTAGTATTTATATATTTTATTATTTGATACCGTCTCAATTTTCTGCTGGTTGTTCTTCGACGAATCCCACCAAACATCGTTCATCCGGTCGCACACCGTCTAAGAAAGTATTTTTAAGATAGGTCCTCTTCCAAGGTCTAAAAAATCCTTCTTGTTCCAAATCCCTTTAATATAATACTTTGAGATGATCACGTGTCCCTTTATTCTCCCTATTTCTTTGTCCAATAACCATCAATAGGCAAAAAGATAACTAAATCCTATCCGACTTCCGGCCGCCGGATACAACCAACTATTAGAAACAGACTAATCCCATCATTTTCCTAGACATTTTGAATCCCGCTTTTTTTGCCACTACAGTCTCACTCCTGCAGATCAACATACCTGACCGGTAGCGGGCCAGAAATCGAAATGTTTGCTAAAGTAAGTTTTGCTCTTTTACAAGGGCTTCACGCCCCATCTGGTTATACCCCCTGTTTTATGGCTTCCTAGTTGGTGTTCAGAATGTTGCAGGGTAGGTGCGTGTCTCGTTCACATTTTCTAGTGAACGTTCGTTTTTGCAGGCGCGAGACTTCCGATTCAAAAATTATTAGATTCAAATTTTGATGAGGGACTGCCTTTGGGTTTCAAACTTTGATTTAGGTAGTCAAAATGAGTTTAAAATAATGAAAAATAAATTGAAATATATAAAATTACCTGGGCAGCGTCCGAGAGGCCAAAAGATTGTCCAACAGTACGGGCAACGGTGGTCATTTTCTAGAAAAATTGTGGTCTTTACAGTTTTTAAAAGATTTTTAAGCATTAGCATAAAACACCAAAAATAACGAAAGGTTTTCTAGAACTTGACCTAGCTTTAGACAGAGTTTGTAACTTTGTAAGTGTCACCCATATCAAGATGCAGTTATCTAGCAAAACGTCGCAGTATCGCTGCGGAACCTCTCGCTGTGAAAGACAGAAGGAAAGAAAAATCTTTTAGTCATCACTCGTCATATCCCCTGAAGTAAAACTGATTGCGAAGTCGCGACAAAAATCCCCACATCCAACTCAAAACATGTGATTTTAAAGAAAAATGAAGGCCCGTTAGCCGTCTCGCGGCCAGCCGGATAATAGGAGTGCTGAGGCTGAAGTGAGCCCCTCAATTATGCCCCGCCCCACTACCGTATCCCCGACATTTTCCCAAGGGAAGATGCTGAAGAGGGCCCTCCCTCCACACCACCCGCCTAATTGGCTATCTAGGTTGTGTCGGCACGGCCCCACCTCTATTGTGTCCGCATCTTATAGGGGAATTCGGGCAGAAAATCCGAACCACCGGCTTTGTTTTGCTTCACGCGTCGTCGGGAAGGGCACAAATTCCGTGTTGGCAGACACCCAAAGCCCGGCTGATGGTTTGGTACGCTATCCTCCCCACGGCTCGTGGGCGGATAGGGAGAAGGTAGAAAAAAATGGAGCAAGCCGGAAGTAAAAAGCTGGGCTTTGAATAGCTGGGATTTTCCTTCTAGCTTCGAAAAGATGAGTTACCGGTTTTAGGACTTGACTGGACGCTAACATTTTGTTCAAAAAGCTACATCCCGGCTTAAACTTAGCTTAAGTTTTACATAGGCTTAGAGCTTAAAAAAACTTTTTAGTTACAACTCCGAAAAAGTCAAAGCAAAACTCAAGAATGTGATCAGTTTTCGCTATCCCAAGTCCCAAATTACAGGAAATAACCCAGCAAAAATTCCTCAAGGCCCCCCTCCTTCTCCGAAATTTCCTATTGCCGCCCTCATTTCCTACACGACCAAAAAAATAAAGCACCCTCACCATTGTATGAGATGCAAACCGCAAAAAACACACCTGGAAATTGATGCTTATAAGTCCAGGAAATTCGATCTCATCTGGCCAAAGCACACCGAGATTTGCTTTGTTTACAAGCTGTGACCACGGTCACGATGGAACTGGATAGTGCAAAAAATGCGGGTCCCATATCGATTTATTACAAGAATTTCCGCGGTTCTGACCCTAATTTGCCATAAATCGCTGCAACAAGATGAACAATTCAACCCGTGCAACCTGGATGGCTCAGCCTGTGTCCCGTTACTTGATATCCAGGCAATAATACATAATAGTGAATTAGCGTTTTATAAAGGTGAATTGCACTTGTATCCTATATGCCGCCCCGGGACAAGCTCCAAATTTCACGGACCCCATTGAGCAGGTAATTGCAGCGGGAGTTATACAGAAGGGCACATCCAGTTCCTATTCTTCGAAGGCTACCAAATTCCGCTTGAAGCGTTCACTCATGCCGTCCTGCCAAAAGTATTGAAGCGAAAGCTCGGTAAGTGGAGAGAAGGGTTATTATGAAAGCCAAAAGACTAAAGGCGGTAAAAAACAACATTTGTTAGGCGCACGAGTCGTCCCTGCCAGTGATTTTGAACGTCATGTTGAGTTGCCCGAAGCCATATTCCAGAAATTACACATCGAAGAGAAGCTCGCTTTATTTATGGCCCCATCGGCGTCGTATCGTTCAATTTTGGGGGAAATAATCGAGCAAAATGTAGGTACTGCAGAGAAAATGGCACAGTTTCCAGATATTACGCACCGAGCAGTTGCGCCGTAATGCTTTGAATTCTAAATGGTGTACAGAAGGTGAATGTGATGCGTTTGTTGATGAGACATCATTGAACGGGACCGGTGAGCCCTCATTTATAGAATGTCACATATGTAAAAAGCTTAACAAAATTATATAATCAATCATAGTAAATTCTTTCAGGCATCCACATCTATGCGGTCGACCTATTACAAATTATAGAACTCGGCCGGAGATCGCTTTTTTCTGTATCTTCAGGTAAACGCCGAACAATTACCACTACCAACTCTTTTAGTATACGCCGAATTCTCCATACCAGTTGTCCAAAAAGAATACTGCTCTCATGATTGCCGAAAATTTTACTGGGAGTCTAAACGAAATTGCGAGAACGACTGTCAACAACGGTTTTTAGCAGCCTAAAGCTATTATATTGAAAAGATGTGTCTAGCCTGCGCCATGATCGAATAGCAGTGACAGCTGAGATGAAAGCGAGATTCCAGACGTTCGTCCGGGCGACTGCTGTTTCGAATCTACGCGAAAAATACCGTCATTTCTTCGTCAACCACTAATTCGAAAGCGATCGCATAAATTGTAATCTGAACCGTTCTCCTGCAACTTTCCTCAAATTGCTATGTTCCTGCTTTCTGGAAGCTGCCTTTTTTCCGTACGCTCTAAAAACCGATCGGCTACCCCACGGTAGTACTTTGCTCTCGCCGTCTTCGGGAGCTTAGTCTCGGATGTCTCGAATTTCAACAAACGGACCGCGCCGGCCGGGAGAGATGGACGTTCCGATTCGCGATAGCGCACCAAGCTGACGATCAATCGCCGAAGAACGTGACCAATCGAAAAGGGAGGGAAAGGGCTACATGGGCCCGACGATGTGCAGCTAATCTTGACAAGGCGTTGTTAGGACAATTCGTATACTCCGCCAAACCCCCAAGTGGGTACAAACGGGGCGCACATTTCCGATTTTCATAATGGTGGTTTACAGAATGTCGATTCTTTCACAAGAGTTTACAGATGTACAGAGGTTGCGTCGGGGACGATTTTCGGGCGTCGCGAACTTGGAGGCCCTGTAAAACTTTAAATTTAGGTTTAATTTTAGAGTCCAGGATACCATTCGCCGCAGAAATTTTTGCTCGACATTTCGGTAATAGATTTCAACGGAAGTCGCGGTAAAAAAGTTAGAGGCGAAAAGCTGCAAACTTTTCTGAACACGCAGGTCCTAGGATCTCGAAAACACGTCCGATGACCCACCTCCTTTTTTACGGAGTATAATGTGGAAGGGTTTGGCACACATTTTTGTAATGTAATCTCAAAATGATATGTAAAGTGGGGCCCTATCTTTTTGAGACTTATGCTTTTTTGCCCTATTTTGTTCTCGCGCTTATACAAATGGCATCACCAATTTTAGAGAAGTTTCAAGAACTTGCGTAAACGCCCGCCAAAATACTGGCGCGGTTTTAGCGACATTTAGGCATTTTGTGCGCTTGAAAAATGCGTAAAATACCTGAAATTCATAAATAATAATCCTCAATACCGAAGAATGAAAAGGACAGACGTTATGCTTTAGTGCTCACATTGCCCGCGCGTTGCCGAGACGTCGCCGCACCCGCCTTGAGTAGGTTCTCACAACAGTTGCCTCAATAGGCTTTTACAGGAAAAAGTCCGAGGGCTTGAAGAAGCGTTGTCGTTGTCGCGTTGTTGTCGCCATCGCTCGTTGTAACAAAAACGCCAAGTGCCAACCTACCTTTAGGGGCTTCCTGTGATATGTGTTGGCAAGTTGGCTGAGGCGTGAAGACAACAAAGCAGCCGCACCAACGATTCTTGGCTAAAGAAATGTTTGATATGGAAATAATAAATGAAAAAGCTTTTTAAAACATACTATTTTTTAGAACATAAGGTTTTTCGACCCAAAATGGACGAAATGTCGACTTTCAAACACTTATCTAACCTTTTTTGAAAGGATTTCTACTTTGAATATAGTTAAATTTATTAAGAATAGGATAGAAACATGCTATGCATTTGATTACTAGGCCAGCCAGACGATTTATATTGCACAGGCACTTTGTCTCCCCGCCCCTTATGCTAATAAGAATACCGGCTTTGAAGCCGAGCTCCGGAAGTGACCCTAGTTTTGCATGTGAAAGGAGATATATCAAACAGTGTTTTGTTGCGTTTTTCACATCGCACCCATCAGAGTCGCCGGCTACCCATCATGGATAAGGTTCGATTACGGGCTTCTTCCTCACCATGACTGTCCAGAAGCCGGATGTCGCTGGGATGCCGCGTCCGCTTCGCACGCGTGCAGCTTCGGCAATGCCAGCGCTTGGGCGGAGTGGGCCGAGCTCGATTCTGAAGGACAGGGCCGCCCGTCTTCCCCGTATGGGTAGAACTTTTCGATATTGGACTTATTCACCGAACCACCGCTGTCGCGCACACCAAGATATGGAGTTTTTCGCTTTTTTTTAAGATTCCATTTAGTTTTAAAGTTATAAGGCTACGAAGTTTTGGCCCGATACATTTTCTTGACGAATGGAGCGTCGCGTTGCTTAGGTCCTTATTGCCGCAAATTCTGGGCGTGCACCTTTTGAAACTTTTTTCATGGGCTTTTTTCTTTTCTTTTTTTTCGGCTACGGTTTACTTTACCCCCCCTTAACCCGCCATCTAACACTTCAAACGTTTCATTTCAGCCCCGGTGACGCAAGCCGAACGCCCCCCGCTGATGCCGATTCCCCGCCAAGTGCGCAATGACTTCACGGCGGCTTCAACGAGTTCCACCCAGACACCGCCTCGTCCCAAGGTCTCCTTCGTGTGCGAGACGCCGAAAGCGGTGAGCCTTTATTTAGGCAGCTTTTTACGTATTTTTTTCGAAGTATAGAAAGTTCATAAAAACTATTTGAATGGAGGCAATATTTGGTTTCTCTTCACAGATCTTTTATGGTCGCCCTGAATTTAACAACTTTCAAATTTTTAATTTGTAGCAATCGAAAACTAATAACAACGCTAGAAAACACACTAAGAAACGGCGAAATTTTTTGCTAGATACCTGTCAGTCAGTGCTAGATAACAGTCCAGTACCATTACTTTTTTTTACTTGACAACACCTCCTTTTTTCAGACGCCGCCTCGCCTCCATCAGCCATGCCCGATGCCCCAGGAATCTGCCCCCACACCGCCGCACAAGATCGTGGCCAGGATGCCGCCTGCTGCAGCTGCTGCAGCTGCTGCAGCGCGTCCGAGCAGCCGAGCCAAGCCGCCTCCCAATGTCAAGGTCCGGAAGAAGCTGATCTTAATTTATTGCTTTTTCTCTCTTGTTTTTAGCGCCCCATCGTCGTCAACACGCTGCGACGGGCTTCGGTGAGCCGGTTGTCCATCTCGTCGGCCAGTGCCGCTCCGATGGCAGATGCCGTACCAACGGCCACCACCACGACAGAGCACGATGTCTGTGCTGCTCGCAAAACGCTGGGCCCTCGTCTGGTACATCTGGTAAACTTTTTTGTGCATCTCGTGCGTCGGGTGGCAGTTATTTTGCGGGCATGTTATTCTTATTTTTGATGAATCCGGTCAAGGAAAAAACTCCATTTTAGCTTTCAGTTTAGTTTTTCAGTTTCAGTTTTTAGTTTCAATAACTACGACTTCAAAAAGTTTTCGAAAAATCGAAGTTTTTCGTTTGTTGGCCGTTTTTCATAGATTTTCGAACAAAAATATCGGTTTTGAACCTTCCAACCGGCCATAGCTGAGCGTAACTTGATTCAAAAAGCACCAAAAATTTTGAGCGTGTTTACGACGATTTTATAGTTACAAAACGGGCACAAAACTGCCTAACATTCCTACAAAACGGCGGGGATTTCTTTATTTAACTCCTGCCGCCCCTCTCTAAAATAGCCGCCACTCGATAAACGTGAAGAAAACACTTTATCGTTGTTTCCAATTTATTTTTAGCCTCATCGCCTCTCGACTCTCGCCAAGCCGGTGCCTACCATCAACCGAGGACGGCCGACCCCCTTGTCGCCGGTGAGACTTCTCGGAAGCGATTTTCTAATCCTCATTTTCAGGAGCGTCGTGTCGCATTCGAGGGATCTCCGGCTGACCCGCGCAAGAGGGTCACCCCCTTCGCGCCGCGCCCCAAACTGTCAAAGCGTGCCGATGAGGAGCCCGAACCCATCAACATTCCCCACGATGCTCAAGCAAAATCGAGCAAGAACGTCGTTCAGTCGATCGGGGCGAAGAAGCCAGTGGTCAAGCCAGTCAAGCCTGCTGAACAGACGGTGGCGAAGAAGGAAGACAAGGTGCCGGAGAAACTGCCGGTTCGTAGCTGTTTACAGCTAGATTTGTTTTTGAGCATTTTTCCTTTTTCGTACTAATTTTTTTCCTATCTGTACAGATTTGTATTGTCATTAGAATTTTTATAGGAGTGGTCTTTTTTGCAAGATTTAGTTAATTTTAAAAAGCAACATAGCTTCTGTCGCGACTTTTGAAATTGGTCGAGAAATTGATATGTTTCAATTTTTGCGGGCTGTATTTGTTGGTTTTACGTTTAGTTTTACAATTGAAAAACAGCTGAGTACGAAACGCTCCCTTTATTTGTATAAGAAACTTAAAGAAGACAGTTTGGATCCTCCGGAAATACTCAAAAACCTGATGTTTTTCAGATTCAGCCGAAGCCTCACGGGGCTGAAGCCAACCAGAAGCCGACCACCAGCAACAGCAACAAGGCAGACGGTGAGGGCGGATCGCTGAAGGACGGGACACCGGCCTGGTCAGCCCGCGACTTCAAGGTGGTCAAGAAGCTCGGCCGTGGAGGGGTCAGTTTATTCATTGAATGCGGCTAGAACATGTTTTCTTTTCAGTTTGGCATCGTGGCAAAGGCGTTGGCGCAGCGGGGCGGCCGGAAGGTGGCGCTGAAGTACGTGTCGCTCCGCTTCCTCATCCAGCACAACGCCGTCCATCTCGTCAACGAGGAAATCGCGATCCAGGGCCAGCTCAAGTCGGTGTTTTCAGATCTTGTTTTTGCTGTTTCTCGGAGCTTTTCGAGCGTCGGCAATTTCCATTTCTAGGCATCCGAACGTGGTCAAGCTGCACGGCTACTTTTACGAAAAGGACATGCTCATCATCATCATGGACATTGCCGAGAATGTGAGGGCAATAATTTTTGATGCTTTGTATATTTTTTAAACGTTTTGTTCATGAAAACGGATTATAAAATCTGTTGCAGGGCGACCTGTTCGGCCGCATCCAACAGCACGGCGGCCTTGGCGACCCATTGGCAGCCAGGTAACATTAATTTTTGTCCCTCTAATTTTTTATGTATATTTTGCAGGATTGTCTGTCAACTGGCCGAAGCCCTCGACTATTGCCATCGGTCGGGCGTCATTCATCGCGACCTGAAGCCGGAGAACGTGCTCCTCGACACCCAGGACAACGCGCTCCTCACCGATTTTGGGTATGACCTTTCTGTTCCACTTCTAAATTTGCCCTTTTCTAGCTGGTCGGCACGCGTCGAGACGGGCGAGTCGCGGATGACCTACTGTGGAACGATCGACTACCAGGCCCCAGAACAGCTGCTCCGCCGTCGCTACGACAAAACGGTACGTTTCCAAATTTTTCAGTAGATTTTGAGGTACTGGACTGTTAGCGGGGGGTTCAGTTTCCAGTAATAAGAAAAATGCACATTTTTATACATCTTGTACGTATACCACCACATATACCCCACCGCTAACAGACCAGTACCTTTTTGACTGCTGAGAAATTTTTTAAACAGCACAAATTTTCATCGTCATATGTCAGTTTTTTTTACAAAAATAATATAAAATGCCAAAATAAGTTTTACATTTTGTCGGCCGGTTTTTTATACCCCCCCCTAGCACCGAGAAGCACCGTTATTTTGTTGTTTCCAGGTGGACACGTGGGCCCTCGGCGTGTTGGCTTACGAAGCGCTGGCCGGCCACCAGCCCTTCTATCCGGCTCAAGGCAGCGAGTGGCTGACTGGCGTCGTCCACATTCCGGTAACGCCTCGCCTTTTTTTATTTATATCTTTTCTTTTTTTAGTTCACCGACAGCCACAGTCCGATGGCCAGGGCGCTGATCAGCCTCCTCATCCGCGAACGGCCCGACGATCGCCATCGGCTGGAACTGGTCAGTTTTCAAGATTTGGGGAGATGCCGGAATTTTTTACAAATAGCGGAAGCGTTTCTACATTGTTTTTAACTATTCCTAAGCATAAAAACTTGGCAAATTTGAATTAAAAATTCATTCATAAAAATCCAAAATGCCCACAATTTCGACTTTTTAGTAAAATTTAACTATGTTTCAAGTGGAAAAGCTACCCGAAAACGTTGAAATATTTCGAAAAATTCAAGTACACGTCGAAAAAATTATACTTTTCCCATTTTTTAAATTCGAATTTACCCCTGCTGCTAAGAATCCGGAACTCTTACACAGCAGCGTTTGCTAACCCTTGATTTGCAGGTGAAGGAGCACGCGTGGGTCCGCAACTATGCCCCGGACGCGGCGACACGCACCGTGCAGCGCCCATCGCTCCGCTGAAGCCACCACCGCCCAAATATGTCCACCCCCCTCTTAAAACGCGTGTGTGATTGTATTTTTCTATAGTTTCCCTGTGCTACTCGTTTCGCATTTCTAACTAATGATTTCATTACTATAAATATTAATCGGCAAATGGTGTCCCTTTTCTCGGTGCAATAAAATCTCTATCGCCGAATCGTTGTTGGTTTTTTTGGGCGGTGACGTGCTATCCGTTAATTTTTTGCCGCTAGAAAGGCCTGCTCGTCGTCTGGCCGAGCATGAGATCTCGTGGGGAGGGGAAAGTAATTATTTTCGGATTTTACATGAGCTTTTGAAGGGACTGGTGTTGGGCCTTTGCTTTGATAGGTCCTGAATGCGAGATGCTCCAAAGGACGATAGAATTACGTCAATTGACGGCAATCAGAAATCGCCTTGTGAAACCGAGCTTTCAAGTTTCATATTTTGAAAACTAATTTATGTTTCCGGAACCTGAAAGGTGTAGCCGAAATCCGTGTGGCCGAAAACAGAACTTATCATTTTGTATCAATGGTTTTAATACTAGTTGCCCGCTCAATTATTTCTGCTCAAAAGCTCTTGGGATTGAAAGCCCCCCTTGAAATGCCGCCAGCATTAAACCACCCACGATCGCATGGCGCGTTTTAGCCAGTACCCCCTTATTACAGGTCATGTTTGCAACCAACCGCTCAAAACGAATCCCTTTTTCTGCATCTACTCAGCATTTATATGATGAAGATTTCATTACTTTATCTTTCTTCTGCTATGACCTTTCCTAAAGTTTTACCCTAGTTTCTTTTCCAGGTAGAAAACTAGCCGATGCGGTGGCTGGGCTGGCTGTTGCTGTTGGCCTTTTTCACCAGCTCATCCAATGCTGAAGATCCCCCTGGCCAGGTTGTCAATTATTCCTCCTTGTCATTTCCAAATTTTAGCCCAGGAGATTATCTTCAAAATCCAGCCTACATGGACACCAAGCGGACACGCAACGATTGGATCGGGAGACTTCGCAAATCTTAGGTATCGCTTTCTGGCATACTGGATCATTTTTTCTTTAGCTAGGGACGCAAACAGTTTGCGCCCGACGCCAAGGAAGTCTGGAGAAGATACGAACCTTCCGTTCCTGAGCCCCGGCGCTGAATACACCGAGGAGATGGAACAACCAACGTAAATTGTGAAAGTTTTTATTCAATTTGTCATTCCAGGGATCCGAAACTCGTTGAGATGTACAACAAGGCTTTGCGTTTCTTGCAGCGGGGTCGACCCCAGGTATTTAAAACTATTAAAATATCTTTATATTTCTTTAGGGAGTCGAAGCCAGAAAAGCTGCATACAGGCTCCTCGATCAGGCAAAGGAAGCAGGACATTTGCCAAGCAAGAAATTGATGGGTATGATCTATTCTCATGAAATAACGTAAATTAGGTTTTGCTCATCTGTTTGGTGACAATGCTCGTTGGTCGCTTGAAGAAGCAAAGAAGCTGTTTACTGAATTGGCCGAAGATACAGGTACATGATTTCAAGCGCCTTATATACTTTTTAGGCTCGGCTGATGCTCAATTCGGACTAGCGTTTATGCACGCGACCGGTCTCGGAATGGACAAAAGCGATCCTGCACGTGCCTTCATCTACTACAATTTCGCTGCTCTGGGCGGGAATCCGCTGGCAAAAATGGCGCTTGGCTACCGTTACCTCAATGGCATTGGCGTAAACGAAGATTGTGAAGAAGCGCTTCGGCTTTACAAGAGTGTCGCGGAGATGGTAATTTACCACTTTTTGATTACACCACCGTTTAGGTTGTTTCTGATTACAAACATGGCACGGGTCAAGCTACGCAACGCATTCGCCTGGTTGAGGAAATGGTACGTTTACGGTGATTGGATGCTGAGATTTACACCGAGCCTACATAATCCTGAACTGGTTTATCGAACTTTTTTTTAGAGCACGCCCAAGACTTCATCTCTCGCTACGGATAAGGACATTGTCGATTATTATCGCTTCTTGGCGGATCAAAACGACTTGGCTTCGATGGTATCATCCGGACTCACTTTCTAAAGAGCTTTCTAGGTTTCCCTCGGGCAAATCTATATGACCGGTAGCCGAGGAGTGGAGCAGGACTATGACCAAGCTTTCAGGTATGTTGTGTTTTTCAATGCGATGGTTTCTTTTCAGGTATTTGACGGATGCTGCTGATCTTGGAAGTGCTTCCGCTTACGCTCAATTGGGAAAGATGTACCTGGACGGCACCCATGTTTGCGGATTTTATTAGCTACTTTTATGCTTTAGGTGACGCCGCAAGACAACGCAACTGCCTTCCATTTCTTCCTAAAAAGCACTGACAAGGTAGTTTTGTCCACACAGGATTCAATTTTTGTGCTTCAGAACAACATCATGGGTCAGATTGGGCTCGGCATTATGTACTTGCAAGGCAGAGGTGTCACCAAGGTAATATCTATCCGTTGATTGAAACATCTTTCTTTTTAGAACCCAGAAGTTGCTCTGCGTCTCTTCAAGGGTGCGGCTGATCAAGCTTCGGCAGAGGCGCAATTCTACCTGGGCTATATGTTCCACAGTTATGATTTTGCTATTGACTAACGTTAATTCAGAGGGTCTTGGAGTCAAGCGCAACTTGAACGAAGCATTCAAATACTACCAACTAGCTGCACAGGGTGGAAATATCCTTGCAATGTATAATCTCGGCGTCTACTCCATGATCGGTGAGGAGTCGCTATCATCGGCTTATCCATTTCGTTTTAGGTCTAAACACTCTGAGATCCTGCCCGAATGCTGTGGATTTCTTCAAAAATGTGGCAGAGCGCGGACGTTGGGCAGAAGTTCATCATAAGGCCTTCCGCGAATACATGGTTTTGATTTTCACGCGATATAACCATTTTTACAGCTCGGCGAACCCGATGAGGCTGCGCTGAAGTACTTGTTCATGGCCGAACTTGGATATGAAGCTGGACAATCTAATTTTGCCTACATTTTGGACAAAGGTACGTTTTAGTTAATTTTAAACTGGCATGGAGCGATGGTATCGAACGCTATAAAGTATTATTTTTTAGACGAGGCCAAGTCTCTATTCCACGGTGAATCCCGCTACCAAACATACGAACGAGCCGCGCAGTCTTGGCGTCGCGCTGCGAACCAGATGAGTGTACATGCACGCCTACGGCTGGGAGACTACTATTACTATGGATTCGGCACGGAAGTCGACTATGAAAGAGTATGCTTTTGTGTTCTTGTCTAATTTTCTTTAGGCATTCTACCACTATAAGATTGCGTATGAAAAGCACAGCAGTGGCCAAGCGATGTACAACTATGGATACATGCACGCGCACGGACTAGGAGTGCCTCAGGTTTGCTTTCATACTATTCCGACCGTTTGTCTAGGATTTCCATCTGGCCAAACGGTACTACGACGAGGCGGGCATACAGGCTCCGGACGCCATTGCGGCGGTCTATCTCCAGTTGGCAATGCTCGGGTTGCAGTTCGGGTTTAGCTACATCAACCAGGTTTGGTCTTTCCTGGTTGACTCAACAATTCTTTAGAATTCGCTTATTGTCCATCTCGACGAAGAATATCCGTTTTGGGAAGTGTGGGCCCTGGGTGCCATCGTCGCCATCTGCACATATATCGCGCACTTCTTCCTTCAGTGGGAAATGAGGCGCCGCAATCGTCTTCTCCAACAAGCCCAGCAACGCCCCGCCCAGAACCGAGAACATTTTTGATTTCACCTCACTTGCTCCCCCGACTTGTCTGTGATATTGCACTAACGGGCTATCCCTGTGATCGCTGCAAAATGAATTTCCTGTGCCACATACTTGGTCGATCATGTGACACTTCAGATCGCCACGTTCACTCCTTACCAAATCCGGGTTCTGTGTTTTTCTAATTTATTCCTCGGCTATCTACCAAATAGACCGCTTTCTATTCGGATAAATTTTCGGTTGGTCGTTGTTTCTAATGCGTTAGCATTCGTTTTCACGATGGTATTTGCAAAGGGCAGGACCAGTTTGCGTACAATAGAACTTTCGCGGATTCAGCTAAATTACCGAGAAACTCGCCGTTTCATCAATTCCAAAACCACATCCTTGTCTTTCAGATGCTGGGTGCACGGGTCGCTTTTCTACAAACACGTACAAACACTGTAAATTTCTTTCAGCGAAGTAAGTTGTTCCGGTCATAGCTAAATTTTGTCTAGGGACTGAGGAACAGCTATGGAAAACTATCCGCTCGGTCTCCAAGTCTGGTGAAAAGAAGGGTAGACGCTCCACTCGCCAGCCGTTCCGTCCGCTGGACAAGTTTTACCGCATTGGAGCTAGTAAGCGTTTGAGACATTAGCTAAATACAGTTTAGGTCCACTGAAGATCCAATTCCCGGGGCTCAATGCCTCCGTCTCCGCAAAGAGCGAACCACCGCTTGCAATCATTGATCAAACGCCCGATGAACTGAAGGAGTCTGAGCTTAGTATTCGTAAAGGGCTGGAGGATATGGGGTAAGCGACCCTTCTATGTGAGATAACCGTGCGTTTAAGGAAGACGCGTAAGCGAAACAAGGAGAAGCTGCATCCGTTGGAACGTGGTTTCTCAGGTATGAATATTGCCGTTGTCACAAAGCTTCTTTAGGAATACAAGTTGTGGGGCAGAAGCTTGGCCCTCCTCCGCCGGTCGAGGGCTCAAATTTCGAGGATTTCGAAACATATTGCCTAGAGGTAAATTTTCGTTATCACCTGGAAATTTGTTTTCTAGATCAAAAGAACTTCAAACATGACCGGTGTTTTTGGGCGTGTTCATACTATGGCTGCACTCGTCGTCACAGGGAATGGCAACGGCTTGGCTGGCTTTGCGGTTTGCTCTTAGCACTGTTTACGAACGTTTTCTAGGTCGGCAAAGCGCCGCTTCATCGCACTACCACTGCAATCATCAAAGGAATGAAGATGGCATCCCGGAAGCTATTTTTCGTCGAGCTATTTGAAGGCCGAACGATCTACCAGGACTTTTATGCCGAATGCAGGAATACCCGCGTGTTTGCTCAGAGGCAACCCAAGGGCTTTGGGCTAATCTGTCACCCGAGACTTGCAAAAATTTGCGAGGTATTTTGGCGGAATCATTATTTCCAAAAATGTCAACTTTCTAGCTCCTCGGCATCAAGGACATCTATGTGAAGGTTGAAGGTTCTACGAGGAACTACTTGGCTCTCACTCAAGCATTTATTACCGGTCTTATTAACCAGGTATTCCAACTAGTTTTTCTAATTCTTTTTTTTTTCAGGAAACTCACCAACAATTGGCGGAGAGGAAGGGATTGCACGTCGTTGAGATGGATCCCAATCGTCATTTTTTGCCGCGAAAGATTGCTTCTCCTATCGAAAATCGCTTGAAGGCGGAAGTTGAACTCACGGATATGGACGTCAGTTAACACTTGTTAAATTTACATTGGCAATTTCTAGAAGCTCAATTTGGATGATTTCTACGGTGAGGGTCGCTATCCTTTGAAGAAGAACAAGCCGCCCCCATTCTATGCTCACCTCCCGGCGCATCTTGAGGCTGAGTGGCGGAAGCACCCTTTCAGAAATCACCCCGATGTATGGTTTTTTTTTGGAATCACGTGCCGAACAGCAGCTACCGTGTTTTGCTTTCTTTTCTAAGTCGCCAGTATAATGTTATTTTAGGTTATGGTCAGACTGCTGGCTGATGGCGCAGTTGACCGATGGACACGCGACGCTCGAAAAGAAGCTGCTGAGGTAAAACACTGTTTACGACTTTATCCCTTTTTTCTAGGGACAAAGCAAGATGATGGAAGACGGCGTGATGCCAATCCCGAAAGGAATCGGATTGTCAAGAGTGGTCCCCAAGAAGGACGCCTAGGTTTTGGAATTTTTGTTTTAGTAGAGGTTGAACATACCGTTTGTTTGCGATGTGACTATGTTTTCGGGGCTGTATTACATATAATAGCTTAGTCGCGCTATTCCGAAACATAGTTTCTCAGTTCGCATTGTTTTTTTGTTTGCCAATAAATGATCCGTTTATTTTGAGCTACATCGAATACCCGAATTGATTTGGAAAGACCTGGTGTTGAGGGCGCTGAAATTCAATGCCCGGCCGTCTGATCGTTGTTGAGATTTTCCGAATGGGTTGAGGAGCTTGATTCGTCAGCTTCCGGCTTTTCACTAGCGCTGTCTTCGCCTTCATCACTATGTTCCCCGATTGTTTCCAAATTTTGCTTGAATGATGATAGCGAAGAGGCACGCTGAAAGTAGCTTTAGTTTATTTCAACCTTGCCGGATGCCACTCCCAACGCGAAGCGCGTCCTTTTACCCTCCATTCAAAATCCTTTTAGGGACTTACACTGCGGCGCTGCATTTTGTCCCCGTCTTCCTCATCCCTGTTTTTCCTCTCTTCGTCGCGTTTCTTGACTGAAAAATCTTCCGAGTTATTTCGTGAGGAGTCCCTCGATGGCGGCCTAGACGAGTCGAACCGGGGAGGAAACTCTTCCTCCAGCTCGCTGAAATGCAAATTTTTTTTTGATTAATCTCTTCACATTGGTCCTGTATTCATATTTCTGGAGTTATAGTGTGACATACGGCGCATTCACTGAGGGATGTAGTTGTTTGACGGTGGTTCGCTTTCTGGGTTCGGGGATCATGAACATCAGGATGATCGGTAAGAATAAGAGACCATGAATCATGCTGTAGTGTTTTGGTAAAATAACTCGCTTTCAGCTCACCTGAAGGAGATGACTAAGAACACTGTCTTGAAGAAAATTTGAACGATGTACGAATCGACTAGGGTCAAAACACATATTCCGAGGATTGTCGATGATGCGCCCTAAGAACTGGGTTGGTTTGGAATAACCTATCTACCAAGAAGACTGGCCATCCAAGCGTCTCCAGTGATTCAACAGCGCGCTCATGAGCCGTGCCGAATGCCTAATGATTGAGAGGTATTGGTTTGCATTTATCGGATTCCCTGGTTACCTGCGAATAAGCGTATGCGATGTGAGCAGACAAGTCGACGGCAAATCCTACGCACATAATCACGGTAATTACCGAAACCGAATCGAGGTTGACGCCCCAGAAAGTCATATAGCCGAGCACACCTGTTAAATGGAGATAAAGGTAAGCTATATCTTTAGTTTTAGGTTACCTATATTGATGCTTCCAATTGCTAAAACCACGGCAAGTGCGGCTCGCCAATCGGGAATCATGATAACCGTTGCGATAAACATTGACAACAATCCCAGAACAAAATTTCGAGTCAAGGAAGGTTTCAGCTCGAGGTACTACAATCTTATTTAGAAAAAGGCTCTTGGCTACCGACCTGGTCTGCAAATGGATAATACTCATGGAAAGTGGTGACGTTAAACTTCGTAAACTGGGCGGCGATCGATCGCATCAGCTTGCACGAATTTGTATGATCAACCGGGCTGTTGTAATGGCGAAGCCCGACTTGGAAGCGGAAAGCTTTGAGGGTGTAGTGATCCTGAAATTATGTCCGAATATGAAACAGGTAAATGATCTACCTCTCCGCTTCCCCAAACCATATCCATCTCCCATAATCGACGACCGCCTGCAACCAGCAGCCAGTCACGACACCGCCTGTACCATTCTTCTTTGCTGGAAGTTTTTTAGTTTTAACGCGCTTTAATAAGCCGTACTTCGTCGGCTTGGCGATTCCGAGATCTTCGTGTTGTTCGTGCAGGTAGCGCTCGTAGGCATTTAGCCATAGCATCGTTGCGTTGTGAGCCATCGTGTATTCGGTGTGTTCAAATGATCGTACTAGGGATGAGAACTCGGCTCTAAACATCACAGTTAGTTGATGAGGCTATTTTTGTTTTACCTTTCTGCAGGGTCGGACAAATCTGGTGGGGTAGAGACAACCACTTGCATCTGCAGCCCTTCATTCCAAAAAGTCTCGTCGATCAACGTGTAGAAGTTGCTGAGGTAGAAGTGCTCACGCACCAGGAATTTCGGGCTGTAATCGATACGTATTATCACATTAATTGTTGTTTTTAATTGTTGATTTCTAGTGCATAATTCTACTCACCTGAGCCCCTCACGCATTTGGCAACAACCGAGAATCGCAAATGAAAAATACACGCAGTAGATGGCCAGCGCGCAATATTGCGTCGATTTTTCGAGGATGAATGGCCCAATTACTTCTTTGAACAATCGACTGACCATCGTTTCCTCATCCTTTATTCCCTCCATGTCCTAAACCATCGTCTTAGCGATGAAAGACAAAATGAACTCACCGATTCATGATGTTCGAGCTTGGTCTCAAATTTGCGCATAGCCTCGCCGAGTTTTGTTTTCCAACCCTTTGTCGTTGGCTCCTTTTCGTCACTGTGCAGCTTGATTGAAACCTTCTTTCGGAATCTAGCGCGCCTGGACACCGATCCCGCCAACAAATGCAGTTGTAGGTTATTTTCTAAGGATTTCCGGTTGTTAGCCTGATTTTATCAACTAACTGGCTTCACCCGGTTCAAGAGCCTTATTGAAAAATAAGGAATGCTTTCCATGGTCTTCCATTTCAGCTGAATAAGCAAGGATGGGTGAGAAGAACCTTGAGAAGCGCAGATTATCACTAAAAATTGTGCTAAAGACCCACCAGAGTTGATAAATATAGGTGAATGCGCATTGGACACATGTGTACAGGCAGAACATGCGGACTCCCGGCAACGGTGTGAACATTCCGATCGCAAATGTTGTCTGGAATTTTTCATGTTTAAATAGGTTAACTGGGTTTTGACGTTTTAATTAGTTTTTAAGACCTACAATATCGGTGACGGATGTGATGGTGATAGCCACAGCGGCTTCTTGCAATGTCTCTGCCATTCTCCGTGCGGGGCTTAGCTCTGGATTTGTTCGATGCCAAGCAGCTGACATGATGAAAAGGTCGTCAATGCCGATTGCTTAAAAAGATTATAAAGAGATTCCGGTATATAGCGGGGCATTTTAAAATCCAAGTGATTACACGCAGACTTACCTAGCACCAAAAATGGTGACACGTTTACGATAGCATTATAATACGCCCCACTCCACAGTACCAACCCAAATGCAGTGACAACGGCCATTAACGGGCAAACAAGACCTATAAATATATGTAATAAAACATTAAACGACATTTTTTATACCTGCGAATGCGACGATCGGCTTGCTGCGCACCCAGTCGATCGCTAGCACACCATTTTCGTGCCGTATCAGCACAATCGAGACGGCATAGCAGAAAGTTACCAATATAGCGCATGTTCCTGAAAAATTTGTTGCTTTATCATGTACTTTTAAATAATGATTTAATCCCATTAATAAGTTGACCCACCGACAAACTTTGGTGCCAATGTATCGGCTACATCCTGCAACCCCTCTGGCAGTGATTCGTTGTGGAACATCCCGAAATCCAATATAGCTGAATTTTCCTAGTTTTTCCAGTTTTGTTTTAGTTTACGTGATGGTGGGTGAGTTTTATTCGTCAAGTAATCGGTAAGCCGCTTTCTCCAGATAAAGCTGACATTGCCCACCTGCAGAAAAACGTTGTTTTATATAAATTTTGTTTTTACCTTTTCTTCTCGTGTATTGTAGGAAAGCCGAATGGCTTTGGCATAGTCAAAGTGCCCTTCTCCGTCTTAAATTATCGTACATGCGGTTTTCCTATAGCGTAAAATACCGTTGAGATGCGGTGCCCCAACAAGCGCGCCAAAATAGATAGGTTCTGTCCCTCGCCAACCAATCGGGTATGTCACGTTAATCTACAATAATAAATTAATTTTTTTCACGCTGTTGCGCACCTCCTTGACGATGATGTCGTGCGCAAATTCGGCGATCGATTCGGAAAAGTTTCCCCAGCGTGAGCGTGGCATTAGCATGGTGAGATGATCATTGAGGAAGCATTTCCATTCAAATGTCATGCACAAATCGGTGTAGGCTACCTAAAAAAGGACCAAATTTTGCTTTAATCGTTAACAGTCGTGCTAGAAACACGATATATTCTTGTAGCACTCTATTTTTAATATTTTTCGATCTTACAAAAGTATAAAAATTTTTACATTTTGAACGATTATGCAGTTTTCGACACTTTCTGATCTAATTCAAGGTTTTACCAACGTAAAAACATGTATTTAGTAATTTAAAATTGTTTAAATTGAAATTTGTCTTACCTCATATTTCTTCCCCTCGACTTCAACGGGTATTGTTAGGTTGTGAATAATATAATCGTTGACACGAGCCACTTCATCGAGATATGCCAACGACAAAATGTTGGGCCGTCCATATTCGTCTTCCACCCGCCCGGCAACTACGAATTTTTATTTTAGTAATTTTGGACATATAGCTTACCGATAACATCGACGAATCCCTTTAAATCATAGCTTTTGCCCGGCCAGAATCGTTGTTCATCAAGGGGCCAATACTCGGAAAGAATCTAGAATTTCAGGTTTTGAAGGCAAGCTCAACTATACCTGTCGCTCCTTTCGCCACGGAGCACCTTCCGGTGAAAATACATATTCTGGATCTTTTGTCGTCTAAATGCGTATTAACAAATACAAACCAATAAAAAAAGCTTAAAAACCTGCTGATCGATCCACAAAAAGCCGATCGATGAAAAGGCGGTGAACAGGATTGAAGTGACAAGGAGTGGCAGTCGAAATCGATGGCAGATTAAGCCGAAGCGGAAGAATATCTGTGTTTATTAGGCGTTTGGTAAGATTTTATTTCGATACCTGATGGATATGGTCATCAAACCAGGATGCGGCCCCCATGCGGGGGCGTTTTATCGATTAGAGGTATTCACTAAACTTTCGTATGAATTTGATGAGTTTGAGGTTTGCAAGGCAATTGGAAACCGGAAGATATGGTTTTTGTGGCCTTTTAAAGGGACGTTGAAGGCTTGTCTTGTATGCAGCTTCAAGCAAATACCAGGGCTCGTTCAAAAACTATTTCACGGGATTTTGAGGGTTAGATAAACCTGTCATTCGCTGAAAATTTTCGAAGAAGCTTCTCTGCAAATTCAAAAAATCACATTCGGAATCAGAAAAAATCCTGCATAGGCTGGACTAGGTCACGAATGGAATTTCAAGTCCATATAAAAATAAATCACGGTTGAATTAAATCAAAACATTCCTGACGAGCCAAATGAAATCGATAAATCGCCGGCGGGGGTTTCGTTGTGGTATCTTTTTGAGCCTTCCAACCCCGCTTTTCCCCTTGGAGGAACAGGATCCGCGTCAGTCCCAAAAACGGGCTGAATGACGAGGGTGGATGGTGGTTTAACGTGTTACATTTGGACCTTTTCTGGCAACGGATTTGGTTGATCTACCCATTTAAGTGTATACTTTAAGGAGACGGTTTTAGGGGCTGATTGGGTTTCCTACGATTTGCCTCCATTCCACTCTCGCCTTTGATCGCGTATTCAGTAATCGGGGACCAATTGCCTTGCCTTGCCAGTCCCTTTAATGGATTCGACAGTTACGTGTCGTCAATAAACATCGCATTATATGAATTTGGATAACATTAGCGGACTTCAAAGCTAATTATTTTACCAACAATTCGGGCCGGCTCAAAATGATCTTTCGGCCACCGCAGCCTGTCAAAAATGTGTCATTGATAAATGGGGGAATATAGGGAGAGAGAGAGAGAGAGAGAGAGAGAGAGAGAGAGAGAGAGAGAGAGAGAGAGAGAGAGAGAGAGAGAGAGAGAGAGAGAGAGGTAGAGACAAGAGAGAGGGATAGCGAGAGAGGGAAAGAGAGAGAGAGAGGGAGAGAGAGAGAGAGAGAGAGAGAGAGAGAGAGAGAGAGAGAGAGAGAGAGAGAGAGAGAGAGAGAGAGAGAGAAATAGAGACAGGAGAGAGGGATAGCGAGAGAGGGAGAGGAGAGAGAAAGAGAGAGAGAGATAGAGAGAGAGAGAGAGAGGGAGAGAGAGAGAGAAAGAAAGAGAGAGAACGAACCAAATCCTAGGTGACCGATAGAAATATTGAGAGCTCTAGCGATTTCTCAAAAGAAACCGACACCGCGCGGGATCTGTGGATTTTTTGGTATTGTGAGCGGCCAACCAGGGCGATGCATTCGGCCTCCCACAATACCCAACGCGGTGTTGGGCGCCAAACTTGTCGTTCCAACCGCCCTGTTACGGGCTCATATTGTGAAAAATATTAAAAATACAGACGGCCCCCGCGCGTCATAGCACCGAATAATTGAACGGAAAAGCTGAAAATAACACGGCTTATTGGATTGTTTGACTTGTTGAATAGGATTGTGAAATTTCGAGCTGTTTTTTAGAAAATTTCAACAAAAAATCGGGAGCGCAAACTGGGGGGAGATATCGCGTCAATGGTGAAAGGGGGGAAAACGAACAGGTTTTAGAGACAGGCTTTTCCTTCGCTGCCCCCTTAGGGGGATTCTCCACCTCCATTTTCGCCATAGTTCTCTTTTGTGGGTTTCGTGTGTCTCTTTCTTGAACTCATTCACTCTCTCTCTCTCTCTCTCTCTCTCTGTCTCTCTCGCTCCATAGTAATTCTCTAGGGATAATTGCCAATGAGTCATCCGACTCGGTGTGCAATGGCATCACGATTACAAAGGTTCTCTTTAGAATGAACTTTTGCCGGGTATTGTAAATATATCTTTCAAAAATTCAAAATAGTATTTAGTTGTACGCAGTGTCTTCAAAATTCAAAATAGTATCTGCGTAGGCTAGCTGAGCTTATGCCTAAGATTTTGGGCTTCAGGTTCTTAAGCGTAGGCTTAGCATGCTTTATTAATTTTAGTTTAGTTAGGCTGGAATAGACTTCGCTCAAGCTAACTCCCTGTTAGTAATGAGTAGGTTTAGATTAAGCTTAGCTTACACTTAAACTTATACCTAGATTAGCTTGGCTTGGCCTAGGCGTGACTTAGCATTAGTTATGGAATAGAAATGACTTCTGCATTTTAAAAAAACGATATTCGCAATGTTTTTTTAATTTCACCGGATATCTATAGTTTTTGGGGTTGGAACAGGGCTGTACACTAAAGACAACTCGACGTCACCATGGGCAATCGTAAACCCAACAATTAGGGGATGGCTGCGCGTCGCACTTTGCTTCTAGCCGGCCCAAATGGAAAAATTGAAGTTGGTACCCGGAACTTTTGAACTATCTCCTGGACTCTTTCACTTATTCCCCGTGCGAAATTCCAAACCTTTCCGCTACGCTACTATCAGCGGAACCTCATCACAATCCGCGCAACATTTATGATGGCGACTATGCAAATATTTGACTTTTGCTGCTCCCGTGGGGTCCATCGTCGAGGGGGAAGTCTTGCTTTTTCTGCTGCTTTTCTCGTTCTTTTGAGAAGTTCTCGGGTCCCAGAGGTGATTTCTCGCGGAAGGGGGGGGGGGGGCACCTCGTCGCGATTCTAAAGAAGTCCCGCCCCGCTCTTTTCCACATCCATGCTCCTTCCGCTTTTCGGGGTGGCAAATTTTTTTGCTTTTCGGTGGTTTGGACTGTTGGTTGAATGGTAGGCTTACCGGAAAACATGCCTTTTAGAATTTTTTGTGTTTGTAGTGCTGCTATTTTTGACCAACATGAAGTAAATTTTGACTATTTACATTTATTGTTGCGTCCACCTATACCCTATTTTTTTCTACAAAGACTTTATTAATTTCTAGTGGATAACTTTTGCCAATTCTGAACCCAATATTCCGGACACTTTCTGACCGGGTCCATTCGAAAATCGATCGGATGGCGCGGCGAGCGTCTGGCCGGTTTGTTCATCGTTTTTAGCGGCCAGAATTTTGTTTGCCCGGCTGCCATCCATCCAATCGGACCGCCAAAATATGGGCGTCGTAATTTCTGGACGATTTTTGTTATTGGCGATCGATTTCAAGCGAATTAGGCTATGTTAATAGTTCATAATTAAACGCCTTAATTTATTTTGCGTTGCGTCGAGCCTTTTTCCGGGGCATGTTTATTGATTTTTGGGCTTATTTACATGACTTACACATTTTCGAAGCCGGCTTTGAGGGGGTTGTAACCGATTACGCAATAAAAAGACGTTGATTTTTCGAAAAGCTATATATATTTTTCCTGATACCGTGTGCGTTGCATTTTGTGAGCGGCAAAAATCTATATAATATCCATAGTAGTTCCTTGCCTGCTCCTTTAAACCCCCACCCCCCAAGGGGATGCCGCCAGAAATTGGGGGATGCAAATCGTTTCCAGGCTGCTTTTTTGCCGGGCGGATCTGGGCCGGATTGTGTCCCGTCAGCCAGTCAGTTCATGCTGCTGCTCCTCCTCTTCCTTCTGCTCCTCCTCCTGCTCTCCTTTAGCCCGACGCCAATTCGATTTGAGAATTTGCCCCCGACCCCGAAGCGTGGGTGTGGTGTATGTGTGTATTTCGCTTCAAAAACGAGCGGAAGCGTATGCCATGCCACAACTTTTGCTAGGCTATCCAAGAAAATAAAATTGATTTTTAGGTGTTAAAGATTTTATATGGTCTATTTAAATTTCCAGCTCAAATTTTTTTCTATTGTTTGATTTTGTACGATGTACGATTTACCGTACCCATTTGCAGCTCCCACGGTAAACCAGCGTGACACGCCGGGCTCGAAGATGCGAAATAAATGCTGTGGCGAGCCGTCAAGTACTTAATAATTTATCCCTTTCTCCCGCTCACCATCGCAAAGTGCCTCAATTTGGTGGGTTGTGTCTTTAGAACTCTTTAGAGAAGCAGATAGCTAGCTCTTCGTTGGGATTGTCAAGCCTAAAAGGGTTTCGGAAAGCTACACACTAAAAACAGGCTTTGTCAATTTTACATGCAAGTTCCGGCAACATATCCTCAGAATATTGGGTTTGGGGAAAATACCTTAGCGTAAGAAAGAAACGTCATTAGGTATGTGAAATCCAGCAAATGATTGGATACATATTCAAATAAAATAAAAATCGGCTGTTTCGCTAATAAATTGAACTTTTGTGAAAACCTAAGACACCACCCATGGCTACGAGAAAATAAACGCGCGCCGGAAATAGGGTCAAGTCAAATTTTTTAAATCTGATTCGCCAAGCAGTAAGCAAAATTCTTGTAAACTTTGATCATCACTCTATTTTTGTGCTTTTAGAGCTGAAAGTTGTGATTATAAGGCTTCCCCCCCCCCTCAAGAGCTCGCAAAAACTTTGAAGGTTGTGCCGCTATAGCTAGCTCCCCCCTCCCACCCCGAAAATCCATCGCACCTATTCTTTCCCCATTCATTCGGAAGCGGGCGTGCCGCTTCTGAATTCGCGAGTGCTTTTTTGGGGCGGCTGGGTGGGGTGAGCTTTGAAGGGGGAGGAAGATCGAAAGTAAAAAAACACAAAAAAATTCAGGGTATTTTAAGATTTTAAAACACCCAATTTCCCCAATTAAAATATTTTTGTTCAGTTCCTCCTGATCGAATCAGTGGCAATATGGCAGTTGAGCGAGCTACACCGCTACAGCTCTTTTATTGCGTTTCTTATCCCTTTAAGGTAGGTTTTTGGCTTCAAAATCAATTGTAGAAAATTTAGTGACCTGCTTGCCGTTGGGCTGCTTCTTATCTCACTTTGGTTTACGGCCCAGAAGTTTTATTGGCGGCGAGTGGTTGGTTTTTCAAAAATCTTGAAGGGGCTTAAGCTTTTGGGCTTGGGTTTAGGCTTGGGTTTAAGTTTAGGCTTAGGGTTGGACATAGGACTGGGCTTAGGCTTAGCTTAGGCTTCGCTTTGGCTTAGTTTAGGCTTAGGCTTAGACCTAGGCTTGGGCTTTGCCACCAAGCCAACGAAGTTTAAGCTGAATCTTAGCATTTTGAACACTCAAAACTACAGAAAGTTGTATTTCAGGAGCTAACATTCGACGTCATTGGACTCCTTTGCAACCTGGTCGCGATTTTTGCCGTTTTTCGCAACGATTTCACGCACGGGATACTCTATAATGTTTTGGTAGGGCTCAAAAAAGTACTATTCTTTATTCAAATTCTCTAGTTCAATCACCTCCTCTCATTCATCACTTGGATATTTATTGTCTGGTGGGCCGCGTTGAAGACCTGGAATACCGTCTCAAATCTGTTCATCTCCGAATGGGGCAACGGTACCGAGGAGCATGAAATCGAGGCTTTACAAGAAGACTTTTGAACCAATTCAAATATTTTAATTCCGCCTTACCGCATTCCAATATTGCCATGCTTCTCCTTTTCTGCATAATTATTCGGGTATCACTGTGGGGCCGCAAATAAAGAATAATTTATATTATGCGGGCATCTGCTAAATATAAACAAATAGAACCTTACTAAAATATATACGAAGGAAATACGCGACAATGGCAAACATTTGTGAGCATATCAACGTGTGGGGGGAAGGTAGAGCTTAAAAGGACATGAATAAAAAGTCTAGCTTCTCGCCTCCTTTTAAACAAAACCATAATTTGATAAAAATAATCGAAATCCATATGTATTAATAGCGGCCCGTATCAAATACAAGCAAATAAATATGGTAGCAATAAAAATAAAAGAATAAAAGATAAATAGACAGTGTACATGGCGTTAGAAACGGACATCCGAGAACAGAACGTGGGTTACGGAGAGACGAAGAGAAAAGATGAGCTTACCCTGAGTCTGGTTGAATAAATAGAAATAAAATAAATAATAAATTAAAGGGCACACAGACAAGAGGTATCGGGGGTGGGGGAAAAGCGTTCATTCGAGTGAGGGTGTCACGGTTAGGGGGGTTTTTGGGTGTTGGGGTGGGATGGGGGAATTGAATAGATATGGGCTAATGTTGGAATTGAGCTAACTACCGTCCAGACTGCTTGAACAGATATTCAAACTGGGGCGGGATGGTGGGGAGAAGATCAGCTGCTGGTTGGTAGTTTTTGGCGATTTTGACGACCTAAAATGATTGGGTTTGGGTTAGGAGGGCGCTTGGTCTTGGTCTAAGCTTAGGTTTAGGCTTAGGCTTAGGTTTAGGATTAGGTTACCCTAGGCTTAAGCTTGCTCTAGGCTTAGACTTACGCTTAGGCTTAGGCATACGAAGTCTATCGCGCCTTATCAGCAATTTTCAGCAACTCCTTACCTGCTCCTTTAACATATCCAATGCCCCCGCTGTATTCGCCCAGCGCTGAAGCCGTTGTAGATTATCAAGGCCGAGCGTACGGTCGACATGGCCGAGCAGCTTGGCTTGGCTGAAATTTCCATAAATTGTGACCAAATCTGCAAGTGCTTACCTGTCTAGTTTCTGACTTCCAAGCGCCACTTCCAAGATGTCAATGGCGGCTGCTTCAACCGGTGTCCCTCGTTCGAAATGGGTAATTGCCTGGTTGAAGCCCTGATCGGCCTTGCTCAACACGTTCAACATAGCCGATGGCCGGACCTGAAATTAGAACTTTAGCTTAAAACTAGACGTAGAATCATACCGTAGGCCTGGGGTTATGTGTGGTTTCGAAGTATTGGCCGCTTGGCTGCTCGGGTTGTTCGAATTCTTCAAAATTGTCTGGTGGTGGGATGCCAGCAGCTGCACCTCCTACGCTCACAGCTGGTACCTGAAAAGCATGGAAAATTAGCCGACTGAAGACTTTTCTAGCCCCTTTAGTAGTGTTTTTGAGATCGTAGGGTATAATGCTCCCGGAGGTACAGAAACATGGCCTCACCCTTGGTGGCAAATTCTCTCCCTCAGGAACCGATGCTCCGTATCCATCTCCAGATGGTCCACGGCTGGGCACAAGAGCAGAATCTCCGGTGAACATGCCACCATCATCTAAAAAAATTAAATTAGTATAGGTTTAAATCCAGTAAATTAAAAAAAATAAAAAACCCTAGTTTACCCTTTTCCCGCGCTCAGCTAGCTTCACAACTAAAAGTTTACCTCCACCCTCTGGTGTTGGCTCCGGCTCGGGCGGTGGCTGCTGCTTAGGTTTCTTCGGAGCCTTCGGCGCCGCCGGCTGAGGAGCAGCAGGTCCAATACCAAAACCTCCGGATCCGCCTCCAAACCCTCCGCCTCCACCTCCAAACGATCCGAACGGAGAACCACCTGATCCGCTACCGAAGCTGCCGGCTAAAAATGATCGGATTACCGTATACCGAGCATGTAAGTACCTCCAGAACCATCAAAGAATTCCTTAGGTGGTGTAACTGGGCGGAGACCGGAATTTTGAGGGATCACGAACTCTTCGTTATCCTTATCTGCAGAGGGTGCTGGTTGCTTCCTAAACAACAAATGATAAAGCTAAAAACGCAGAAAATACGGACCTTTGCCTGGGCCTCCTTGGTGGCTGCGGCTTGGGCTTGGGTGTGGTTTTCGGGGCTTCCTCAGGTGGTGCGACATTCAGTCCATTTCCATTCCCATCAATCACTCCGAAACCGACATTTGCGAACTCTGGGGGAAGCTCGGAGGGTCCAGCGAAAGCGGCTCCTATAAATCGCATTTGTTTTTAATTACGTAAACTGGGTACCAATACGGTAAGCTTCTTGCAGTTTACAATAAGCTCACCACCATCAGCAGGTGAAGCAACTTCACCATCGCCAAATCCGATTCCACTGTCTCCAGTATCCTCACCGCCCTCGAATGGTACTTGCGGTGCTGTGGTAGTTGTTGTTGTCGGTCTTGCAACCACGGGCATTGGTGGTGGCATCGTGCGGGGGACAACACCTACAAAAGAAACACATTTTCAGTCGGAATTGATCTCTCCAAATTTGGATTTTCGTAGTGCGGTTTATCAATGCCAATTAGAATAACTAGTTAATAACTTGTGAAAAAGAAAAATCATTAGAGATACATTTTTAGCAATCCACTTAACAACTACCTGATTGAGATCCATACAGCTGCTGACCCATTTCAGTCTTGTCATATCCGAATCTAAACAGCAATTTACAAAAATCTTTACAAATCCTAAAGTTGTCAATGTTCCACTACCCACTTGTGCCTAGCGTTGTTCATATACGGCGTCAAGTTCGGCAAGTCGTCAATGTTATTATTTTTGGTTCCCTCAACACGAGGCTCTCCCGGCTTTCTGATGTGAAGACGCGGACGCTGGGATAGTTTTTGGGAGAATTGGAAGTGACGGTAGACGGGAGTAGTTCTCGAGTGATATCCGCCGGGTGAAGCAGTGGCTGATTCTTCGGGGAAGCCAAATTCAGAGGTGGGCTCATCGGGTTCAACGTCTTCTTCTCCTTCCTCATCTTCATCACGATCTCCCTGTACATTGTTTAGAGGAGAGGGTTTTGAGCCGAAACCGCCGCCGAATGGAGAAGCTACTGCGCCTGTAATGATGTATCTCTAAAGTTTTTGTTGGCTTAGACTTAAGCCTAGGACTAGCCGAGCTTTTGGCTTAAGCCTAAGTGTCATAGCAGTGATAATGACTACCTGAGCCAAATCCTAATCCAGATCCGAACCCGCCCTCGCCCTTTGGCACCACATCAGGGATTTCTTGCTCTTCGAATTTGTCTTCTAAACAGAATATTTTCAACCAAAATACTAAAATAACTAATACCATTATTCGTTTCATCGAAAGAGCGAAGTAGCGGCCCGTTGATTCGCGGACGGTGCGATGTCCAGGGCTAAAAATCAAATTTAAGGCCATCCCTAACTTGTACCTCGTAGTTTGGCACAGATTTCCTAGCCTCAGCCGACCCGCGGCCGACACCATGGTCTTCCGATGCAGTTGTGTAGATGTGATTGCTGGAGAACGCTGGTTAAGGAGGTTTTAAGATGGAAATAACCTTTGAGGCTTGCCAGAACGAGGGCTTGTGAAGTCTTCCGCTGAGAGTTGCCTAAATGATGATTGTAAGTGCTTCGAATACATACTATTTCAAAAAGGTAAAAATGTCGAACTAAAATATGCCTAAGCCTACTTTAGGACTTAGATTTGGGCGTAGGCTTAGTCTTTGGTACCTTTTTTTCGTAAAATTTTACCTGATCTGATGCGCATCTTTCCTGCTCTTCAAATTAAAGTTGATGGTATCCGGATTAATGCCAAGCTTCTTCCACCTCGCCTGTAAACCGGAAGTTCTTCGCAGCCAAATTAAATCGTACCTCCATGCGCTTGATGCGTTCATCGTCGAATTGGGCAGACCACATTTTTCTCCTCGATGGGGAGATCATTGTGCCCGTTTCAGGTTCTTCAAACTAAAAATAGGGTAATTTAGCTCTGTTCTAATTTTCAAACCGTATTGCTGCTGGCGGCTTGATGGTGAGCCGTTAGATATACGGGTGGGAGTTGGGCTCGAGGGGCAGCGAACTAAAATGTTAAATATTTTAAGGCTTAGGAGTATAGGCTTGGGCTTAGGCTTAGGATTAGGCTTGGCTTCAAGATTCGGCTTGGCTGAGGCTTAGGGTTAGCCTGAACGAATTAAAGGTACCTGCAACCTAAGCGGCGCCGGGACGCTTCGAGGCTGCTGCCGCCGGAGTATTCTAGACTGTACTTGAGGAGAATCGGCGACTTGTGGAGCTTCATATACCGGGTGAAGCATTCGGAGTCTGAATTACATTATCTTATGCAAATACTTCCGATGTGACTTATTAAAAATCCACTAACCACCTCAAAAAGTGAGTTTTAAACCCTAAATTAAACCAGTTAAGTCGACTCTCCTTGCCTAACCGTGAGTCTGATAATAACGTCTCTCCAATGAATTGTATTATTTTTTAGAAACTGATAAAAGCACACTCCGCCTTGTTAATCACCATAAATTGTCTTTTAACCACAGCGGCTTCTATATTATGTAGTTTATTTATATTAGAAAAAATGGGTTGGTTAGTACCTTCGAATACCGAACAACCTTCGATGCGATGTGGGGGCATCTCCGAATGAATGTTGCTGAAAAAAATAAATATATAGAAGATTTTACAGTTTTCTTACATTCCCCCGACCCGTTCCCCGGACTTTTTTTTAACATTTTCCTGATTGATGGCTTCGTGTAACAAATGCTGAGGGGGCAAAGTGGAAAGCCCCAAAAACAAGATCCGTTCCCTGTCCGGTATCCATCTCTCAGGTTTTGCGATGCAAATTCGGCTTGGGAATGGAAGGTGGCCATCGAGACCGGCCTCCCCCGCTAGGGTCGGAGCGAAACCCCGCATTTTCGCTGTGGGACGCCAAGGAAGGGGGGGGGGGTGAAGTCAGAACAGGTCGAAAGCAGGTAGATTTTGGTTTGATGGTCATGTAAATTTTTTTAAGGAAGTAGGATTTTCTTGGGATATACAGAAAATTCACTCGCCATAAATTTGGATGTATAGAAATCATTACATAAAATTTCAAGGAGTCAAAAACTACACTTAAAGCCCAAAAATCCCATCATTATCCTGCTGCATTTTTGGGTCCTGCCAAAAGCCGCAAACCCTCAGAACACAACGAAACATCTCGAGCTTATTGCGGTGGTGAGCCCGAGGTTGTAGGGCAGGTTTTGGCTTCGAGATGCCGTTCAAAGGGACACCATAAAAGGCTGACCGAGCATATCCCCCGTAGTCCTTATTGCTAAAAAGTGCCCTCAACAGCCCCCCACAAATCGGCAGGTCGTAAATTCTCGGATTGGCTCGGCGGTTGTGCGCAACCACATTGCCCAGCGGGACGGCATCTTGGCAGGGTTATGGTAGGGGGAAATTACATGATGGAAAAATTTTGGAAAAAATAACTATGCTATTCTTAGAGGATAAAATATATGGCACAAAAGATTTAATAGATTAAAATATAGGCTGAACTCCCCGGGAGTAGCAGGCAAAGACACACAGAGGCACACTGTTTTTGTATATAATAGTTTTCTAAATTAAGAGCGTATTAATCAACAAAAGTTTGAACTTGAATCACCCAGATTTTTAGAGCCCCCTAAGTTTTCTTTTTTACTACACCTAGGTGCCGGATCCGATGTCAAATGCCCCGGTTTTCACAACGAATGTGTACCGTTTTTTGCCATGGCCTGGAATTCACGTTTTAGCTGTGTGCCTCTGGAATCAGGGCTCTCGATCTACGCATGGCCTTGGGCGAGTGCCAAGCCAATCCCGATTAGCACACCGGGAGCTTGTTCCTCCTTTCAAAGAAGAAAGAAACATCTCGAGAATAGACGGCACTTCTGCGGCGATCATTACACTCCTTGAGAGAATAAGGGGAGTTAAGGTCATTGGACTTAAAACCGGAAATGTGGGGTAGGAGGTTTTTAAGTCTTTAGTGTTCTTAGGGTCACTTGGGCGTGAGGGAGGCCAAAATATTTGCGCTTAAAATGTTAGGTTCTAGTTTTGGCATTTTTCGGGTAACTTCAGAGGTCAGAGAGGCCAATATTTAGAGTTTATACTACGGGGAAGATTTTTTGAGTTGACGTAAGGTGAGAAACGGCCAAATTTACAGATTTGCAATGTGGTGACATTTTTCGTATTTCTTTTTTTCTCAAATTTCTCAAATTAACCATTTGACGATGCAGGAGCAAGAGTTTTTGAGCTCACTAATGTCAAAATTTACAGGTTTTACACCAATCCCAAATCGATTTCACGCTCCATTCCAAGGATGTTCAAAAGCCGTCCCCTCTCGGATATCGGATCGCTAACACAAAGGATTCGGTGGGGATGAATAGACGATCGGCTGGCCGCAGAGCAGATCCGGTCTTTCAAACAGCCCTTTTTCCTGTCTTCAGCTCGAGATTCACATTCAAATCGTCTTCCACCCCCGTATCTCTCGGCCTCCCGTTTTCCACTTTTCTTTTCACCCCTGATTATCAGCTGGCTCCGTTGCGCGCGTCTTTTTCTGTGTCTCCCACCCCGCAGGCCATGAACCGTGAATCCGGTTCACAACTATCGGGAATCGATTTTGGAAGGTGACGTATTGGAGTGGAAATATTGATGAAGAAGGAATTTGAGGGTCTAGAGAGGTTTGTAGCAGCCTGCCAAGCTTGATGTTACAAGAGCAAAAAACTTTAAAACTATAAATAATCGAGCTCTACTATCGAATGAAAAATCGTACGCATTGTTACGCATCTAGACAACGTCGAAATAACACGAAAATTCGTATGAAAGGTACAAAAGACCAAAATTCCTTGTTCACAACGGAGGTCCTTTAAAGGGACCAGGAAGGACCGGAAGATTATGCATAAATCTGGTTGTACTTTCAAAACTAGCATAAATTGTCTCCGCCTCTCTCACATGGGCTCACTCGCGTCCCGTATTTTACCTTAGTATTTCCGGTTGGCAACTTACGAATTGTAAATGAGCACTGATCTACGTGGGCCTCAATGATCTCTTTAATTTAACCTTAAGCTTCAACTTTGCATCCCAATAAGCCTGTTTTCCCAGGCTGTATAGATATGTGTAATCCCTAAGTCAGACACATCCACCCTTTCATTCACAAGTTGTTCCCCCTTGCTGCCACCCCAAAAAGGTTGGATTCCCGGCGCGCGATGCGATGGAATGGGTGAAGATGCGGAAAACGATCCCGCTTTCCTCGACGCCCTTTTCTTTCCTTCTTTCCTTCTTTTCTTTGGGTATCCCTTCCCAGCTAGGGTCCAGTTTTAAGGGGGGAGGTAGAGGTGAGGTCGGCCGGAAAGCGGAAAGCCGGGAGCCGACAGGTTTCTCATAGCAAGGGATGAGGAGAAAGAGGAAGGATAAGGGGAGGAGGATGAGAGAGGAGACATTCCCTCTAATCAAGGCACACGCAAGCATGCACCAGCCCCTGTGGGCGCTACGTCTAAAAGATGCCGCTAGGGGGGCATGTGAGACTTTTGAAATGACCTTTGCGCTTTTGGGTAGAGGTTAGGTAGAGTGGGGGTTATTGACCGGGGTGGAGGTTTTTTTGGGGGTGCATACGATAGTACGGTTCGGTTCAGCTTGCAAAAAGTGACTTCAAGGAGTTCAAGGACAAAAATAAATGACGGCGGAGATAAGTCGGGCGTGCTTGCGTCAAGTCCAAAACTATGAATTCAGGACGAGACCTTGCCCATCCCTTTAAAACCCTCTGCTTTTTGGATCCGGTACTGGACTTTTAGCAGAAGCAGAGAAAACAAATTTTATTTTCCATCTGTAAATAATAAATACTGTATTTTTATAATCTTTTTCGGAGTTTTTATTTACTAGAAAGTTGTAACAATATTCTAAACGTTTCTGAAAATGCGAAAATCTTGACCCTATTCTGGGTCATTCATACGTTTTTGAGCAAAAAGTCCAGAATTTTGGGAAATTGTTATGAATTTTTATGGCTTTTGCACCTAAAAAATGTGCTATAAAATGGTTTTTTTTTGTCATAGGAACGAACAGCGTCACCAGAAAAAATAGTCTCCCCCTGCTAAGGCCCAGTACCTCGAATTCCATTCCCCCCGCTTTGCACCCGAATGGCAGTCCGGTTGCCGGATCCGCATATAACGGCTTGACCCCCCAGCCATCCATCCCTCCCTCCCTCCCTCACAATAGCTCCGTTCATTCCTAGCTAAAGAAGACAGGAAGTGGTGTATGTGTGAAGGGTGTGCCGTGTGCCTTCGGGGCATTTCGAGGAAAGAGGGATGGAGGCATGAATGGGGAACGAGTTCCGATGGACAACTCGATACAATCGGAATACCATGGCGGGCTGTTCAATGGTCCACCCCGCTGCTAAGTCCGCTAGCATACCCGTTGCGGCGGGGTTGAGGGATGGGTGGCTGGCAGCAGGGCGGTGGGAGTCAGCAACAAAGCGTTCCGGGTCAAAACTGGCAACGGAAATGGAGTTGAGGGATGTATTGGAGTTGGTTAGGCGGAAGTTTAACTACGGGCTGCTTACTCGCTTACACGTGCGTAACTCTTGACCTTATCCCTCTGCGTAATTAGGACGATACGAAGGATTTGGCAGAATTTTGCATCATTCCGCATAATTCAAACTTTGCGGAATCGCGATTTTCCGGAAGTTATGAGTGACCTGAGACCGAGAAGCGCTAAAAGTGAGCCATTTTCGATGAGATTCGTAACTTAAATCGTTCAAAACTTTTGGAAAATTGCGATTCCGCAAACATGGTGAGCAATTTTGGAATCTGAGCAAAATTCTGCACAAGATAGGCTTAGTGAAAACATGAACCCCAACGACACTAAAAACGCCTCCTTGTTGTTGTTGTCCCTGTGCACTTATCCTAAAAACCCATTACTAATTCCCCCGTCTTCTCACGCTCTTCATCTCCTCACTTATTCCAAAAGAATTGCTGTGCCCGTGTTTGCCAATGTGTATGTGGCAATAGTGAAAACTAGAAGAGGGAAAGATGTTTCTTAAGGGTCTGGATGGCAGTGTGTGTGGACGCGCGTTCCATCGGACCTCGCAGCCCATTCGTAACCGGTCAGTTGTCCAAATGAGGAGACTGTCTTTTTCGTCTATTTCTCGGCGTCTCCACTGCTTGCTAAGGGGGAGGTCTAGGAATGGGTTGACAGCATAAGAAAGGAGAAAGATTAAAAGGAATTTCAGTCATAATACCGACAAGAGAAAATTCTGACAGAAAAATGCCGATACAACGCATACTAATACACAGTAGGCACGGAACTCCGTTCGGGACGATCACGATTGCGTATCGGTATTTTGATTGTCGGCATTTTGGCATGCTATGCTTTTTGCTGTCGGTATTTTGGCAATTCAGGATCTAGCCGTCGAGATTTTATGTTTTCTATAGGATTTTAGAGGAGTGGATATTAAATAGCTTTTTGACACCAAGATGAAAAGCAAATAAGGTATAGAAAAATATTAATAATAATAAATTCAATAAAATTTTAACTACAAGTCTGTACGACTTTCCTTTACATCTGCTACCCTGTTTTCACCATAACCGAAAACACGACTGATCCATCCCCTCCTAACAACTGGAACCACCTTAGAGCACATATCTAACAGCGACTATTCCTCACTCTTTCTCTAACCCCCTCCCCTCATCCTCCTTCCCTAAAGCGCCAAAAAGCGAAAATAATAAGGGGGAACGGCATCCGCACCTCTCACTTATCCAGTTTTACCCCCAACCCGAGCCCCCCTCCTCCTTCTCCTCTCAATCCGTCTTCCTAGAAAATATAACCCAACATGGCACGTCAGCAGGCTCATATGTCGCAAATAAAGCATGAGATGTTGGAGAGGAATTTGGATAAACAAAAATGAAACTATTAAAAAATATCATAAGTTTCAGAACTAGTTATAGGGCCATTGACCCTTAACATTCGGCTAAGTTCGAAGTTCGACTAGGTAGAATAAGGGAATTTAATGAATAAAAATAAAACATACGAAAGACATGGAACCTAGTGAGCCGTGAAGTTAAATCCGTTAAGCTTATAGTTAAACTAAAGAAAGGCTATTTAATGAATAAAGATATACCATTTAAAACGCTTAAAACCTAAAGATCAAAGGGTACAAATATAAGCCAAACTTCTAAAATAAAAGGTAAGTTAAAGCGACAAAACCGTGGAAACATTCTAGCGACCAGAGATTCCCACTTTATTAGCTGGAATCTAGCAAGCCGGAGAAACCGAGAGAGGGGAAAGTTTTGGTGTCTAAAAAAGGGTCAAGTCTAGTTGAGGGGGATGGCAGAGGATGTGTGGAACCTATGGGATTGGTCGATGAGCCATGGAATGGTAGAAAAACGGATCGGATTTCCGGCAATGGAGAGGCATCCGAACGGCAATTTTTGGGTTTTGCTTTCGATTTCTGGATTCTTAAGTTTTGCCAGGTGTGGGAAGTACTTAGAAAATGATGGAGAAAATGGGGATTCTGTATAGATAAAAATACAAAAATTCTGGTTTCAATTCCAGGTATCCGGATTAATATAGTGTAAATAGAGGATGTAAATCTGGAGAAGCAAAAATGGAGGAGAAGAGTATTAAATGATCAAAACCCCCATCATATCCTACCTTTTCACGAAATTTTATAAAAAAAACAACGAGAAAAATAAGCATAAACCAAAGAAGCTCATAAAGATAACTTACAGCATGAGCCACAACGGCCACCAATAGCAGTAATATCGGCCATAGTTGTTGTTGTTGTGTGGGCGGCATGTCACCCCCTCAAAACAATAAAAATCCTTTCAAAGCCGAAATTAACAAAATTAAGTGTGAGACTCTCGGGGGCGGCGTAAAGAGGAGCCTTGCGGACTGTGCTGAAGGGGTGGAGAAGGCTGCGAAAAGCCCGATGCGCCCTCAGGGCATGTGCAGAGGCGGAGCCAACCGAGTCTCGCACTGTCTACCATCCATCCCTAGCTGCCCCTCCTTTTCTCTCGTTCTCCCCGTTCTCTGTTCTCCTTTGACACACTCCATCCACATAATTGCCAAACAGCTTCGCCCCTTTAGAAGCGGAGGCGACGATCGAAGACCTTGAGGCGTGGAGGAAAACCGATCCGCTATCAAATCTGTGCACCGTAACAAGGCTCTCGATTTTGTCATCAGGGTCATGAAAGTGAAGGGGGAGATGGGTCGAGAATGGAATGAAAAAGCAATGGTAAGGGGAGTTTGAAGGGAAAGTAGGCTTCGGCTTAAGCGTAGGCGTTCGCTTAGGCTTCATCTTAGGCGTCAGCTTATGATTTGGTCTTGCGTATCCTAGGCTTAGATCCGCCTAAGCCGTCACTTGGTTTTGGGCTGAGGCCCATGCTCAGGTTATGCTCAGGCTTCGACTTCGGTTTAGGCTTAGACTTCGGCTAGGGCTTCGGCTTAGGCCTTGGCTTAGGCTTCGGCTTAGGCTTTGGTCTAGGCTTAGGATTCGGCTTAAGTTTCGGCTTAGGCATAGGCTAGGCTTAGGCTAGACTTTGGCTTAGGTTTGGGCATAACCCTAGCGGTAACGATAAACTTTCTCTCTAGTCTTAAAAGCTCCAGCCGCTAAATATACCTTCTTCTACAGCTCTTCTCAAGCTTCAACCAAATCGTGGGCCCGCAGCCTGTTCAATCTATAGAAGTGTGCCGCTGTATGTGTTGATGCAAGAGCTGTCTGTTCCTCTGTCTGCCTTTCTGTCTATCGATGCCCTTGAGGTATGCCTCGAGATGAGGAGGCTGTTATGGCATTCAACATCCCTTCGAGACCCCCCCCACACACTCTCACATTATATCACGGCACTGGGAAACCGCCAATCTCGAGCTGCCGATTCTGCTTGCGAGATAGGCGAGCTAAGCAGTTTGGGGTATTTAGATCAAGCTGAGGTTGAGGTAAAGCTTAGGCTTAGGTTTAGGCTAAAGTTAGGCTTGGGCTTAGGATTGGGCTTTGGCTTTGGCTTAGGCATAGGCTTGGCTTGGGCCTGGGCTTCCGATTTGGCGAAAGCCTCGGTTTAGGCTTATCTTTCGTTGGGCTTCGGCTTGAACTTCTACTTAGACGTGCTTATGGCTTAAGTGCAGGGTGTTGCAGCGTCCCGGGCTTCGGCTGAGATTTAGGCCTAGGTTTTTGTTTCCACAAATGCGCATAATTTAGACGTAGGCTAGGCTTAGTTGGTTAATTTATCATACATCTCAGGCTTCCACAATATTAGGCGAACCAACACCATCACTTGAAATTCCCAGACAATCACTTCTCCTCCTTTTCCCATCAGCCGCCAGGCATTCGAACAGCCGTAAACACTGGCAGAAAAACAGAGGCGGATGACAATGACAGTGATGTGTCGTCATCACAGTCTGCATCGTTCCGGAAACACGTCCACTGTGGGGGATGAGCAATTTGCGGTCGTGGCGTCGTTCACGGATGATTTTGCGCTGTTGTTATTCGAGGTCGAAGAGGAGGTGGAGGTGTGGTGGAGGTGGAGGACGAGGAGAAGGACGAGGAACGGGAATCGAAATGGATGCCTGCAATTTCCGGGGTCTAATCCGCGTTTCGCGCTCCAACGCCCTCACTCACGCCGCCGAGATCCTAGAAAGAGGAGGAGGAGGGGTGAGAAAAAGTTGTGAACGAAATGGTGGGACTGGTTTGTTGTATCTGATTCTTATCGTTGATGCTAACTTTTTGTATACTGTGAAATCGATTCTGTACGCTCTTCCGCAACTGGAGGACTACGGTAGAATTGACAGTTCGGGCGGGCATTTGCGAAAAATAAACTGCATTTGGCAAAACTGAGGCAAAAGCATCCTTAGTTCAGGCTTTTTAGTGTTGTTTGCCTGATCACCCCCAAAAAGCAGCCAAGCAACCAGCTACAAGAGCGTTTTTGACATCGATGATCTGTCGGGTGACAGTAGTTGAAAAGTGAGAGTTTTGTGTGTGCCTCATTGGCAATGAGCATGACCGGATTCATTACTCACTTTTAGCCTCACTCGATCTTCTCGGGTGAGGGCGGTTCAGTCCTACCCGCTGCCAGATCCGAGACGCGTGCGGTTGGTTGGGGGTGAAGATCTAATCGACCGAATAGAACGGCACCTTTTTGCTATCAGAAAGAAAGGCTGTCATTAACGGGGGGGGGGGGTGGGGTGTTTTGGAAATAGCTTCCGCTTTTCGCTTTCTTGTACGAAGCAAAAACATTTGGCAACTCGCCAGGTTCTGCAAACGAAAGTGACTATCTGACCTCATACCCATTTTATTCCCACACCAATTTCCCGACCAAATCGCCGATCTCGCCCGATTTTACGGCTGAACGAAACACCACAGAAGGGCAACGAAAAGCTGCAATAGACACGGCCCTCCCACCGGCGACGCCCTTCACCCAGAAGACCTGTTTTTTTGCGTGTTGAAGGATGGGGACGGATGGATGGATGGATATCTGCCATCGGCTGATGAACAATACAGAAAGTTCCGCCCATACGCTTCTTTACACTCCCCTATATTCCATAAAAACCACGAAGATCTCCTATATAATTCCCTTTCATCTGTCAAAAATCGGGACCGCGATTCGGCCGCAGAATAGTGAAAGGATTGCAGCGATGGATGGATTTGGTTTTGGAAGATCGATGGAAGGAAGCTAAGCGTCGACATTTCACAATGATTCTGGAAAGCGGATTTCTACAACTCTATAAAAATATGTAAAAATAAATTATATAAAAAAGAGCATCTATTTTCTACGTACATGAATTTACATGTAACTTCTGACAATATTTCCGGAGAAACGCGCGAAATAAACTATGGAAAGTGTCAATTATTTGGCCCGGAAGGGGCCAGTGTAGTTTTTGGAAACCTGGCTAACACGAATTTGATAACAAACGAAATATTGAAATCCCCAATAAACTCCATATTTCGCCACCTTGGTCATAATTCCGACGCACAGAACAGCTCGAATTTTTGAAGGTATCCCCCAAATTTACGACCGGATCACCATAAATTGCAAAGTAACAGAATAAAACAAGCCACGTCGAGACCCGAACCCCAAATTGGCTGCCGAATTTTGAGGGTTTGAACTATACTTTCGCCAACACAATTCCCCCAAACGTGAATCTCAAACTTTAGCTCTCCAATTCCAAATTATTTTTGGCCCCCACCAATGGCTAAAGCATCATTTTTAAGACAGCAAGCCGGGACGGTTCCCCCATCGCCGCATGATTCAGTAAGCAAAACATTCTGAGGGCCGCCGCGAATTTCAACAATTTCCATGATGCCATTTTGTCATGCTTTTTCAGAGATTTTGACACGTGCCCACTGTCCTAAAATCTTTAGGATGGCTTCCCTCAGCTGAAAACACATCGAAATTGATTAGCCCCTGAACAGCTTCATTTTATTTTCCAATTTCGTGTTTTTGGGGAATGAATCATGGACCTTTCAGTGGAGCTTACAGTCCAAAATAAAGGCGTGAGGTGGGGCGGAATTGCGAAGAAGAATGTTTGGTTCGGCCCAGTCACACCGACGTGCCAGGAAGGCCCAGGTCGGCTGCTGCTTTTCACTCTGTTGTTTTTGTTTCCGGCACTTCTGATAGGAACTTTAGAATTAAATCTTAACGAGAGCCATGGACGAAAAACAGCTTCGCAGCGTTTGAACCTTGGTCCCATCTAGGCTCAATAAAAATCTACATTTTGTATATTTCTGCTTGAAAGATGCTAAACAAGATGCAAAACACTTACTTGGGTAGCTTTATATAGGATACTCCCACTTCCGGTGAATGCTAATTGTTTCCTTACAAAGGAGCAAACCAAGATTTCGAAAACCCTAAATTTAGCGCCGAAACTCGCTTGTTTTGGAAAATCTGATATGTGTACAGTCCATTACGCACCTAATTACCAGGAAAACGCTGCATTTTATATATAGCTAGCATCAAAATTGGTGCTAAAATCATTCATTCAGGCCGGAATCCCTGAATCAGGGGAAGCTGATCCAACCGCTGAACCGCCGGAAAGTCCATCCTATAATTTCTCACAGCATCGTCGAGTATCGACTGTGACTGGCGACCTTTATTTTGACGTAAGCTAGGTCGTACTTTATAATCAGGTTCTTAGGTCTCAAAAAGCCAGAACATCCCCAGAATGGCCTACACGATCCCCAACAAACCCAAGGGCCCACGTCCAAGTCTCGATGATTTTGAGAAACGGGCCAGCACCGGCAGCCTCTTTATGAGAGGGTAATAATGGTATAACTCTTCTAAGCTCTTGTTTTAGCAAGCCAACCATTGTCCCGATCCATCCGGAAACCGGAAACCGAGTCGAAGTCAATAAGGTTTGTAAGGAAATAAAATGGTTTAAGCGCTCTTATCCTTCGCCCACAATCCTAAAAAAAATACTTTTAGCTCCCCATCCCTTCCACAAGACTTGTCCCCAATTCTCCCCCTGCTGGCCGTAAAACTGGAGTGTACGGACCATCAGCTATTGTTCCAAAAAAGTTTAGGCAACTACAAACCACATCTGCCAAATCCTCTCCCGCCTTGTTGCCTGCCAAAAATGAGGCAAGTCGATAAATCATGATGAATTTACGAATCTTTCAGAAGAGTGATGCTCAGCGTGACAAGGAGCAGAAAGTTATCTCGGAATTGGGTTTGTTTAGAAGTAACAAAGCAACTGAAAATTTGAGGAAATGACGGCGTTTTGCATAAATTTAACATGGACACTTTGGTGATTGGAGAGGTATGGGAAAAGGCTTTTGTCGATATAGTTTTCAGATTTGCGGAAGTAACCTGTCGGATATATCTGGGATTAAGCCGGCGAATTGTCCGAGAAGAGGGTCCGTCATCTCGAATCCTGGTTATTCCATTCAAGACCGTAAGCCCACGCACTCTTTAAAAATAAAACCGAAAGATCGCATGCTTCATATTTCAGGACCTACTTCACAACCTGGCAGCCGTAGACCATCAATCTACGCTCAACTCGATGAACTGACTTCAGCTGAAAATTCCACTGCCACCCCGCTTTATCGTACATTCACCGTGCCCAGAGTAAGCAGTTGAACTTAGAAAACCTTACAAAACACTTTACAGGCGTCATTGGTGGCACAGACTTCGGTTGAACTACCATCCATCACCATCCAGGTTAACACGCAAACCGAAGAGAACTGACCCTTTTGATAACCTAAATACGCTAACTCTGCAATAAATCGCAGCTCCCAGCCAATCATCAAAACCTGAAATTGACAGCATAAAAAAACGCAGAATTCTGCCATTGTTCTAAAGACCGTCTCTTCACTTCAAGATATCAAAAAGCAAAAAGTTCGCAGCGAGCAGGGTTCGAACCTACGCGGGCAATGCCCATTGGATTTCAAGTCCAACTCCTTAACCACTCGGACATCGCTGCTGGTGGGGAGGGCGCCCAGTGGGGGCTATGAAGGCTGCGGCCTCGCCCATTGGTCCGCAGGGGGCCAGGCATGGGGTGTCGTTTCTCGTCTTCCCGCGCATAAAAAATCTTCCCAGCGTTGTAAAATAGGTCAGGTTAAAGAATCGAGATATTATTTGTGTCGTGTAATTTGTCGGGCGTCATTTTTCCGATTCATTTATTATTTATTATTATTACCAAGACTTAGAAGAATTTCAGGTTTCAAAGATGCTTACAGCTAGAAATCCGTATGAATCCGTATTTTCGGTATTTGTACTAGCCGTACGTTTTTAAAACCTGCGAGAACCGTCTATATCTGACTAGATTTTGATAAAAAAGCTGATTTTTCACTCGATTCTCTTCAATTTACAAATGTAATTTCCTGTGTTCTTCCGGTGCGCAACAACTTTCATCAGTTTAAGGCATCTTTATTTTGATAAATTGTCTCCGTATTCAGCAAATTATTCGAGCAAATGGGAGGTGTAGAGGCATCAAGGGTGAGGCCATAATGTCCAAAGTCACAGCATGACAATGCGAAATAGTGTTAGGGTACTCGGCCGCGGATCCCGGCCAAACCCGATTCCAGCCAGGATTCCAGCTCACAAATAATGACATATAAAACCTTCCTAATAGAGCTCTGTTTTTTTTCTTCGTCGCGTCGCTATTCTTCCAGCTTTATACCCGTAGTATTTCAAGGCGGTTGTTGTAGCAAATGCTGATCCAATCGGGGAAGCCGGAAGACCAGTGTACTTGGTTTACCTGAAATTTAGCGTATCGTAGCGTAGCGTATCGTTTTAAAAATGGACAATAATATTAGTGAGGAAAGATAGTGTACTCACTTCAGCGGCCGCCTGATAAGCAAGTATTGGATCGTCAACAGGCCTTGGAAGCTCGTGTATATCCCAAATAAGCGCTTGCGAGTCGTCACCTGACAAATTCAGATGTATATATTAAAATTAAAATTTAGGCTAGATACGTATCAAAGTCCTAAAATACCTGCGGTGCATAGATGACAGCTAGAATGTGGTGCCCAGGAAACGCCGTTCACCGAAGCACGATGATTTCGCAGACGTGCCACCGGGGTACAAGGAACCCTTGTATCCACGATTACCACCTAAGCACTCAATTTAACACTAAATTCTACTTGTCCTCACCTCCGTCGAATCCTTGGCAAACGTACACAAATAATTGTTATCTTGTCGATTCCAGCCTATCCGAAGTAGGGGTTGTTTCTGAAAACGGGCTCTTCTTTTCTGCCAGACCTTTTAAATGAGCTTAAAGATTCAACAAAGTCTTGCATGTGAAAACGGACCTGTGAATCCTCGTAGATGATTGTTGAGTGGTCAAGGTGGCGCAAGTCAAACATCCTCACCGAGCCATCGTTGCCTAGAAAAAATTACTTCACAAAAAGCACAGAAATAAACCCACCAACTGATGCAAAGATGTCTTTGCTATGCCGGCTGAAAGCGATGTCGAATACTTCACTATCGTGAGCGATCAGCTAAAGGATAAATTAAATGGATGAGAATTTTTGTATAGGTCTTGAAATGTACAGTAAATTAATAGGCATTGTTTTACCAGGTTTACACAACATATTCAACTAGAAAAGATTACCGAAAAACCTTAAAAATCGGGTTTTTTTGGTCGAAAACTTGGTTCTTTTCATATTTTTTAATAAAAATGTGTAAAATCCAATTCTTAAAAAATTTGAGGACCATTAAAAACTATTTCGTGACTTAAAATAACACACCTGTGTCCTAACCGACCCATCCATACGCCCATTTCGCGTCTGCCCAACCACCTGCCCAGTCTAAAAAATTTCATCAACCAAACCCTTCATCTTCCAAACCTCGAGCTGCCATACTGTACACGTCGTATCAATGCTGCTCGTCCCGATCAGATTGAGGTCCACCTCATTCCAATCAAAACTCGTCAACGGTGCACAGTACTCGGCCGTACGGTTAGTATTCAGCAACACTTCAAGACTCGCCGAATCGTCTTCGCCCAACTTAAATGAAAAATCTAGAATTTAAGTGGTGAAAAGGCTTACCCGCCATAACCGCAAGTAATCGCCAGAGGTGGCCAGCAAATCAGGATACGTTCCCTTCGAATCCGGGATCCACATCAATTTTGTGGCGGGATAAGGATGATCAAAGCTAGATCGGAGCACCAATTCCCAACACGACTCGTCAAGTTGCACTATGGACACCTAGAAAACGGTATGATACAAAACTTGAATAATTCGGTACCTTATTACTATATTCTTCAACGAACGAACTGACGGCCAACCGGAAACGCTTTTCTGGGTCTACGGATGGGCTCCAGCAAGAAGAAAATAAGGTTGAATTCGCATCGTATCCTGAACACAGCCCTTTCTTGATTAAGCCCTGATGAAATACCGTATATTTCTTTGCGTTTATCCTCAGCACCGACAGCACCGATCGAGCCGGTGGGGGCCTGGCCACCACTACCTTGTGGTTGAGCATCGGCGTATGAAGCAGAGGGTGTCGACATTTCCGGCGGCTGAAAATGAAGATTCGGAGCTGTTGAAGTCGGGGGAGCATCCTTTTTAGGTTTAGGCCTTGGCTTAGGTTTAGCTTAAACTTTTCAAAAGCGTTGCTTAGGCTAAGTCTTACGCTTAGCTTAGGCTTAGCTTAGGCTTAGCTTAAGCTTAGCTTAGGCTTAGCTTAGGCATAGTCTAGACATAGCTTAGGCTTAGGCTTTTGCATAAGCTTGACTTATGTTTGCGTTAGGTTAGGCTTAGGTATATTGATTACGCGGAAAAACACTTACGATAAAATTCTGCTGATCCGGATGATGAGTCGGCGGTTGCATATGGAGGTGATGTTGTTGAATTGGAGGATATTGGGAAGCGAATCCGGCGGTTGACACCATTTCATTCGCCCTGTAAAGATTTTTATCAATCGTAATTGCCCCGTAATTCCCATCAATCGTTTTTTTTTCAGTTAGAAACAACTTGGTTAAAGAAACGTTTGAATAAAGTAACTACAGAAGAAACTCTTCTTTCCGTTTTTGAACTTACCGAGAAGTTCCTGGTGTTTGGGCGCCCATCGAGGAAACTCCCCATCCGGATGACGAAGAATTCTACAATTTGAGGTCAGTTTTCGCAATCATCTACCTACCTGGGAAGGATTCGAATTTGTTGAGGAGATCATCCTAAATTTGCCTTTAGAATGCTCAAAAGGGTTTAGCCAGTAGATAACGATTTGCCCGCAACAAATCTCATTAAATATACTCTTTTCATCGGAATTTTTTTATTTCTTTGGGGGGTATCAAGGGTACAAGCTAGCTGAGGGTAGCGAAAAGCAAAGTGGAGATCATCAGTGTATAAGTGAATCGCAGTTCCTAGGAGATAAAGAGTGAAAAACGGCGCCCAATTGTTCATAAGGGAAGAAATAAATAAATTCATATCAGATCTAAGGCGGAGGGGGTTTTGTGTTTTTGTACAGTCACAAGAAGTGGTAAAGGGTACAGTAGATTGAGAAGGAAAGCAAGAATTGCATAGTTGTCTAAACCCTTAGGATTTCCAGGGTTTTGTTGAAGCAGATGCAGATCCAGTTGTTGTGGACGGAGCCCCAGTGTACTTGGCTGACCTGAATGGGTTTTTTGTATAGTTGTTTGTCAAATTTTGTTAGTAATGGGTGATAATATCCTATAAAGTTCAAAGAAAATTTTTGGTCTATACAAACCTCTCCGCCAGCTTGATACGCTAGAATAGGGTCTTCAACGACTCTCGGCAGTGCACTGACATCCCAAATCAACGCCTGATTGTCGTCGCCTATAAAAATAACGGTATATTTCGTTAATTAGTTAAATTTAAACTGAATTATAATAATTTTGACACGATTCAACCCTCACCGGCCGTGCAGATATGTTGCCCGGAATGCGGTGCCCAAGCGACGCCGTTGACAGCTCCTTGGTGATTGCGAAGACGAGCCATTGGTTGACATGGAACACGCATATCCAGGATTAGCACCTGAACAAGAGTATAGACTAAGATTTATACATCTGAATTCCCAATGAGTAGAATAAATTAGACGCGTCGTCCCTACCTCGGTCGAATCCTTTGCGAAAAGCGCCAAATGTTGTTGGTTCTGCTTGTTCCAGGCGAGGCGCATCAGCTGATTTCGTTCTTGGTCTTCATAGATGATCGTGGAATGCTCGAGGTTGCGAAGATCGAACATTCGTGCAGAACCGTCAGCGCCTAAAGAGAATTTGTGAGAATAGACTTCAAATTTCTGGGTCTTTTTATTTTTAACTCACCGACTGTCGCAAAAATGTCGCGTCCGTTGTTCATTTTGCTGAAGGCGATGTCATGAACCGGCTTAAAAATTAATTTAGAAAAGTGATATTTTTTGTACCTTATCATGGGCAATCAATTGTGTCCGAACGGTCCCCGTGACGGATGGGCCACCGACTTGCCCGACTACTTGTCGTGTCTGAAAGTTTAATAATGCGTAGTTTAATAATAATAATAATTAATACTATTTTAAACCAGGTGTATTTTATTTCAGAACATACCTCAATCTGCCAAATCGTACATGAAGTATCTATACTGCACGTTCCAATCAATGATGGGTCTACCTCATTCCAGTCAAAATTTGTTAACGGAAATGCTGTACCGCCCTTTCCCTAAAATATAAAGTTCCTATTAAGCTGGTCTTTTATAAAATTCAATAAGTTTAATACTTATAAAATTTAACCTACTGTGCTTGAGAAGCATCCCTCTTCCGTAACCATATTTTCTGAAGAAATCTTCCAAATCCGCAACGCATCCGAGCTGGTTGCTAATAAATCCGGATAGTTGTCTGACTAAAATTTGACTATTTATTTCAATACTATGGCCAAAACTAACCGGATCTGGTATAAATGCAATATTATTTGCCGGGAATTCGTGATTGAAATTGCCTCGCTCTACAAGCTCTCCCAGTTCTTCATTGAGTTGGACGATTGATACCTGTAGATTTTAAAGTTTTTGATAAAAAATATTCCTGAAGAACTTACCCTATTTTGCTGCTCCCGCTCCACCGTGCTGCCCACAGCCAGCCGAAATCGAGCCTCCTTTTTACATGACCACGCCGAGGCATAGACCGGCTTTGTTGAATTAAACCTGAAAAGAAAATCTGTATAAGATTTAGGGAGACTGAAGTTTGAGTAGCAGCCTTTAACCAGAAACCGTACTTACCGGAACCATAAACCCACAACCCCAAAAATTAAGCTAGACAGATGAACGTGACCTTTTCTCTGCCTTGGTCATTTCAGAAGCCAGAAATTGTAGAAAATTATGTACAGAATTCTAAAAAAACAAGTCATAGATCGGAATTCCGGGCGCAACATCTTGATTTCGATGACTTTTACATTATTTAATTAGGGGCCGAATTCCGGTTAGTTTTAATTATGGAGATTATGCATATAACCACGATCCCGGAATAATAGGCAGCTTAGGCTTCAAAGTGTAAAACCAGGATTTAAAGCGCAAAAGGTCGACAAATAGCTTGTTTTTAGCTTGTAAAAGACCCGAGCCATTCTTCTCAAAAACAAACGTTGCATCCTAATTATCCTGCCATCGTTTGGCGTTAAAAAAGCACGCGGGTTTTTGGAATACGTATAATATCAAGAAAATTGTAATAATTTATGAAAACGAAATCCGCGTGTCTTCGCGCTTTTAAATAACATTCCAATGGTGTAGTAAACAGACTGATCCGATCTTTCTATGAACCGCTCAGGAGATACTTTTTTAAGGTAACCTTCTCTAGTCTTAAAACAAAGCACAAACAACAAACAATTCCACTAACCTGTAGATTTCACACTTTTTGGCGGTGGTCCCAGGCTGTGGTTGTGGATGAGCAATGGAATGTTGTATAGGCGTGGGAATGAGCGGATTGACAGGCTTCGGTGGTGTGTAACCGTTCATGGACGGTGTGGCGGCGGACATTTGTATTTTGCCGGAGGGCAGCCGGAGCGTGGGAAACAGCCGAAAAGAGGGGGAGACGGTCAGCGGGCCGGTCGATCAATTGAACTGAACACTACAGACAGAGAGACACACAACGGCGGATAGTGGTCAGTGCATACACACAGCACCCCGCGGGATTACAGCGGCGCGACTTGCTAACGTTGCAGGGAGGGGAGAGGGCGATTGGAGTGACCACACGCTACGCGACACTCCTTTGCGCTGCGGTGATAGGATGGACACGGATTTTTATTCGAGCGCACCATTGGCTCGACTTCGTGAACATCTGCTCCAGTTCTTGCTTGCCCTAATTCCGGTGCAGCACTTCAAAACCTCCAAATTGCCATGGTAAGCGGATTGGATTGTCATTTTGCATGGTTCAGGATCTTGGTGTTAATGCATTTGCGGGGGGGGGCGGTCGCCACTTTCCCTACAATACGCTTAAAACTTCGTTTTATAAACTCTAAGCTTCTGGGAAAGTCAAGCTAAGCTTAAACCTGCGCTTAGCTTCATACAAGCAAGCCGATATAAGTCCTATGGAGCTTCCAGGGCAGCTCCAAGCTAAGATAAGCTAAACCATAAATTAAATTTAAATAATTAAATTAAAATTAAATTACAGATAGTAATCATTCTAAAACGTTCAGGCGACGAGCCCCGGACCCTCTCGGATCCGTGCCGAACCGGATGCGGCACCGGTAGCAGACCCTTACGCTATAAAGTACGAAGCGCTGCGCGAGAAGTACGCCTATGTCCTGGAGAGCAACAACCTGATCCGCAACCGACTTCACCACGTCAAGAAGGAGGTCATCTACCTTGGACGCCTGAAGCGTGTCCTATGTAACAGGTAGGCGGATGTTGAGGCTCATCTAGCCCTTTCTTGAGCCGTTTTCTGCCTGCCTTTAATTTAATGCCCCTTCGTTTTACGATTTTTATTATGAACATCTCGCACTATAGATTGCTCGCCGTCGGAGATCCTTACTACCTGGGCGTCTTGGAAATTACTGACGATGACTACATCGCCAACCAGGAACGTGCGAACAAGAAGAAGGCAGCTGCGATGGTGAATCAGCACGAATTTCCAGGGTAAGAGAGTCAATAGCTAGATCATTCAACGAAACAACTTTCATAATCCAACGGTATAATGGGATTATTGACAGGTTGGGGCATAGTGGGCCAAATGTCACGCAAGTGGGGGAAGTTTTGCACTTGGGGGCTTCGTGTCTACTCCTTTTCCCGCTTCGACGTCGTTAAATTTATGGCTTGGACTGTACTTGATAATTCATTGCCATTATCTTTAAGGCCAGAACCACAGAACGAGTTTGCCGATTGGGTTATGAATCAATTGGACACTGAGGAGATCGATCCAGGTAGCAGTCCGGATATACAACTCTTCGAAAACGACCCGATGATGAGGAACCTAATGTGGGTATTAAAAATCTCTACCTCCGGATAATTATGCGATTCCAATTTTAAGACGATCCTTTAGGCCAGGTCCCAGCGAGCCGAGAAAACGACGCAAGAAAATGAGCCCTGAACAGATTTGCACAAAAGCGAAGAGGGATAAAAAAGAACGAAAAGTCGATTTTGCCCTCGAAGCGCTTTTTGATCAGCTACCAAGCACATCAGACGCACACAGCTCTAATCCTGGGTCGCCATAGGATATATTTACTGACGAATGTTGAATACATATCTTTAATTCAGTTTTTATACAGCCTATTAAACCCCCCGTTCACATATTTTTGTTGTTTTAAAATCCTTTCCAGATCCAAAATAATTATAGCCGGTGCTTTGAAAGTAAACCTTTCCGATTAAAAGAAACCAAAAGTCAAAGGCTAAACCGCTACCGTCGATTTTCATGTGCCGATCCCGTTAAATTGCATTCCCGATGAAGTGGTCTCCCCTATCTATAAGCATAACATCGCCATCTCTTGCGTTCCTTACTTATTTGTGATCTAGTCATATTTCTAGCCTCTAATAAATTGTAAATAATACTTGAAATGTTAGCACGAAGATATTTTCAGTGTAAGCATTTATTGATATGGTCACAGCAAAAAGTCAAAGCAGTACCATTGCAGTTGTTTTAAAAGCTAAGACCAGTCGAAGATCACGAAAGGTAAAATGGCATTTAAATTCAACTTGATTCCCGCCAACAGATGAAGAATGATGGTGGAAACGGTGATGGGTAAGAGGCAGAGTGGGGCGGATGGAGGCAGGAGGAGGAGAACAACAACGGGTCTACGCGATTCGGCTGATAAACCGGATAAACCGCAACATTGGCCATCCGGACCTAAAAAGAGGTGCGCGGGCACCCCAGCTAGACATCGAAAACGCGCGTGTGAAACGTGAACAACCGATATAAGCACAATCCAACGAGGACCATTTCCTGGGCTTAGAAAATTGTGGACTTGCTCTGAAAAGCGTTTACGACAAAATTATATCGTTCGAATTTACCAATACAGGGTGTCCCAATAAAAAACACCCCCTTCTAACTGGACGCAGAAGTGTCTGATCGGGTTGCTAAATATACCATTCGAAAGACCTTGAGACGGCGAGTTTGCAACAATTTTCAAAACCATGTTGTTATTGAAATCCGCTATTTTACAACGCATTTAAAAACATTAAGGAACGGCCTCTGCATCTAATTAACGGCTACTTCCGGTCATTTTGTCTGGGGGAATTTGAGGCAAATTAGCTCGTATGCAACCCCGAAAAGCGGTAAAATTTTACAGAATGGCTTCTAGAATGCCGTAGTTAAATAAAAACATGGTTTTGAAAATTGTTGCAAACTCGCCGTCTCAAGGGCTTTCGAATGCACGGCTTCCCAGGGCGCACTTTAAAAGGCCGTTTGCGAGCCAACCGAACAGAGGCTGGTTGACCAATATACCACCCAACAGCTACTTGAACACTGATCTGACCGGAAACCGTTTTTTAGCGGATGGAACAGCATGAATTCTTGCCTTACGGATTCCTTTAAATCACTTTACTTATGCACGTCATGGGAACACTTCGAATTTTTTGCAACAACACGATTAACTAGAAAAAACTTTATCAGTCATTGTCAACTGCAATTAATAATTTTCAACATCATCATGCGGATCCAGCTCCAGTTTTAGTAGTCGTAGTCCTTGTTGTTGTTGTCGTTCAGCATCCGCGAGCCTTGCACAGCGTCTCGTAGCCGGCCAGCCAATCGCGCAGCTCATCCTTCGTCGCCAGCTGAAAACAGAGCAAATGCTGATTTTTCGAAAAAATCCCAGGTTTCTTGGGCCGGAAGCACAAGCGCCAAAAAATCTTCCCAGACCAATAATCACCTTCTTGTTCTCAGTCAAAGCGATGAGCACGTGCGCGATGTAGACGTATTGAATGTCCATCTAAATCGCATTCCAAAACTTATTTGGATTTTCAAACCTGAACACCGCCGTGACGAGCATCGCGCAGCTCGCGAACCGCCTTGTCCACGGTGCAATTCTCGCCCTTTTGAAGACGAGCCATGATCACTTCCAGGCCGAAGATCGTCCCGGTGCTCCCGATACCTAGAAAATGAAAGACTTTTCATTTTCATAGAATTCTTAGTTCTTCATAGAGGCCCAATTTTTTTCGGCTCAAGCCTGTTCTTTTTATAAATAGCGGATGCGTTTCCAAATTATTTTTAATTGTTCCTAAGCATAAAAACTACACAAATCTTAATCTAAAAATTTAATTTTAGGTCGCAAAATTCCATAGAACCTTTAGGATTCGCGGGGGGAAGACCCAAAACGACCAAATTTTCGACGTTTTCAAACATTTATCTAACTTTTTTTTGGAAGTTTTTGTACTTAAATATAGTTAAAACTTACTAAAAACAATGTGAAAACACTTTATATTTAATTACAAGGTCAAAAATTGCCAGGAAAAAATTGGTCCCCCCGCGAATCCTAAAGAACCGAAATTTGTAACGATTTTATCTTTCAGAAGAGTAAAAGGCTTAGAAACACTTCCGCTATCCTACTATATATAAAAAAATAGTGTTTGTGTGTGTGTGTGTGTGTGTGTGCCACTTTGCATCCACTTCCGTCTGTCTGTCCGGAGGATATCTCAAGAAGGGACGGGTATTGGGCTACGTATGATACGTCATTAGGTGCTTAATGGTCTAGGGATCACTGCACACATATCAGATTTTTAAAAATTAGACATTTTCGCTATTAAATTTAGGTTTTTGTAAATACCTCTTTGTTAGTAATAATTAGCATAGACCGGAGGTGGGCTGTCCCCTATATAAAGAGGCAGAAGCGGTTGTTGTTCATTTTTTTGTCTTCTGAATAGAGGACAATTATGCAAATGGAAAAAACAGCATGTGGTCCGAGACGGAGCCAGGGTTGAAAAGTCGCGAAGCGGCTTTTCAACCCTGGTTTCTATTGAAAAAAATTGGTTCTTACAAACGACTTAATTAAACAAATTCTAAAGCCCAACCGGCCGAGCAGTGCACGACGATCGGCGTCAAATCCATGACGCGATTGATGAGACGGAGGCAGGCGAGGAAGTTGGGCGGCACGCCACGATCCGGCCAATTGTTCCAGCACCATGCTCGACAATCGGCGTGTCCTTCGACTCGGCGGTGGTCAGCTCGAGTCGCGTCAACGTCAGCACCTCTTCCACGTCCTGGATCGACAGGCACTTGACGCTCACCGGGCCCGAGTCTATCTAGAAAAAAAATGTTAGAAAAGCTCAAACTTCACTTTGTCATGAATTGAACGCATTTTTTAGGTACTGTACTGTCAACGGAGGGGGGGGGGGCTTTTAGCGAGGAGAAACAAATCTTTCCCGAAAAATTGTGTACGATCTTATATTTCGAAACCTAATGTGGTCGAAATTCATTTTGGGTAGAACACCAAATTTTTTACTGAGACTGAACAGGATTTCAAAATATTTCTATATGTCTATATAAGGCCCTAAAAACTCAGTTTGCGCAAAAATGTATAAATAATATAAATATAAATCATCAACAGGTTTATAGGCGAAAAAAAATTTTGAGTTTTTCTCTATGCTACCCCCCGCCCCCCTGCCCCCCTCCGCTAACAGTCCAGCACCCTTCTTTCTTCTACTCACCGTGGTCCCCTCCTCATTCGGCCAGTACTGCTCGCACTTGTGCTTCCCCTGCTCCACCAGGTTGCACAGCATCACGATCGAACGACACTTTTCTTGCCACATCTGAAAAAGGAAAGTATCAACATTCGAAAAAACGCCGCCCACCATACGCCAAAAGTCCTCAATCGTGGTCTCGGTCGGCGCCTATGTGCAGATGAAACTGGAAAAGCAAAAAAAATAAACCCAAAAAAAAAACCACTGACCGGCGCTTCTCGGAAATGTGAACCCAGTTTCCGTGAATGTAGTCGCTCTTGCCGGCCGGCCAATTCAGCACGCCTGACTGCCATCGACGCAGTACACATCTAGAGGCCACGACGACAAGAAATCATACATGAGAGATGTCCCAACCTTTATAGCGATTCTTCTCGGGGTTGGCGTCAAAGGCGGCCTTCGTGTACTTGTCGATGCCCTGCGTGTCCGTCTTGATCGCCACGAACTCGTCGACCATCTTCGGCACGGTTCACTAAAAAAAGTTGTGTATAAAACGACTAGCTAATTTTTGGGCTCTTTAGCATTATGGGTGGGGGCATTCCTTAGGATCCAATTTCTCAAGTATAAACAGTGGAAGTGAACGTGCAAACTTTACAAATTTTATAAAAAAAAATCGTTTTCAACCTAAAGTCATCGCTTTTTCAAAAATTTAGACTTTTTAAGCAATTTTCAATGTTTATGTAGTTATTCTATTTGAAAAACAGCCATATTTGGCCAAAAACACTATTAAAACACTTCCGACTAAGTTACTAGACATTTCTATGTTGATAAAAACCCCTCCCGGGATAATGGGAAAGAACCCTAATGTTTTTACAAGCATTCCTTCTGTCTTTAACCAAGAAAAATCCCTAACCTTGATATTGTCGAGGGTGAACTGTCGCAGGCCCTTTTAACTTTCCGTCCTTGTTGGGGGCGCGCTTCTTGCTGACGTTGGCCGGTGGCTTCTTGGCGGCGGGGCGGGAGGGGCGCTCGACCTGGCCCCCATCATCTTCGGCCGAAGCCTTGGCCGCCTCGGCTGCTGAAACAAAAAGGATTTTTTGAAGAATCGAAACCGGGGATATAGGGTAATTTTCAAAATTCCAAATTTTTCCCGATTCAGAATTTCTAAATCCTAAATTATAATTTTTCTAACTAAAAAAGAAGATTCTAAATTTGCCACCATTTTTGAAAGCTCAAATTTCCAAACTCATTTTTCTAGTACCAAACTGTACAACTAACGGCCCGGCACGGCCTCGTTGCGGGACCATTTTTCGTTACGTTGGCTCCATAAAAAAGTTTCGCGATTTTCGAATTTCTCGCCAATCGAAATTTCTTCGAGTAGTTTATTTATTTTTGAACTTCACTTTGCGTTTTTTCTTTCCCTACTTTTCTGTTTTTTATTTTTGATTGTCCAACATCTCTTTTTTTGCAGACACCATGGGAATCGAAATGGGTATGGCTGCTGGAGGTATTTTTATTCATTTGGCCACAAAAATTCTTTAGTTGGCCAGGAACTTGACCGTCCGGCCGATCGGGACGGCAACTACTTCACCGCGTTCGCCAGGACGCGCTCGTCGAAGGCTCAACCGAACGGTATCGAGGCGGAGTTGAAGATGATGGAGACCGAATGCGGAAGCACTCTCGTGCCCGAGCTGGCGCGTTTCGTGAAGAGTGCCCCATCCAAGGAGGAAGTCCGCGCGCCAACGTTCTACGAAAAGATCGTCGGCAATTTGCCGATCGGATTCGAGGATGTGCTCAAGGGAATGGACGCCCGCGTTCCGGACGCCGAGCAGCGCTTGCTGGACATGTGCATCGTTCTTGGTGAGCCGGCCAAAGCCAGCTTCTACGCCGAGAAGAAGGGCCTCAAGCACGACATACTGGAGGTGTTCAAATGGGCTGGTGAAATTTCAAGATTTAGCTTATCCTTTCTTTTAGAAGACAGCGGAAAAGACGTGGCTGTGTACTTGGGAGAATGGAGCGCTGCATGCAAGTCGCCCCTCTCTCGTGCCGTAGCTCGCTATCATCTTTGCCACGTTACTCACCCGAGCACGCTTCTGCCGCAGATCGCAGGCCACGCCGACTTCTTGAGCATTCAGTAAGACTATTTTTTTTGTCCACCATTGTTTTAGGGATGCCTTTATCATCTCGTCGGTCCTTCTCGGCAACACTCATTCCTTGACGAAGAGCCTGCACGCTCGTTGGGCCATAAAGGAACCGGTTCTCCCTGATGTCGTGCCGAGCGCCGCTGCCACCGAGTCGCAAGGACCGCTCGACATCGAGGCCGAATTTGAGAAACTTCTGAAGGGGCCCAGCAGTTCACGTGCCGATCTGGTAATTACGGTTTTATTGTTTTGAACTTTGTTTTAAGGTCACTCTCTACCGTTTGGCCCTTCTAACCGTCAAGAAGAAGAAGCAGCCTCTGAAGGCGCCGGCCATGGCCAACATACGTCTCACGTTTGTCCGTATTCTCGTATTAAATCATCGTTTTAGGTTCTCGAAGGCTTTGACAGTTGGCGACTGGCAAGTGGCATTCGCCATGGCTCAAGACATCACCGCTCGTGCCGGCCAAGAAGAATATCTAAAGGTTTTGAAGTCCCCTTCACCTGAGCTAGTTTTAGGACTTCCTGCAATACCTTGTGGTGCTATCACAGGTCTTCGCTGGGCTTGCTGATCCTGCGGAAAACGATCCGGCCAAGAAGCTTGCCATCACCGGCGACAACTTTGCTGCGGTGTTCAATAGCCCGCCGATCAGTGAAGGAGTCTTCGGCGAGCCGCTGGAGTTCGATGGGAAAGGCATGCCATCTGACGAGGTCTGCGCTGTTTTTTTTTCTTCACGATGTATTTTTAGGATGAATACAAGGCGACCGTCATAGACGATTATTTCCATTGCCTTCGTCAATCACTCGCTAAGCTCAAGGCTCACGATGTGAAGGCCAGCAAGTTCAACGCTATCTTCGAGATAATTTACACGCTCTTCAAGGTTCGTTTTATTTAACGTTTTTGGAACCTGTTTTAGAACATCATCGATGTTTCGAGCCCGTTCATCACCATCAGCAACGAGCTGCCGGCCGTCATCGCATTTCTGAAGAGCTCCTCGGGTCCAATCTTCAAGTCGCAGTTGCAACACGACCGTTTCAACAACTCGCTGCCAGATGTGACTGCTCCCAACCCTGTTCCGCTCCTCGAGGAGCTCGACATTGACATTGTATCGGTAATTTTTCAACAGTTTTTTTATTTTTGGTTCAGGGTCCTATTGGACTCACGCAGAACGTGGCCTTGGAGAAACAAGAAGGGTAGTGGCAGCTTCAATCGTCAGGTATACTTTCCTTTTCTCCCCGTTTACTCATTTCCTTTTTAGTTCGGAAGCGCACCAGGCCCCGGCTCGACAAGCACTTAATTACTAATATTATGCGTAAATTAACGCTTTGCTTTTCTATGTTACTAAATAAATGTTGTTGTTTTCAAATGGTTGGCTTACCAGGATACAGAGGGTCGAAACTGGAAAAGGGAAAAAAACTAGCGAAACTGGGAAAACAGCACGTAACTCCCCAACGTTGATGCGCGAAAATCAGTCCTGTGCTAGAATGGAAGATCTAGTTTACCGAATTGGCAGTTTAAAGGCTCAAAAATCCGTGATAATTTGTTCTCTAAAATCACCTGTTTTGAGAGATTTCGAAATTTTTAAATGTTTTAAACCTTACAAGACCTCTTTGGGGAGCCGCATGTCACCCCTACGCCGCGCCCCAGTGACTGTATCCCAGCCCCCCTTTCCGCCCAGAAGCTAGCCACAGTAGCTTGATAGGCAAAAACCTACCTTTTTTGTTTGGAGCTGCTATGAATTACCGGCAGCTTTTTGTATTAGTGTAAACGCTCGTTTTTTCTTCGACTACGCCTTGAAAAAAATGCGAATTCGAGTGACTTTTTCACGATGACTTTCTCGATGATTGTTTTCGTGGCCGTTCGGCCCTCGCTAATTGTCATATTTCTAGAGGACTGAGGAAGCAAACTTCGCCTCGTAGAAGAATTTTAGTGGCCTTTTAGGCGCCTTCCAGTCTCTTCATGCTACCAAGATTCTTCCACTCGAACAGCCGTTTCCTCGTGGGAGTGCTTTGCGGTCTACTCCTCGGCTTCGTCACGCGCTCCATTTTGGGTTAGTATTTTCCGCAGTGGTTTACCTCTGACGAAAATTGCCTTGCCCTACGACAATACCTTTTATAACCGTGTGTTCCCTTATTGCACTAATTGAGTGGCGTGATTCTATCCTTTTTTCAGATACGCCGTCTTTCGGTGGCACGGGCGAATTTTCGGAGCTTACTTCTTTTCCTGAGGTCTGGACAACTTTCATGCTACAACCTTATTTAGTTCAAGGACAATGGCTCGGTCAAGGCCAAGGCGGCCACTGGCAATGGCAATCAAACAGGTTTGTTGTGGTCATTTTTCTGCAACCTTTGTTTCAGGCCCTGAAGCCATCACCGATGTATTGTTCAAATCGGTAAAAATCCTGTGTTGGGTGATGACGCATCCGTTGCAGAAAAACGTTGAAAAGGTGACGAGTTTCGAAAGTCTGAAATTTTTCTAGTTTAGGTGAAAGCCATTAATTCAACATGGGCTCAGCGTTGCAACAAGGTTGTATTTTTCAGCACGTTTGGGGTATGTTTCACGGGCTATGGAGGTGATAATTGCTTTAGAATCTGAGTGTGGAAACGTGGGATCTCGAATTCCAAGAAGGCCGCAACACTCTATGGGATAAGACGAAGCGCGTATTGATTTATTTGAATGAGGTTCGTGCTTTTGAAATGAGTCAAGTTACGTTTTTTTAGGAATACGGGTCGCAATACGATTGGTATTTCAAAGCCGATGACGATACTTACGCTGTGATGGAGAATATGCGGTGGGAAGATGTTTAATAATGCTTTAATCCTGTTTTTTTAGTTTCATGCTGAGCGCTTATGATCCTGGGATTCCTCGCTACCTTGGCTGTCAGATGATGTTATCAACCTCAATAGATTGGGAATCGTCTTTTTAGGGTGAACGGAATTTACTACCAGAGCGGCGGACCCGGCTATATTTTATCCCAGTGAGTTTTTTCATTTGTTTCTAGGGTGATTGTTTCAATTTTTAGTGCTGCCGTTTCAAAATTTGCGCATCACTACATCGATGACCTACGGTGCCCCGCAAATCCTGATGGCTTTGAAGATTACAATTTGGGTCGCTGTATGAATGCGCTCAACATCAGCTCTACGGATTCACGGGATATTGAGGTGACTTTCTGCTCCTTACATTGCGATTACTCTTTGTAGGGTCGTCTTCGTTTTCTGCCGCTATCACCACTTTCCCTTTTCATGGACGAAATCCCGGGTTGGCTGGAAGAACGTCTACCATATAAATATCATCATGTGAGTAACATTTTGTCATTTGAGATTCGTTTTGTTTTAGAAAACGGATTGCTGCTCGGATATTGCCATCTCCTTCCACTACATTGATCCGAAGGCAATGTATCTACTCGATTTTCTGATTTATCGGCTACGAGTATTTGGTCGGAATGATGGCTATATGGTACGTCGCGCTTGCTTTGGAAATAAATAAGTTCTTTCTTTAGGTGTCAACCCATGGTTCTCGTCAGCAACTCCTCGACCGGATCCGTTTGGAGAGTCGTAGTAAATCCCTTGAAGGTACCTAAATTTATGTCTTGCTTTTCTCCGGATCAAATTATGTGCTCAATTCATTAATTGTATGTATTTTTTTTCTTTTGAAAGCGCTGTGAGTAAATGTCCCACTCTTTCCCTTAATCGCATGTTCACGACTAGCGTCTTCCCTTGTAGTGTTGCTGGTTTGAGCGAAGGTTAATAGAAATAATTTTATTCTGACGTACACTCGCTGACACAGCCGGAAGCAATGGCAACAAAAGAAGAATAGATACGGCTTTTAATGGTGGAAATACTAAGCAACCCGTAAGTAGTGCGATAACCAAACAGAAAATTTGGTGGGCGGGTTATTATTGGTGTGGCGGTAGGGTTGTGCGGGATTTTTGTTCAACAAAATTTATAAATTAGAAAATACGGCAACCACGATTTTTATTTCCTGCACAACCCGTTTCCAGGCTATAATTGATAACTGTTGAGCAGGTCTGCTGAAAGTTGGGTGCATCTCAACATTTGTCTTGATTTGTCAATGAATTTGTATATTATGAAACATAGGACATGCTTAACCAAGCCTGAATCTTGAGCAAGCATCTGGACTAACTAGGTGAACTCCCAGGGACAGGGCATCCGGTGCGAAAGAAAGTGCTTCTCTTTGGGATGGGCGCTTTATAATGTTTGATTTAGATTTCCCTGCCTCGCGCCGTGCCCAAAAAGCTCCTTTAGAATGGCACACTACTCCTCCAAACTTTTATAAAGGCACATCCACGCACAAAACAAGACATGCCCATTTTGTTGCGCGCCACTCCACACATTGCTTTTTTGCCGGCAACTATTTGTAGACTAGCTTGGGGTTAACTGTCCCTTCTAACTAAATGGCAAACGGCAAAACCAAAAAAGTGTTGTAAATAAAACGAAAAGGCACATGCCACCGGCTTTGCTGACTTCTTTGTTTGCCTTTCTGTCCCTCTCATTTTTTTCGCTCCCTAATCTAGCTTGAGATTTGCGGATGGGGGCATGGGAAGGATGGATCTAAAAAGAGATGGATGAAGAGAAATGAGGATTATGTGGACCAGCTATTTTGCTGGCATTCCGGCCCTGCTGGGTCGACCTTCAGATCGGGGCACTTCAGGTTCGCCTCACCGCATGGGTTGAATCCAATTGAGCAGTACCTGCAAGCAGCCGATGCTTTTCTTTTACCGAACATTAAAGAAGAAGTGCGAAAAATAAACTTGCCAGTCATGATAAAAGAAAAGAAGCATTGTGATGAAGAGAACGGAAAGATACGACAGTAGAGACATTATTTCGAGTCTCCGAATGGCCCGTTGCCATTGCGAACTCGAATCGTCTTTCGGCAGCGACGCGACTACTTCCGTTCTGAAAGGTTATTACGAGTTCAAACTAATTCTAGTTTTTCAGGTGTCCTTTGATGCCTTACCGTATATTGGCGACATTTTTCTCGATTCCTGATATAGAATGGATGATATCTTCGAGGACTTGGTCAAAGTATTGATAGACCACCATATTGTCGTATTGCCCGATGCTTAATCGCCTCCGGATTTCGCGCCTGGGCGTTGATTCTTCCTGTAAGGTAGGTACGTTTTCTTGCAAGTATTTGTAAGCATACCAATTCAACGTGCTGATGTTGTGGGACCGGCTGTTGTTGTGGATTATTGCGTGGCTTCGGATTTCGATGTAAAATCGATAGAAGACTATTCGCAACACCACGCGCCCGGTCTCGGACCCCAGTTGTTACATGGCCATTTGGTAACAAGGAAGTTGTCTGAAAATCGAGACTTCGTCGCTACCAATGATTATGGGTCATCTAATAAGCCATTGGGCCTGCCACTTCAAACATATATCCCGTGTTGGCAAATTGATCCCTGCTACCCCCCAAGAAAATCCACTGCTCTCTATCATGAACACGGCAAACCGGCGCGTTAGTGTTTGGATAAGTAAAGGGATAGGGCCCCGGATTAGCAGGAAATAAAGCCGGCTACCAAAATCTTTGGAGATCCGAAAAAGCTGCGCTGCGATCCCTGTTCATGGGTTTTGCTGACCGGACAATGTTTTAAAAAGACTTACACTTTGCGGGTCTGCTTCGCAGTTTGGATAGCGTTTGTGTAGCCTGAAGCAAAACTGTCTAATATTTTAGAATGGTTACCTTTGCCGCCTTCTTCGATCCATTATGGTGATGTCGAGTGTTAACCAGTGGAGATACCACGGCATCACATGTGTTTTTCTGATTTCACGTTCCAGGAATACAAACATCGACGTTGTAACCGTTGACAATCCGATGATAGCCAACAAAATAAAGTAGTACAATCCTAATTAGTTTTAGGTGATTATTGCTTGATGAGGCGACAAACCGATCAGTGGGATGCCAGAAAACGAGCCCTTCCCCTTCCTCGTTGTGTCCATCTGGAATTTGGGCATATCTTCGACGATGGCCAACAAAATGACGGACATGGACATGAGCGTCATGATTCCCAGCCGGAATTTAGCATCCCTAAATTGAGATATTACATTTTTAGAAGCTCTATTTGGTTTGGCAATGGCTAGTGGCCTACCTCAATCTACCGGATGTAGATGGTGTATGAAAACCGACGACGGCGACAATTGTGATAATCGTCGATGGAATGACAAGGTTAAACACTGCGATTTTATCATGATTTCAATTTAGGCGCTTTCTCGCTTACCATAGTAGAAACTCTGGCGGATGACGACCAACTCCATGATGATCATCTCCCAATGGAGCGGCGGGTCCAAGTAGTCGTACAAAAATCCATCCGACTTGATGGTGCTGTGGTCCTGGAAGTGATGCGTGTTGAGGTATTCGCCACTGATATTTGTCTTCTTTAGATACTTACAACATCGAGCTGCCATTCCTGGTTGTCGTAGAAGTCAATCAGCGATAGCGTATTCGTGTAGAGCGCGTACTTTATGGAGTCGTTGGAATAGGCCCAGGATCCAAATAGCAATGTACACTTTTGGATGTCGAAGGGGAAGAACTGAAATGGGTTAGAGGTTTATTTGTTTGTAATTTTTAGGGGTACATATTGCTACACCAAAACTCTTTCCTTCCGGTGCGATTTAACTTTCTGCCCTCCATCCCCGAACTTTTTGGTATGTAGAGTTCCGGGTGTGCCATCAGTTGAGGACAACACGGCCAGGGTTAAGGTCACGAACAGACAATATATGTCTCTGCAGCGCTTTTCCCACCCCCCTACGCGGTCACCAATTCCAAAACGAGTTTTGCGAGCAGCAGCCAACGAACCGGCGGCAATTCGTTGCCCCCATGCTCCCGCGCTCGATCTCGCCACTTTTTTATGTTCACAACCTTGTTTTCTGACTTTGTCAGGAGCCAGTATCCTCTAGAAGCTGCATTTTTTAAAGACACGCTGCTCAGACCACCTCTATAATTTTTTTCGAGGGCTCAAAAACCATATCTACCCCATGGCGCCCGGAGGCAATAAATTTTCGATCCAAACCATCGATTGACATCCGTGTTCAGGCAATTTGTGTCCACCTCTACATGCCGTTGGCTTATCCGATTTGTCCTTAGGCTATGTCAGCTTCACACTTTCCCCCTAGCTTTTCATACCACGGCTTTTCCCATCCCCACCCCGGCGGAACGGTCATTTTTCCAGGCACCCCTAGCCTTTGGCGGCATTCCCATATAACTAATGATAGCTCTCTTTTTCCTAAAATATTAACAAACCTTGACATCAAGTTTGCAGAGGGATTCCGTCGAAAACGGAATGTAATATCGAATATGGCCCGTGTTGTTCACCCGAATATCATTGTCACTGCGCAGCTTCACCGCATCGTTGAAGTTGTGACTAAATTTTTATGCTATCTTTTTCTCTTATTAATTTGGACTCCCCAGCATATACCCGGAACCAAAAAAAATGCAACAAAAGGCGGAAAGCAAGCCGGGAAATATCCCCATCCATTTTGGAGGTTCGCAAAAACTGATCGACAGGGTGTTTCAATAGAGCTGCTAGTCGCTGGGTATCATATAGCAAATGCCGATATTTTATAACCTACGAAGGAACTATTTCTACCTGTAATATAGCGAGAATTCTGGGATCCAAACGTCGGCTGAAGACAAAAATATTTCTTTCGCTCCCTCATAGGCTGCTGGATCCCATTGAAGAAACTCGTCTTGCCAGTACTGAAATTATTTATTGATTTTTTTTGCTTTATGTTGCTTTTCCATAGTTTTGCATCTGTCAAAATACCTAATTAATCCAATTTAGACAAAATTTTAGAACTCTTTTCCCTTATTGGTATGATTCTCCGGATACTTCTCATCCTTCCTCTAGTTGCCGAATTCTTACAAGCACAACAATATGCCAAAGGCAGTAGGTGGATTCTCATTTTGATGGATTTATTTGTTTTTCCAGTTATCCACATGTGTCAACCGACGGTTCGGGGGACATGCGGCCAATACGGATGGTGTGAGACGCGGCAAAGCGGAAATCGGTGCCATTTTTCTCTTAGATAGTTTTACAATTCTTATTCCAGATGCCATTGCCCTCCAGGAAAGATGGGAATCAAATGCAGTCGTAAGTAACAGGCCAAACTACGCTCCAATTAATGCAAATAAAGTCGTAAAACCCTAACGCGGTTGCTTTGTTGCGTAGTCAAGTCCCTAAAAATATTCCTCGTTTCTCATTTGCATTTGTGTAGGCTGGCGCGCCTAAACTTTTATGTGGTAGGGCCGGGATGAGGGCCCCCGGGGGGTCCCTGGGGACAGCTTGAACTTATATTCTTGGCACACGTCTCGAGACCCTTGGGGTATCTCTAGCTCTTCTCTCTGGCCTGCTTGCCCATTTAAAAACAACATCAACCCTCCCTTCACTCCAACGTCGGCTTGTCGTTTCTGTTGCCAAAGCCACGGGTATTTGTGACGCGAAAACAAATATATTAAGAAAAAAGCGTTCTATGGGTATGTACGAGGAAATTCTAGGGCCGTGTCAGGATGTCTTCAAAAGCTGCAAAAAATGGTTGGAGGAAGACAGGTGGAAAAATGAAATGACAATTTCTGTTAATATAGAATTACTAGGTGTTACTGGGCCCGAAATACGACCTCATTCTTTATGGACAACTGCGCATCGTCGTGTGAGGAATGTAAAGGAGATGGGAAAGGTATTTAAAAGCTTTATTTTAACCCTTTAAACAGACCAATATGTTACTTGCTTCTAACTAAACTGAAAAATAGAGTAATTTATACTATGCACCAGCTAATTTCAATTAATAGTATCCTATAAGTACAAATATAATTAAATTGTCCTTTTATCAGTTTAGAAAAGTATTTTAGTGTTGAAACTGGCCCTCCCGCCAATGCTAGAGCCTCTCTCATGGCTGGTCGGAAAATGGGTAGCACGAACTTCGTCTGGACAACGGTATTCAATAATTACAAACATTTTTACAGGCAATTTTAGATTCCCAACAACACTCACTGGCCCTTACGAGGAAATTCTTGATGTGCAAATTTCTGAGGTGCCCGCCTTCGATCGACCCGGCATCAACATCAGGTTAAACAAATTTTAGATTTTTACTTAACACATCCCCCCCTAAAAGTAAGTTACTCAAGAATAGCATCGCATATCCATCCCCCCGGCGAGTAGCCTATAGACTTAAAGAGGTAAAGAAGTAGTAGAAGAAGAAGCCGACGCGCCTCGCCTCCGGCCACACAAGCCTAATTGAGCCAATTCATGGCCATTACTTGGAGCAAGGAGGGTGACTTGGGATTTCCTCCTCCTGATCTCCCTTCCTCTCCGAATATTTAGGTGCCCTTTAGCATGCAACCCATCCATCACACAACAGATTCGCGATAGTGCACTAAAGCGCGTGGCTGGGGCTTGCGAAAAGAGCTCGGACAGTGAAAATCGGGGCTTCCGGGGTGGATTTTGAAGCTTATGCCCTCAAAAAATCTACTTATCATTTTTAGCATTTTCGCGAAGTCGCTGGACAACTGGGAGACACATTCTGAATTGGGATTTATGACCGGAAAGCCGTTTAATGTAAGTTTATCGTTAGGAGTTTTTCGAAAAGGCTTGAGTAGTGGACTGTTAGCAGGGGGGAAACTGATCTTTGTTTTTCCGCCTATACCAACCTGTTAATCATAAACAGTGTATTTTTACGTGTTTTTCGTAGTTTTCGATTCCTAGAAAGTTACAAAAAACATTTTAAACGTTTTGAAATTTCGAAAATTCGGCCTATTTTGGTCAGTTTTCATAGATTTTTGCCCAAAATGTCAGAAAGTGTCGTAAATTGTTATAATTCTTTATGGGCTTTTTGAATCTAAAAACTCTGCGAAAAGTCTAGTGGTATAGCTTGGAAATGACAGATTTAAATTCTAGGAAGACAACGGTTTTCTACGTGAAGCCGGCCCCGGAGAGGACCTCGTGGCCATCGAGTTGGTCAGTAATACAGGTGGTTTTTACGCACTTTTAGGCTTTTTAGGCTCCGTTGTAACCCTAAATTTGGGCTTCTCTTTGGAACAACACTCATAAAAACTCTACTACCTAGCATCTAACCGATCAAGGTTTACCTATTGTCTATAGACATTTTGACGTGGTTGTGTGTCCTTTTTTGGCGTCTCCCCCCCGCTGCCTCCATCGGTTGAAATTGCCGCTTTTTTCTGAAAGCGTGCTCCAGGGCCACCCGAAATAGGGCTCAAGTAGCGAGGCCGGGAGGGGGACCGGGGTGCGCATCGAGAATTCAAAGAAATTGGGCGTTTCGTGGACTTCGACTAGCTCGTGCTTCGGTTCACACTTTATGCAAAAGTTGGGGTGGGAATGATCTAACATCAGGTGATATACAAAGATCAATGGACTTCGAGCTAGGGAGGGCCAACCAGCCCCGGAATCGCTTCATGCTCAACATTCGGACACATAAAGCGTGGATGCTGATGCTTTTCGAGTTTTTAAAAGGGGCTAGTAGCGTCTAAAATTCGAAATGAGCATGATCTCAAATTATGTCCTTTTTCCTCGATTTCACCTAGTTTGAGCCTACATCTTTCGTCTCTTAAAGATTATTAGCAAATTTGGGAAACAGGGAAATAATTCAGCATTGGCGATTCTCTGCGTAAGGAAAGGAGCACGACTTTTGGAGCACGACCAAGACGCTTTTTTTGGGAAAGTCCCGCGCTAAATTCCAAAAATTCCTTGCATATTTTAGGCATGTTGCGCTCTTATTTTTATTGTTTGGTTTTAGGCGGGCGTTAGCATGAGGGGTGGGCCTGCCCGTATGAAATGTGGGTCATAAATTCGGTGTGTGCCTCCCTTGCTTCTACCCCTTCCTCCTCTTTCTCTCTTCTGGCCTCGTTTGGGTCCCATGGGGGCGACACGATGGCCATCCTTAGGTCCAAAGGAAGGGCCCAACAGGTCCTTCTACACAAAACCCATCCCATTTCTCATCCAAATTTCATTCGTCTCATCGCCCCCCTTGGCCCCTCTTTGCGCGAGGTTGGTCCGGGCAGAAAAACCCTTCGCAAACCTCGATACACAATCAAATTGTGAACTCCAATGGAACACCTGAAAGCCAGGAATTTGGTTTTTGGACGGAGAAAGGTCTTAAGGTAGATATACTGGACTCTGGTTAGAAGGGAGTAATCAGTGAACTCTTCTAGGGCTAATGACGATCGAAGAGGGAATAATTCGAGGCCAATCTATCGTCATTGAATCAAAATACAGGCAAAGCATGTTTGGGATTGCTGATGCATTCCAAGAGGTAGTATTGTCCTAAAAACCCCCGCAAAAACTGCTCAATTTTTAGGCTAAACGCAAATTCACCCTAATCTCTCCGGGATCACTAGAAGAGCGGACGATATTCAAGGATAAATATGGAGTAGAGAAGAAATGGCTAAAGCGGTTGGACACTTTCGACCCTCTAAACTACAAGGTACCCTTTTAGATACCGATTAGTCCACGACTACCTTGGCGAAATTATTGATTCAAAAGAGCAAAGAAAATAAATACATCGACTCACCAGCTCAAAACTGCCGGACAAGATGATTGTATTTTTGACGGCGTCCTGGAATTACAAATACATCAAGGGACACGAAAACTGACCAGTTTAATAATTTGATACAGAAAGACGCTCATCGATACGCGTACAATTTTGTTGGGATGGGTGACGGGTCGAGTGCCCTTCCTGAAAAATGGATTTGATTTTTTGAAGATCGAGGCAGGATCTCGTGTTAGAATTTCCGGTCCCTCTTTGTCTGCCGTTGCATTTCTTACGGCAAACAAGCCAAATTACTCGGGGCTCTCCCCGATGGGTCACGTCCCGAATTCCATTAGCTTCTTCTTCTCCCCGCGAATTCGGCACTTTTTGTTGATAGTCATTAGTGCATCGTGTTTTTGCATTTGGTGTTCACGCAATATCCGCTTACAAGGGGTCGTGTTTTAGGGGATGATGGAGTTTTGGGATGCGAGCGAGCTCATTCGAGAGAGCCTTAAATTTTGTACAGGTCTGATCTCTCAAAAATTCTAAAAAATACAGCGCAAGAAATTGCTGCTCGATTACGGTATTGAATAAACTTTTCTCTGAAAGGGTCCGGTTTTACCCATTCCGCCGCTTAACAGAAATCAAACCTTAAAAAACTTGGAAGATCGTTTTCGAAAAATGGGGCTTTTTCAGTATTTCAAGCTCTATCGAGTGAGCATGACTCCGTTATCACCCAAAACGCAAAACAACTCTATTCTCTATCCTTCATCTGTACCACATAAAACTGGCGAAACACACACACAAAAGACCGCGCCGACAAGGGAGGAGAGCCTGGGAATGGACCCTTGACGCTCAGAGTCGGAAGTTTCGGGTGAAAACGAGGCGATTCAGTGGTGCTCCCCTAGCCACAATACTAGACAAAACACGACCCCCCGGATCCCCCATCTTTTCGGGGTCAACTTCTCGCTAGTAGAGGCTTAGGAGTCTCAACAGGACCAGTCAAAGTCTCAAACTCTCCCCTCCCTATCCTTTTTTGTATATCCGATCTGCGGGTGTAGGTCTAGGGGCTGTGTGGCGGCTTCTCCTAGGCCGTTCCGGGGGCCCATTCATCAGCGGCTCACCCCGAATGGGGCCCTCCACTTGTGAACGGCTTGGGTCGGGGCCTCTAGCTTCGCCTTCATCCCCCATCCTTTTCCGAAGGATTACGTCTTAAAGGGACCGGCAAGTCAAAATCCGCATGTTCGATCGGAGCTCGTTGCCAAAAAGGAGCACCGTCTCAAAATAAAAGCGCGAACTATTAGAAAAACGTGTTGTTTCGAGGCAAAATCTAGCTTTTGGTAAAACTCCCTGTTTTAGCTTCTTTAAAGGGACCGGTAACTCAAACGTAATATCCCCCACTTACCGATAATACCGTAGCAAATCGTCGTGCAATCGATAGGTGACCGGAATGTCCTGACGGCGCAGCGTTTTGAAGTTTTCTGGTAGCAAATAGTCGCTGTGGCCAAATGCCTACAACATAACAAGATTAGGAAGATTATAACAATAAACCCCACATAAGTGACTTTTTCCTCCTCATCAGATTGGCGCCTCGTGCGATCAGAGCCGGGCGGAGGATCCGGATCACGTGTGGGTACTGTTTCCACCGGGGATGGCCGTGGTAGATTTGTGTACGGATTCCTAAAAACACCTCTGACTGTCAAGTCATAAAACGTTAAGTACGTTAAGGTCTAAACAACCTACACACGCTCCAGCTCGTTGTCTTCGGTAGAAATGGACTGGACGAAAGAGAATAGTAAGCAAATCCTCAAAAACTTCCATCTCCGTCGCATCTGAAAAAATACTAATCAATAATTTTGGTGGCCGTCGTCTGCCGAACGCTGCCAGGAAAGCATTGAATCAGGAAAACCAGATTGGTGTGGTCACACGGGTCCGAAAACATGGGAAAGCCGTAATTTCTATCGTATTTTGGCACCGGGATTGAGGTAGGCGCGGGTTTTTCACATTTTAATTGTATTATATTTCACTGAATTCAGAAGGAGAAATCTGAGTAAAAACGGAGCTGAAGAAGCGAGTAGTGTAGAAGGTCCCAAGGATCTTATTGACACTATTGCAGTTTCGGGAGCATTTCCGTTTTAGGAGCTAGTGAAAAAAGTGACGTTTTGCGATGCTTTGCGATGCAGCTTAGCTCATTTGATATACTTGAACGATAATAAGCTTCGAGAAAAAATACATAGGGTTTACACTTTGTTAAGTGTGGGGCAAAAATCGGAAAAATCGGGAAATGGGCCCCTTCAGAGCAAATTTTCATGAAGACCATAGTAAGTTCCGGTGCAACAATTTTTGCAAGATCGAATTTTACCAAACTTAAAGCTCTATCCAATGACCAAGGTAAAATCCAAAAACACGAAAAGCACCTAAAAACGGCTCGTTGTTAGAAAGGGCTTTCGAAGGCGATGAATAGAAATGGGGTGGAGAGCAAGTTATGGGGGTGAGGTGCCCTGGGTCGAGTTCCGCTAGTTGTGCTAATAAAGTGACGGGGCAGGGCAGGGCCGGCCTGGTTTTTGGAGGCGCCACCATGGAGGAGGACTTCGAAGGCGAGCAAGAATTGGCGCCTCTGCCCCGGGGCCGTTGTCGTCAAAATGGGCCACTTCCCTCTTTTCTAAAAGGACCACGAGACGACGAGGCAAACCCGAAAACCCTCCGCACCCAGGCTCAACTTCCACGCTAAGATGGCTGAAATTGAATTCCCCTTAAGGATTATACCCCGTACTCCACGATAACCCAAAAAGCCCCTTGATAGAGGTTAGTGGAAGATTTTTACGCTTTATATATCTATAACCACCTCGGAACAGCGACAAAACAAGTTATTTTTCTTTTTTTAGAATAAGTATTTTAATTCTGGTCTTCTACTGAACTGTGAGAACGACTAAACTACTCCAGACGATAGGCAATCGAGAAAAACCCGCGCAACCAATCACTGCTTCCGTCGTTGCCGCAGTGTGACAGCCCCCGTTCTCAACGCGTATCTAGCGGCTCTACATTATATCCAAGCGTATTGTTATAAGATTATAGAGCGAGGCATAAAAACACTGAAGCTTAAGCATGGTCCTTATCTAGTAGAGGTTGTTATAATTTACATAACAGATTAGTTTAACCCGGTATATTTAAAAAATATACAAAATTTATAAATATGTAAGTGCAGATATTAGGTATCGAAACTGCTTTTAACCGAAGTAGGGTCTAGTCGAACGCTTCTAAACCGTTCCATCGCTTTTCTTGATAGCTTCGTTGTTTTTTCGTGGCCTACTATTTTGAAATTTAACCAAGACCCCCAAAAACACGCGTCAGCGACTGCGGGGCCCCGCGAAAAATGGTCGACGCCCAATGGTGCCGGGCAAAGTTTGAAGCGGATGGAGAGGCTGGCTTTGGGGGGCACACGCGGTGGTTGTCATCGTGAATAATTGAGGCGAATCCGACCGAAGCCATCCACTTCCGCTCCACAGCCGAAAAGGAAATCACACAAACGACCGACCTCGGGTAAAATGCTATCTGGCCCCCGAAAAAAAATCTAGGGGGCGCCATCGGGATGGGGTTGGGTGGAGGATGGTTATGGTCCTGACCTGGGGAGGGCCAAAAAACGAACAGAAAACCGGCAGCAAAACAGATTCCGTCGGTAGCCAGCGCTGACAAGGATCGATTTTAGGTGGTAAGGCGTACTTCTGCTTATAGCGTAAGTACAAAAACGTTCGTGGTGTTAGACGTATACACCTACTTCGGCTAAGATATTATGACAGAGAGGGGGGGTGGAGAGAGGGGAAAGAGAGATAGAGAGATGGGCCGAGAAAGAGAGAGAGAGAGAGAGAGAGAGAGAGGGTGAGAGAGAGGAAAAGAGAGCGATAGAGAGATGGACCGAAAGAAAGAGAGAGAGAGAGAGAGAGAGAGAGAGAGAGAGAGAGAAGGAAAGGCCTATTTACGTAAGTGTATACGTCGAACTCCCTGAACCTGCCATTTGATTGGTGAGCTCAAAATCCTCCGCTTTGAAAACCCATTAACCGTGGCCGTCCTCCAAAAAATCTGCTTTAAAGGGCCGATTATGTCCATTTTCGCCGTCCGCTCATGAAATGTCAATTTTTAGAAAACTCTCTCGGATCGGTTCAGAATTTAAAGCTCGATCGTATCAGCTAAATAACTTTAAATCCATGCTCACCGAAAAATAGACGCCTCGTGAGACACCAAATGATATTGATACCCAAAACGCCGTGGGGGAAATCCCGCTGTTTCAGCGTTGCCAACGGAATTCAGATACGAAATTTGAGAAGCCGGAATTTAACCAAGACGACCTCCAAAGTGATAGCTTTGTGTGAAGAAGGGGAGGGGGAGGTTGAGGGCGGGAGGTCGAGGGCCCTCCCGGAGGAGGGGCCAACCCGACCCAACCGTATCTCCTCCTCCCCTAGCCCAGTGTCTTCTGGATGCCGGGGAGATGGGGAATAAGAGCACAGGCTGCCGAAAACTGCGCCTTTTTTCCCTTTTGCACCTGAAGACATCCCCCATGGGGGCTCACTGACATCATACCCCCCTGCTTCCAAAATTCTGCGATGCCGACGCAATGCCCTCTCGCCCGTTCCGCCCGATTTGTTATGCCTGCAGATTGCGCTAATGTCTGGCGCGCGGAAGGATTGCTCCTAGTGAGCTAGCCTCCAGTTGAAAAGCCATGCTGCGGATTATCATTGAATTATAAAAAAAAAACTAGTAACTTAAAAAACCATGGCCGGACTATCATAAATTACTAAAAATTAAAATGGTATATAGATCCCGAGGATTTCCGGTATTTTCAGAGATCGTCTGTAAAGGCGCAAGCGATCCCGACGTTCCCTTGTTTATGGTGAATCCCTCTGGCTCTTTCAAGATCGCCTCTGAAAGTATACTAAAAACCCATTTCCTGACCCAAACTAGCGAATACCGATAGCTGGAAGCCCTTCCACTTCCTAAGCTTGTAAAAACAAAGTCCATATTTGTTCTATAAAGCTAAATAGTGAGTGGGGGGCATTCTTTGACCTTATCGATCGTCGACAGAATGGTGGAGATGGGCCGGGGCTCGATGAACGATAGCTCCCTGGGGATGGCTCCTCGCTTGTCCCGGCACCAATCGGCGCGTGAGCCCTGAAAGTGATTTGGGCTGACATTCGGCTTCTGACAAGCCGACTGCTGAGTTGAGACGGGCTGACCTGAATGACAATAATCCCAAGGGCTGCATTGTTATTTTTCAGAGCCGCAAACAAATTATGGCCCGCCAAAACAGTCCGCGGAACTAGGCTCGATTTTCATACATGACTTCCAGTGAGGATAGGAATACGTTCATTTTTCCCCAAAACGCTTATTTTTGTTCCATTGGGCATTAAAAAAAACGTCAAAAACGTTCTAAGCTCTTTTGAGGCCTATGTGACGCGATAAAAATTATCAGATCAGCCTGTTTTTTAGGAAAAATTAACGAAATTTGTAAGGATAATGTGTAAAAAGAAGCGTCTATACTCTAAATATTTTATTCGAAACCTCTAACAAAGCTAGCATAAAAGATAAATTACACTATGCAACAATGAGAAACGAGATCTATTTATGTTTTCCGGGCTTTATGTATCGAAAATTATCACATTTGTTCGAGGAAGAGCACATCTTTTAGTAGATGAAGACCGCGCGAAGTGGAGCTTCTAAAAAAACAAATGGGATTCAAATAGCATTCAAATACGAACCTTTCATCTCATTTTCGATCGGCCATTGGAAATGAATCCATCGTTCCTTGCAGGTAGGCGAATGGCGGAAGATAGATGGCCCGGGCAACAGATAGATAAAGAAAAACTAAACAACATATTTAGCAAAAAAAAACGCAATTTCTACCTGCAGCGGCCGATCGCACAGCCAATCTTGCTCGCGGACTCGATTTGTAATAGGGCGCGTTGCTAAACTGGGTTCAAAAGGGTCAATTTATAAACCTGTTATACAAAATGAAGCCACCGATGGCTGCCATACTCGCACTTCCGATGGCACGACATGCTTGGCAGTCTTTCTACAAGAAAACATTGCTTAAAACCTCGTAAAAACTCACTTTTAGAAGGCTTTCGGTCATATCACCGCGGACTTTCGTGAATCGGTCAAACATTTTACCTGAAAATGAGAAAGTAAATGATTTTTGAAAAAAAACGAGATAGAAAATGGAGAAATCTAGTAATCAAACTACAAACGCGATCCGTATAGATTGCTAAATGCACAAATTCAAGGATATATGACAAAATTTAGTTAAATCACGATTTAGGAAATCGTTTCACCTTGATACATTTACGGTTTGATTTATTTTATAAGTTTATTTCATTTTGAATCATTTGATTGCGGCCGAGTGCTCATCTTTCCGGCGACAAAGAAGTTGAACGGGAAAAGACCAAATTCATTCGCGATTGTGAGGTAGACGCAAGCTATAGTTTTCATTATTAACAAATATGGCACTGCTAATTTACTTCCTGATCCAACAAGCGCCATCCCACGTTGTTGATGCGTGATGAATCGATTGTAAGCGCGCAGAAACAGCAGTACGGCGCCACCTAAAAATTATCCCGAAACTCGTATTGAACGTGCCAGTAGTGACATATTGCAGATTCGAGATATAATTTGTGCTTTGTGGAACAGGCTCCTGTCTTGTTGCTTCCGGTCGTGTGTTTTCAGACATCTACAATGTTCTTAGCTTAGTTTTTTTCAAAAGGAAATAAGCATAAAGGTGCAGAAACTTGGTAAAGTCTATTGCCAGATAAGTCAGAGTTTTATCAACAAAAAAAGAACTAGAAATGCTGATGAAAGAGAGGGTTTCGTCAATCGGGCAGTGTAGACGCATCGACGGGTTCCCGAAGTGGTATAACGCTTTTCTTTTCTGTATCGAGCGGCAAAGCCTTTCGCATATCTGAAATTGGGCTTTACAAATTACGTATAATAACCGTCTTTATTAGAAAAACGACCTACCATAAGCGTTTTCTGGCGCAGGACCCGTGTAGTAGCCAATAATTTCGCTAAAAAGCTATTTTATAGAAATAGGAATGCTTCTTACCGATATACTACGTAGCCTAGTTTTTGATACAGCTTTATAGCAGCTGTGTTGGATTTACGAACAAAAAGGTCGACGAAGTAGCACCCTTTGCTAAAATTTGGGGCTGTTGGCATGGAATGAGCTTACTCAACGCTGGTTTCCTCGAGCCGTTCCATCAAAGCCCGCGCGATGCCTCGTTTTCGATAATCAGAACGAACGGTAACCTAAAATATCGAACATATTAATTTTGAACAAACAAATACCGCTGTAACATGACCATGATGGTTTTCATCGATGCCTTCGTTCTTGCCCATAACTAAAATATCAAGTTTTTAATGTAGAGCCGGCAACCCACTATAAGCTACGATCTCGCCATAGTTATTTTCGGCCACAAGGAAGTATTCCCTCCATCGGCTGTAGTATTGGAAGTAGAAACCGATACCATACTATAAACGTTTTGTTGAAAGAACATAGGTTTAACTCACCGATTCGACCAATGGATCCGCATTTATTCTGGTAAACTTATGAATATCTGTGGGACAAAATTGCCGGTAAGCAATCTTCATGATAAAAACGCCTAAAAGATTGGTTAGACATAATTGATCCAAAACAGCCTGAAGTAGTACTCGGTACTCTTGACCTTTGGCTTTAATTGACACGTTGAAGGCCACTATTTATTAGCATTACCCGGATTAGTATCTATATTTGTTCTATAGGGATATCTAGTTCTTGTCGTCCCGTGTTTCTCCTTTAATTCCATATCCTTGCAATGCGGGTATCTTTTCTTTTAACCATCGGACCTGAAAAATTAAGTGGAGTTACGAGATGTATACTTATATAAGGAATGCTTTATTTCAAGCTTTCAACTTACGTAGAAGAGTTCTTGTCGCGCATGTGGTGGTACCATTCCAGGGTTGTTCTGGATGGCGTAGTAGGCCATATGCATCGCTAAAAATAGGGGATAGCAGCTCTTAGACAAAATGAGGCTTACTTATAATTAGTCCAGCAAACGCCGTCAGTTCTTTTGCAGATTTCCAGCTCATCTGCTCTGACCTTTGACTATATACTCCACCGCGGGCAGATGCGTGGCCAACTTTTGTTCAAAGGCGTCCTATTTCGCGGAAATTTTCCCGCAATTAATTATGTGACCTAAGCGGATGGGATTGTTCAGCAAAAGAACCTCGGCAAAAAGTGTTTCTAAAATTCGTGCGAAAGCAACATATCTCTGATATTTTTAGCTTTTAGTAGCAGCCTTATTACTGCAGACTTTTCTCCTTTGTTGAAATCTCACGACGAAAGCGTGCAAACGAGGCCTCCCCAGCGCCTCATCGATTTGCCTCGTCTCTCACCAAACTCGTGTCCTTTTCCCCCACGTTCACGCTATCTATATCTGTTTTGCCCCGTCGATATCTATCTGCACCATCGCGTAATCGTTAGGAATTTTCTCAAGAGCTCGAGGATTTTGACAGAAAGAGCGAATACTTGTTTCCAGGAGCTATGTCGGATAACAGCGGCAAAATTGCCGCAAAGCGCGCTGAAATTGAAAAGAGATCGAAGGTAGTTTGTGCTAAAGCTGGATGAGCTAGATTTTTAGGGCGGTGGCGGCTTCCTTGGCAAACTTTTCGGCGGCGGAAGTGGCGGAGACATCGCACAGGAGTACATTTCGGTGAGTAAAGGGCTAGTACAAGTAGCTGTGGTTTTCCCTGGTGTCAAAACATGTGATTGGTAGGAAGGGGATGCTCATCAATCCAAAGCTGGAATCCCCGACTTGGTTGAAGAGCCCGAAAAACGTTACGCGGCTACAGTCTGGTGTGATTTTCCGGGGTGTGAAGAAGAATTTATTAACATTGTCGAATACGAAGAACACTATAACCGATGGCATACAAATCACTGTTCTCTCTGTGGCAGGTCATTCGCAACCACATCACTTCTGGAAATTCACAACGATGAAAATCATTCATCGTTTTTCCAATCAAAACTGGCATCCAGGCCAGCTGATCCCCATTATGTCTGCTATTCCCCAGACTGTCCGCAGAAATTCTTCAAAGCAAAGGATCGAAACCAACACGCCAACGAATCACATCAGATCGAAGCACCGGAATATATGGAGAAAAAGAGAAAGATGCGGCGACGAGTTGACCATGAAGCTGACAGATTAGCTGGCATCCAATTAACCAAAGCTCCACAGCGGTCAACAAACTATCGTTTTTTAGATGAATGACTCAGAAAATAAACAAATTATAATTTGCTATTTGGCAGCGGGGGAATCTACAATTCATGCACAAAGTAAACACCCAATTTCAGCTTGGAAATCTGTGCAAGATGGATAAACTGTGGAACGAGGCCGGGGATGCTTTCGAGAAAGCGGCTGAGCGCTATCGTCAGCAGGTAAATTTAGAGGTTAACAATGTAATGCTCTATTATGTAGGGAGATTCTCAGCACGACTGCGCGACACAGTTGTCGGAGGCCGCCAATTGCTACCGCAAAGTTGATCCAAATGTAAGTCGTAAGTGGGACGGAACCAGCCTCATAACGACTTATCAGGGCTTTATGACCTTATAGGTCATTTTTGTAGAATTTTTATCTCAAACTTTTATAGAAAGCTGTCAACTGCCTACAACAATCTGCCGAAATTTACACCGATATGGGTCGATTCACCATGGCAGCCAAGATTCATGTTTCGATCGGCGAACTGTGAGTACAAATAAACAAAATTAAAAAAATATTAAAATTCGGAATAAGTTGATTTTTAGATATGAGAATGAGCTTGCCGATCCGAATAAGTGCATCACGCACTATCAACGCGCGGCGGATTACTACAACGGAGAGGAAAGCAAAAGCGCGGCAAACAAGTGCCTCGAGAAGGTGGCCCAACACTACGCCGAAATTGAGCACTGGAAGGAGGCTGTCAATGTTAGTTTTTGGTTTATCTAAATATTATATTCATAATTCAATTTATCATTTGAAAATATCAGTTATTTTATCACGATAATAATTAAATTATCCCACAACCTTTTCAGATCTACGAGCAAATTGCTTTTTGGACGGCCGACCATCCGACACTAAAATATGGAGCGAAGAACCAGTTCTTCAAAGCATTGCTCTGCTGCTTAAACAAGGATCCGGTAAATATGATTTTCTTTTTAAAAAAACGCTATTTTTACCGATGTTAAGACCATCTATTTCAGTTGGATACCTCCATCGCCCTCAAGAAATACGAGGATTCGTATCCGAGCTTTGCGGATACACGAGAAGCCAAACTGATTAAGGTTAGCTAAAGAAATCAGAGGATAATTCGTGTCTCAGGAAGTTCTCGCGGCTATCGAATCCCAGAATGAGGAGGAGTTCACGGAGGCCGTCGCGCGTTTTGACAAGATTTCTAAGCTCGACAGCTGGCAAACAGGGCTTCTCGTGAAGGTAAGGAGCAGAAAGTTAGCCGATTATATTTCTATACCTTCTAGGTAAAGCGCCGAATTACGAAAGGCGATGATGATGAAGATCTACGCTAAAATAATACTCTCATTTTCGACCATAATCTCCCCGGTGTATACTCACTCCTCATTCCTACTACCCACACATCCCCACTACTTCCGCTTCAAAACATTTTAAAATAATTTATTTACTTTTGTAAAAAAGACCTCTTCCGCTTCGGTTGCCAATGAAATTCATTTATTTATTGGTTGTGAGCTTTCGATTTCCCCGGCGTTTTATAGTTTGGATTCATGCAGAATAGTCACTGTGTGTGCCATTTTAGTGTATTTGCCGCGTTCCCATGATAAATTTTACAGGGACTACTGAATTGAGCGCACATTTGATACACGAAAGTTATGAAATTCTAAAAAGCGAGAAGTTGTTTTCGAACTTTTCGCATTAAAGAATTACACCTTTAAAAATTCTGAAAAGTTAGCGTGGAGAAGCTCTCTAGCCTATCAGCCAGCCAAATTATTATAAGGTCTTCGCAATTTTAATTCACTAAAAAGGCCATAAAAATTTGCTAAAGTTTAAAAGTTGAGATCTGGCTGACTCCTTTTACTTTAAAGTATGTGAAAAACTAATAAAATAGGATGTATTTCATTATTGCCACCCTACGGTAAGACATGCCAAAAGTCGGCCCCGCGGCAACCATCTCCCCACCTCTAACAACCCAGTACCGCGAATTTACAAAGGTTTAGTCCAATCTTCGAAACCTTCCGCCATTCGCCCAAACAATGGCCATTCGCGTGTGAATTTCTCTATTTGTTGGGCAAGGTTTTAAGAGGTCGAGGCTTTACGTTGGCATGGCCGTGTGCAAGACGTTCTTGACCAACGGTCAAATTCGAAAAAGACAGACACACACCCACTAATCCCCTCGTACAGTTTTCGGCCCGAATGGCAGCCAACTGGCCCCTTTCTCGACTCCAGGTCACGGCTATTTGCCCAACTTATCTTAGGGACCGGCGTTGCCCGGCGGCTATCTACACAAAGCATCCATGAAAACTAATAAATCAGCCCGAAGCCGAGATGCGCCTATAAATTAGGCTCATCTAAGCGGGTATCCATTAAATGCACTAAGGGACTGTGTCTGTTTTTTGCAAGTTTGATGGCTATATATTGGATTGCAGAGCCCATCGATGCCCTTGGCGCTACTCTCTTATCGGGGGGGGGGAGGTATTTGCTATGTTTGCTATATATTTGCTGTGATCAGGTCCCATAATTTAACTTACAACTTCTTTAACTCCAAAAACCTCATGTTGTTTTATGCTATCGTCAACATTTTTTGAATTTTTGCGCCCGCAGTGTATGAAAAATGGCCAAGAATGAGTAATATCTGCTAAATTTTAAAGGGCCCGACAAGTTTTTAAGGTCTTTTAGCTTGGAAATTAATAAGACGCTGTTAAGATACGCTAAATTTTACCCGTAGCCTAAGCAAGGAAAATTCCTCTGCCCTCACCCCCGATAAACGATAAGTACCACACCCTCGAAGTTCTCCTATTTTTAAGCTATTTCGTAACTTTTTTTTAATTATTAAATATTACTAAATTTATAGTTAAGTGAACACTCCAACGGGACCAATTCTCTAAATTTAGAACGGTGGCATTGAGTGCCGGTCACTCAGATGTAAACTGACCGCAAAGCATGTGCTCCCCCAAAAAGGCTCATTGTTTGGATTTTTGAGCTCATGAACTTGCCGAATAAATTCAGATGACTTCACCAACTCTTGGGCACTCTTTGTCAATGGCCCGTCCCCTTTTTTCTTTTTCTTGAATCACTGTCCGCCGACACCAAAAATTGGCACACGCAAAATGATGGGCGGCCGATCTGTTTGTCTATCGTTGTGGCCAAACATTGTAATTTGTCCAAGTTTTTTCGGCGGTAGCTTCTCATTTGTACCACAGTACAGCGTTCTGCCCGATTTTTGGCCCAAGTTTTTCTGGGTTTATTTTGGGAGGGTATTGGAATTTCATTGGAATTTAGTTGAAAGAACTGGGTCTGGTGAGATGACGCTTTTGCTGCTGTTCGCTTTGTGTTTGGGCGCCGCGAGTGCATTGGAAAATGGGCTTGCCAGGTGAGACTTTGGTCAACTACCGTATTTTCCCTAATATATCCGGCCACTACCTCATAATAGAAGGTTAAAGCTGTAAAGTTTAAAGAAAGTTTTGTTTAAACTCCATTTTAGGACCCCACCGATGGGCTGGATGTCATGGACAGCGTTCTATTGTGAGATGGATTGTGCTCGACATCCTCATGCTTGCATAAATGAGCAGCTCTACCTCGACATGGCTGACCGCTTAGGTACATTACCTAATTTATAATCGAGATTTGAGTCGACTGATTCACCAGCTTCTGCAAATACCGTACACCTTCAGTAAACGATGGCTACATGGCAGTCGGCTACAAGAACATCCACATTGACGACTGCTGGATGGAAATGGAGCGCGACTCTCGGGGCGTCCTAGTCGCCAATCGCACTCGATTCCCCTCGGGCATGAAGTCGATGGCAAAATATGTAGGTTTGATTCGTTCTTTTCAGTGGAAATATCCAAGCATAATTTATTCTCACTGAGATGGGGTCATTAAAGGCACAATGTTGTCACGTAAACGCATAATGAGTTCAATTTCTACGCACTATCATTATCACGTTTCATCCGCTTCCTGCGCATCAGTACTTCTTTTCTCAAATTGTGTAGCGCTTCTTCGATTCCGATGAAAGCTTCTTCGACGCTAAGCTCGTCGTCGGCGAAATGGTCACGCAGGGTCTACAATTATTTTTTTTTAGAAAACGGATAATGAAATAATAGGGTGTTTTGATTTATAATACCCTACCTGAGCTACAGTTTTTCCTAGCAGTTCGAACTTGTCCATGACGACAGGTTGGGTTGGTGCAGGTGTGGGTGTGCTGGAGCCGGGGACTTGATCTCTCCTCTGGCTTTCTGAGCCGTAGCGCACGAAATCCTGCATTTGATGCGCGTCGTGCGCTTGGCGCTTCCGGGAGGAGGTGAATTGATGATCGGGTTTTCCATTGTTCATTCCAGGCTGCTGAAAGTGTTAAAGTATCACAGGGTATTGGGGTTTCGAAAGTAGTTTTTCATAGGGCGCACTTACCCTAGTTAGTAGTCCACTAGTAAGTATAGTTAGAAGCGTAGGTCTCACCTTATTTTTCGATTCCCCGTTAATTCCAATATGTTGACTGAAGAAGGCAGTCACTGGAGAGCTGGCCCCACCATCCGTACTCCGCGAAGGCGACGGCACAGAAACCGTATTACTGAACGGATTCAGGGCGTCCAGGCTGTCTGCTGTAATTTGAGGAATTATTTGGCGCAGCTGCATTTGCGTACGATTATCCGAGCATCCTTCGAAAAGATGATTAAAGCTAAAGTCAGGCACATCCGTTTCGGGTCGATGCTTTTCGTCTTTCGGTATTTCCATCCCATCAACAAGTCCATCCATACCATCCTAGAATTGGCTGCATGAAGGGGGATCCTATAAAACACTCACGGTTAGGCCTTCAATGTTACATTCGGGGGATAGGTAATGATTGTTTGCCTGAGCAACCTAAAAGTGATTACCTTTCTTCGAACTTTAGCTAATTAACAAACCATTTTACTCCTTTCCAACATTTCACTGGCCAATTTTTGATGCTCTACCACCCACTCTTCGCTGCTGGGTTCAACGCCATCTGGAGGAGTAGGGCTAAAGCTAAATATATCCCAAAATCCTCCAAATTCCTACCCGAACATCCCTGAATCTTCTAAAAACTGCAGCTCCTTGTAGAATTTCCATTTGATCATCTAAAAAAAGCGGCTCAAATTTTTCGGAATGACGAACCCGCGTCTTATCGGCCAACAGTCGGTTTCGTTCTCGCTTGTATGAGTCGCGCAAAATTTTCCATTGAATTTTAAGTTGCTCCACTAAAAAAAAGATTATTTTTAAAATCCTGATAAGGCATACCTGTAAAATTCCATTCTGGAAAGAACTGGTTCATCCTTGCGGTAATTGTGGCCCAGTCGCGAAATTTGCGCTCTTCGGAATTCTATAAATTAGAATAAGTCGGAGCAATCATAGTGTTTATCAGCGGGTGCGATTTTTATGGTTTCAAGCGCAAAAATTAGGAAAAATTTGTAGTCGCGCTATTCTTTAAAAAACAACTCACCACAAACGAACTCCAAATCGGCAATGATCCGGCCACCATTTGGATAAAATTCCGCTTCATCGCGTCAATCATAACGCGGCTTCCGGGGTTTAACCGAGCGTTAACTATAAATTAAATAATATACGATATGCTTTATCCTGTTTTCTCTAATCTATGCTTAAAATAACGAGCAAAACTTACAAATATATTCCGTATCCTCCATCGAGGCGCGGCTTGTCATCGAATACGATTTCTTGGGACAGCTTCTAAATTTGTGGTTCTACTTTGCTTTATGAAGCAGTTTCAAAAAATTCTGAATAGGTTACGGTGGAATACAAATGTATTTGAATGGAGTGGGGGCGCCTAAAGCGTGCCCCAACGGCTGGTTGGTCAAAAGTGGCAATGCGGGAAATAAAAGAAAAAGCCAGCAAAAAAGATATCATTGTAATGCTGGACAGAAGCGATGCGCTTGGGTCGCAGCGCAGCGATTGTGTACGCGTCGCGGCTGCGCTGCAAAGTGGCAGCTGCGCCCAGCTGTGTATGTGAGGGTCGGGGGAAAGGGGAACAGGGAGGGGGCTGAGTAACCGCAGGGCACACCAGCTGGGGCTGACTCTTTCCCCCCTCACACTACGCATAACATCGGCAGGGAAGCTATTCTCTCACCACGATCCACACCTGTACATACAATTCTAGAATACAGGGAGAAAACGGAAGATTGTTGAGATAACCCGTAGAAATGGGCTTGAGAAGTGGGAGTTTTAACTTTAGAAGGGTCAAAATGTATAGAGCCAAATTTTGTACTATAAAATCAATTATCAAAGCTTAATAAGACTGTAATAATATACTAAAATCATCAAATTAAATAAATAACCCCAAAATTGTATAAGATGAACTCAATTACATTTTGAATAGGCAAATTCCAAATGCTCAAAACAGAAAACCTAAATTTTTGAAGCCTGAAACCAGGGAGTGTAGTTATTACAAAATAAAATCGTATCGGATTACAGAATTTACTACGGCGAAAAACGTTTTAGATGCACGACCGAGGCCTCAACTTTGGCATCTACGAGGATTATGGTACGAAAACGTGCGGAGGATTCCCGGGCAGCTACGGTTATGTGGAGGTAACATAATTCTCTCTCTCTCTCTCTCTCTCTCTCTCTCTCTCTCTCTCTCTCTCTCTCTATCGCTCTCTATCTCTCTCCCGCTATCTCTCTTTCTCTTTCCCTCTCTCTCACTCTCACTCTCTCACTCTCTCTGTCTCTCACACTCTCTCACCCTCTCGCTCTCTCACGCTCTCACTCTCTCTCACTCTCGCTCACTCTCTCGCACCCTTTCTCACTCGCTCTCTCACTCTTTCTCTCCCTCTCTCTCTCTCTCTCTCTCTCTCTCTCTCTCTCTCTCCCCTCCACTCCACCATTCGGCTAAAATATTTTCAGAAAGACGCCCAGACTTTTGCCGATTGGGATGTCGACTACCTGAAGCTGGATGGATGTTGGATTGATACCGATAAGATGCCTGCCGGTATCAACGGCCGTTTGAAAATACCTTTATTATTTTAGGCTACAAGCAAATGGAGGAAGCGCTCAACAAGACTGGCAGGTCGATCGTGTATTCTTGCAGCTGGCCGGCCTACCTTATTGACAAGCCGGAACAGGTTTGTGCGGAATTTTGGTTTTCAAGGCACTAGGGAGTACTGTAAAAGCATGCTTTAGGTTGACTACAAGCTTATCGCAAAGTCTTGCAACCTTTGGCGGAACTTTGACGACATCAACTCTTCTTGGAAGTCGATTGCATCGATTATTAGTTATTATGATCACAATCAAGACAAGCATATTCCGACGCATGGACCTGGCCAATGGCATGATCCGGATATGGTAAGCTAACTTCAGTACTGGACTCTTATCAGGGGATGAGAATTTAGCTGGAGTAGCCAATGGTAATCTCTTTATTATGGCCATGACGGAATCGATACCATTTTCATAGCATTTTACACAATTTTCGGATGTAAAAGCTTTAGAAAATTTCGACAATTTTTACTTAAAAATGACACGTCGCGGTAGCATGTTTGAAAATAGCTAGAAATATTATCTGCAAGTTGGATAATTTAAATATTTTTTTTTCAGCTCGTAATCGGAAACCCTGGAATCACGGAAGACATGGCAAAAACACAGATGAGCATCTGGGCCATCTGGAGCGCTCCGTTAATTATGTAAGTTACTGTTTTAAAGTGCATTTTTTTATTTTATTCCAGGTCGAACGACCTGCGCACCATCGCCCCGGTATTTGCCCGCATCTTGCAAAATCGTGATGTCATCGCTATCAACCAAGATCCGATGGGTGTCATGGGAAGATTGGTTGCAAATGTGGGTCCATAAAAAAATAGAAATAATAGACTTTTAGACGACGAATATTGGTGTCTACGTGAAACCGATCGTTCCTGGCGATGAGAGTGGTGGACACAGCTATGCAGTTGCCGTTTTGAATCGAGATGAACAGTGGAGCCAGGTAGGTAAAATTCAATTCGATAGAGCGTTAAAAACTAGCAGCTTTTCTACAACCCAAAACCCGGATCTAAAATTATTTTTTTTGCCGGGTTTTTTAATGAGGATTTTCAGGACGTAAGCTTCGTGCTCAGCGACATCGGCCTAAAAGCTTCGAGTGGCTACGTCGTTGAAGATCTCTGGACAAATGTTAAATACGGCATCATGAGACCGGGAGACAAATTTAGCGTATGCAAAAAAAACCAAATCCAACATATAAAGACTACTTCAGACTCGCGTCAGACCCACCGGCACCACTCTGCTCAGAGCCACGCTCGTCGACGCGCTGCGGCCGTACCGCAATAACCGCATCAGAACCGATTACGTCTTCTAAAAGCCCCCCACCCCCGCTTGTTGTACATACCTTACACGCACCTTGATTGACAGACTTACCCCTTGCCATACTGCATGTTTTTTTACCTTCCTTGATCTTCGACTAGATTAAATTTTTTAAAAACAAATGCTACAGTACTGCTATGCTGTTTGTTATGTACCATCTCAATAAATGAATATGACTAGATCACAAATTAGTAAAGAAACGCAAGAGATGGTGATGTTATGTTTATAGATAGGCTGAAACCACGTCATCGGGAATGCAATTTAAAGGGAACGACTAGTTTAATGCTGATCATGCCTTCTAAGTCACCAACCACTACACGGGACCGATTATCTTGGCCTTCTGTGGTCTTTTTATGCCTCAGATCCGTCAAAAACGGAAGTTTTTTTAACGACTCCCTAGGTTTTCAGCCACAATATTGTTGCTAGTCCTGCTATCAAGCAGTGTGTGAAGGCAGCATACCCAGAAATTTGGAACCCTATTGGTTTCCAATCTGGCCCTAAATATCGTTCCGTGGCGAGTCTCTGCCTTTCCAATAAAATGGTTGTAAAGACGGCGAGCTACAAAGGGTCATTTTCCTCGACGTTTTTGTTAGGGTAAATAATAATCTTTATTTAGCACAACCCAAAACACGAAAGCATCAATGAGTGGAACCGACTAAATGACGTCACAACTTTTGTCACCCAGTCACACGTTTTGGAAACATTCAATAATATGATACATTAGAGCAATCTGAGGGAAAGTGCTTGATGAATCCATTATCCAAGTCCGTGATCTTCGAAGAATCCTTGCGGCGTCTCTTCCTAAACACAAGAAAGTTATATTTTAAGCAGATCAGCAGTGTATATTTTTTTTTCTAAACAAGTCCTGCAAAAATACCTCTTGTAAGAGATCCTGTGCAGCTATGGCCTTGAGCACCTGCTTCTTGCTGGTTTCCTAAAATTATTTTAGAAAGGATGCGCTCAAAGGTTTAGCAACTAATCGCTAAAACTAACGGCGAACCGATAGTCAAAGCCCAAGTGTTTTTTTCACTCGCCTGAATTTCGCCTGCCAACAGGAATTCATCGAGGATAAAATAGGCCTTTTCAAAGTTGAAGATGATATCGAGCTCGCAGACCTAAAGGATGTTTTATATATAATGCCTCGTCCTGGCGCCCTAATATGCTCATGACCTACCGATCCAAAGTATTTATCAAGCAATTCCACGTATCGGTGGATGATCTCGAGGCTGAGCAATTCGTTATCGCCCTGCTCGACAGCACAGCAAAAATACAATGAGGCGTATCTAAACGTTATCCCATCAAATCGCCTAAACGACACCGAGGGTAAAATCGGCTTAATACTTACCGTTTATATACCACTTTGAGGTCCTTGTATTCCAAGAAGGCGCACATCTTCGGTTTACGAGCCAAAATTTGCGTAATCAGCTCTCGGCAGATTTTCTTTTTTTGCTAAATTAAGTGTTTATTTTTGTTTTTGCATGATGCATGGCACTTGCGTTAGAAGCTGGAATGAGCAATGGGCTCACCTTGTCTAGATATGAAGTATACCACTTTTGGAGCCGCAGTTTTCCCTGCCGGGAGAAGAGGAGCATGAAGTGCATCATCTTGCCGGCTCTGAGAAAAATATAATTGAGGAAATTTCGCTAGATTGGGCTTACATCGAGCTCAGAGAAAGGGTAGGATCAATCAAAGGAAAAAGGCCTCTGTACAGCTAGCAAAGCACTTTCTAACCTTTATAAAACTTAAATAAAAATACTAAAAATAGATGCGTCCGTGCGCACAGCGGTTTTATTAGGTGGCTGAGGTGTGTGTGGGGATGCAGGCGGCGCGCTTTGGATCGATGCTCACTGGGTGGTCACGGAGCCCTGGGCAAAGTCAAGGGAATCGCGCAGAGAGTCTTGAGGAATTCGGGATTTTAAATAAAAGCTTGTATTTGAAATAATCGGGAATATGGTCTAACCCGTAATTTGAAGCGGTACAAAAATTCTATAGCCAGCAAGAGCGTTGCGAAGCGAAACTGACTTTTATATTGTACGTGTCTCAACACTATTTAGGAATTATAATCTGATAAATGTAATGCTCCAAGGAGTAGTTTTTCAGAAATTGTTTTTATCGGATAACTTTGTCAGTATTCAATATATGTCATTTGACAAACGCGAGATGGAGGGCACCATAGTTTCAAATTGTTGCATAGACGTATCACAACGTATTTGAGGGTGTGAGACGGGGGTTTCAAGAAAATAAAATAGAATATACAGGACCGGATTTGTGGATAGATACAAATTAGGCAGTAGAAAGACAAGGTTTGGCAAGGATTGAATTAAAAGCGAGTACTGAGATTGGTTGGGGGTTTCGATACACTGAGCAACGGTTATCGAGGCAAAACTAGATTTGATAAACACGATTTTGCGAGCTGGAATTGATTTTGGGGCTGGAGTGGGTGGGTTAGAAGCTATTCGCTGTCTTCAGAAGAAGAGTTGAGGCCTGGTGGTGAAAGCCCTGTGTGTACGGTGATTGAGGCGTGACAGTTGACGGCAAAAGCGGGGTAGTAGAGTCCTCGTGGCATATTTCTGTAAAATAAAAAGATAAAGTTCGAAGCGCGATGGCTTACCGGAATGCAATAGTCTCGCCCTCGCAGGCTCGTTTCCGATCATTGACGGTATATTCGAGGGTTCCGCGGTCACAATCAAGTCGGATTCCTAAAGGTTTTAGATATAGCATGCTTCGAGAAGCCTGATTTTCTCAGAAAGCGGAAGGTTACTTACCAATAACCGATCCTTTGCTGATTCCGCCAGGTACGCGGTGGTGGTGAGTCTCATTGTGCAGATACCAAGATCGCTCTCCATCCACGTACATCGACCAGCCGTGCAAATCTTTGCCTGAAAGGTATTGAGGATTAGCGAGTTTACAAAATTTGTATTATTCTAGTTCAGGTGATCATTTAAGACTGGCCTACCTAACATCAAATTTCGGTTAACAGACGGGTGAGCAACACCGACGACGATATCCGCATTCGATTCATACTTGTCTACCGTCACTTCCCAGTAGTGAACTCCCTGAAAGTTGATGTAAGGTCCCCAAATTTCGGATACCTTCGAAAACGCGATGCTCCCAAGCACGGTACGGTGCTCTGTGGTAGAGCCAGACAGCGTCATACACTCATTCGTCAGCTGCATGTCACGTTGGGATGGGCTCTTGGTTAGTTGGAACCAAGCCACTAAAATGGGTAATATGTAATTATAAAATTTGGAGTGATTAAGACATACCCTGAGCCGTCTGTAGACAAATCGGCTCACTGTATCCGCTTTCGCCGGCCGAATTGAATGCTTTTACTCGGGCGGTGTACATCGTATTGAAGTGGAGACCGTCGATGGTGCAAATCGTGTCGGCACCCGAATAGACCGTCTAAAAATTAAAGATCCTAGATGCAGGTGTTGGTTGAAATATACCTTAAAAATACCGTCATCCCTTCCGGTATCAATTTCCAAGGTATAACCATCTATCGCTGAGCCATCCAATCGGGGTCTCCAGACTAGAAAAACGATAAGGTTTTATCTGTTATTTTTCGATTTTTTTGCGTATATTTAAATTTATATAAATTGAATAACATAGAATATAAAAATATACAATAAATTTGTTCATTTATTGCTTTTATTACCGTACCTAGCGTCACCGAATTGTTTTCTGCCGAGCATTCAGCCGCATCGAAGCACGGTTGGGATGGAACTGAAAAGAGCTATATTTAAAATATTATCAAATTTTTAAATGTGCCAGTGCCCCATGCTGAAAGGGATCAGAGACTTTCGACGATCACTATACGACAAAGATTTTTGGCAGGTTTTATCTGGGAGCGGTGCGGCGAGATTTTGACAATTTTAGAGTTACACAACTCCCAAGGCTTGCTGAGCACTACCTCTACTAGAATCGCCGGTTACACGTCTATTTTGAATTCCTGAAAGGGGGTTAGTTGTATAAAGAGTGAATGAGTGAGTAAGAGAAGAGGAGAAGCCTAAATTTTCATAAAGATTACATACCTTTGTGTTGAGCAAAGTCGAGTGTTTGGATGCCATACTGCACGTGTTTCACATCCAAGTTTAGCACGAATTCCGGGTCAACCTGCAAATTTGAATAAAAATGAATGCATTCTACTACCTCTGGCTTGGTGCGCATTTCAGTATTCCACAAAAATTCTTGACTAGATGAGCGGTGCAGCATGGAGTTGCTGATCTAAAAACAACAAAAATATAGTGGTATTAAGTGGCTTTTTTACCTGTAGGTAAGTGGCAGCATCTTGTTCTTTTAGAACCTCAATCCCGAATTGGATTAGGGCTGTCGTTTTGCCGAGCTTATTTGTGCAGCGTCCAATCTGGTCCCGCAGCGCTCGTCGCTGAAAAAAAGACACTTATTAATCTACTGTAAGGGCTATTCTTTGTCAAATTTAAGTTCGCAGCAGCATTGTCAAAAATTTCAATGCGTTGAGGTTAAAATTTTCTACACCCTAGTTATCGACAAAATAGCTGATAAACTGATGGCAAATTTTACTGTAGCTTACCTTTTGCTCCTTATCCTGATCAATCCTCGCCATCAGCTCTTCCTTACGAGCCATCATCTGCTCAACAAGCGTGTCGATTTGTATACAAACCGCAGATTTGAAGTCGTTGCAGTTGTTCTAAAATAAACCGTTATTTATCATTTTCCGCTATCTAAAATGTATTTCGCAAACGTTATAAAACGAACGTTAATTAAATCCTGCATCTGCTTCAACCGTCCGATCTCTTCACTGGCCTTCTTTGCTTTCTCCGAGAGCTGTTGTAGCGTTTGCGAGAGTTCGGTCTGAAAATAAGAAATAAAGTATTTTATTTTTATTTTTATTTTTTATTGCCCGAATTTTCAGATCTAGTTTCACTCCCCGGGGAGTTGTACTCCCCTCGCATCCCTGGAGGCTATTCTACGAGATTTTGTGAAGAAGAAAAGTGGGCACTCGAGCGTGGGGGTGGTGAGTTCGGGGCACTTCATCTAGTTAGTCGTCCGACTGCCAAATTGGGGGGGGTCCTTTTCTGTGAACGAGGGCGCGGCATCGGGGCCCTGGAGGGCCCATTTCTTCCGATCCGATTACCCAAATACCCCGTACTCCAGGGGGCTTATTCAAATCTGGTGGATTAGCTGAGTCAAATCTGCTATTCGCTGTTTTACCACCAGGAATTGGGGTGGAACACCGGGCGTCCGATAAAAGTGAACTCTTTGCGGTCCGTAGAAGTGTCCGAATAGAATAGGTTCTGGTTTATTAGCGGGGGGGGGCAATTTCGTGTCCCGCTGCTATAGCTCGTCTGGATTAAAGCTAACTAGTTACTTAGTTCGTTTTTCTTCTCCATCGCATGGTGTTTTTACAGAATGCCGAAAAACAGCGGAAATTTCGAAAACTGGCTTCCTAACTTCATTTTTAGAAGTTTTTCTTATCGTATTTTTTTGTATTTAGGCTGTAATTAAAACTCATAGTATATTTCCAATCCTGGGGAACAATCCACATAAATTAGGGAAAATATAGAAAAATCTGCCAGAAGGCCCCCCTAACGAACAAAAACCGAAAAAACTACATTCAGGCTGCTTTCTACGCAATTCATTTTGCGTTTCCGGACACTTAATACATCATTAATTATGCACTTCCGCCAAAAGATATCTTTGATATGATCAGGAAGCCTCAGATCCCCGGGGCATCTGCCCTAGGCCTTATTGCTCGAGGCGACTCTGTGAGAGTGCGAAAAGCAAGGACAAATTTGTCATGATCCAATGAAGGGCACGACAGGGAAGGCGGGTGGCTTTGATGCAGGGGGATGTGGCAGGTCGCGCTGGTCTCGACACGACCAGATGGTGTCTTCATTCTCGTCAAAGGGAGCGTCATGATGGGATTTCGGGCCCTTTGTCAGCTCCGCACCCCTAGGCAAACACAAAAAAACTGTTCGGTCTGTGATAAAGGCTAGGTTTATTTTTCATAAGTTAATTTTTACATTAAATATCAAATTTTCTGTAAAACACCAATAAAACTCTTCGTATGCAAGCTGCCCGTATAAGAAAACTGCCGAGAAAATTGTTTCGCGATATCTATGTAGTTAATTTTATAGAATTTTAGCAAAAAGACAGTGCCTAATACAGTACTCCCCTTCTAGCCACTTAAAAATTTACACTTGGCGCGTTTCCTGCTGCCAAAATCGATCACCAATTGAACGTAATCAATCTTTTCAGGCCGTTTTCGACGGCCAACGATCCGCCTCAGAATATCAATCTTGTTGGCCCAGATGGCTGGGGCGTTGCGTCAGGGGCTCTCGTGGCACTTACTGTCACTTTTCGCTGCACGCGGGATATTAATTCCCATCCCGCGCTCCCCCACCATTCAGCCGTTTGGGCCACAATTATCGTGGGCCATCGGATGAAACCCGTGGGGGTGAGGGCCCAGACAAATGGGCCAACTGACAGCTCATTACGGGTGGCTATTGTCTAGATCTTTGGCAAACTATTCGTCGGGGTGAATTGGTAAATTTATGGATGGATGGATGCTGCTGGAAACTTTGGAGGGAAAGCGGGCAAATTTCTAATATTTCTGATAGAACTTCAGGTATTAACAATACCATCACTAACGCCAGATGCTAATTTTACTGCTTTTCCGCTATTTTTCACAAAAAAGATTGAAATTTAATACACAAAATAATAACTGATAATGAAAATTCACCGATCATACCCAGTGATCCTAAGAACATTACGCTCCCAATGACATCACCTACATACCTTAAAAGTCTTTGAATCCGTATGCATTGTGCTGAATGCAAATTTTTATACAAAAGTTCCTTTCCATTTTATTTAAACAACACCTCCCACTTCCCCCACAAAATATATGCAAAAGCCCCCCGGGCACACGCCGGATTTAATTAGCACCCCCTCCCCTTTAAGGAGCCCCAATTGTTTACGTGTTTGGTGTTGGGGCAGTCAAGGCAAAGCAGCTTGAGGCGCCCAGGGTGTTATTTCCGCCCCCTTCCCCCTATGCCATGTATATAGGAATAATGCGTACGTTCGGGGCGGCGGTGCCTTAGCGCCTCGGCGGGGCCCCCTAATGAATATTGCCCAGATTGGTGACCGGAATGGAGGGTAGCATATGGCGGACACCTTCTGCTGGATCGACCCGTGGATTCCACTAAGAATAAGTGTTTTCCTAGCCGTTCCCCTAGGGGGAAAGCACTCGACTATCCAGCTAATTTAGTGTTTCCCAGGGTAGACCCATCTGTTGCATATGACATTAAGGAAGGAGAGAGATCGAGTACTGGACTCTTAGCGGGGGGAGCTGACTTTGTTCCAATACTGAAATCAATACTATTTATGTAGTTTTTACGCCTCTTCTCATCCTACAGTTATGTTATATATAGGCTAGACACCTCCCCCCGCTAAAAGCCCAGTACCAAGGAAAGTATAAAAAAACCCTTAAAACATCCCCCTACCCCAGCCAATATACCTTTGACTACCAATCTTACACCCAACCGCAAAGGTACCACCCGTCAACAATTTGCCACTCCGCGCCTTTGATCCCAGCCGCGCTACACGACTTTTTACAGCTGATCCCCTTCGTGACACCTGTTCAAATGGGATCACGATCAGCAGGGTGAGCGAGAGCTTCTGTAGACATTCTGTATCGAATATTTGTTGGATAAAGCTCATTGAGAATCAATTTTGGCCCCTCAGGTTTCGCAGCGATAGTTTTTGAGGACAAACAAATGGCACCAGCACTCAATCACGTAGCCCCTTGCTGGGCTGTCCACTTTTTACACCTGGAGGGGGACACCTTCTCAGAGCTGTGCCCTCCCAAAAATATAATCCACTACAGCAATTTGTCAAACACCGGCTGTTTCGTGGGGGGTTGTATTGGTGTATTACTGAGGGTCGCTCTAGACTTCAAAACCGGTGTATACGCAAACTTGCTGAACCGACGTTTTAAAGGCTGTGAGTATGTTGTGTGCTACTTACGCAAATTTCGAGCCCGAAAAGGTCCGGCAACGGTTCTCACGCATTACCGTCAGCCCACTGTTTAGCAGGGCCTAGGTGCAAATAGATTCGGATCAGGCCCCCGGGTCCTGCCCGGCCAAAACAATTGACCGATTAGCCGTCCCACTCTTGTCCGTTGTGTTGGATGAGTACGGGCCGATCCTATGCAAATTCGTGGGTCAATGCCAGACACCCGATCCCCCCTGGGTCACCCGGCTATGATATCCCCCCAAACTCTCATAGCCACACTTGTAAATCAGTAATCGGAGAAATGAGTGGATGGGTGGCCCTAATAATACTTTCGATGGCTCTCAAGGGATCAAAGGAGCTTGGAGTTTGAGATCGTGACCTTGGAGAGAAAGAGGCATACAGAGTAAATATGAAGAGATAGAGGAAAATAAAATGGGTTCTGGTGAATTAACGGGGGGGGGGGCATTTTTGTGTCCGAAAATTTCGAAAACTGGCTTCCGGTCCCTTTAGAGATTATTATTTTTTTATAACTATTTCCCATTATCGGATTTTGGGCCGTAATTAAAATCTTTAGTATATTTTTCATGCTTTATGCGAACAATCCCGCTAACATAGAGAAAATCGGAAAATTTGGGATACCCCCCGTTAACGAAAAAGAGCCGTAAAAACCAAGCCTTCTAGAAACCCTAGGCTACTTTCAGCGTAATTTCACTACTTTCACAAGTAATCCAAATGTTTTCCCTCGAAACCCCGCTGCCCCACATATGCTAATAATAAATCACAGATTCGCGCACATTCCCCTGGAGCACAGCTCAGCCTGCTGCTGTTGGCCAATTTGTCATCGACTCGATCATCTCTGCGGTTTCCACAACTGGCCTCCGGGCCGTTCGCGACCTGTGTCGTATTACAATCTGTTTCTCCGGTTCTTGCTCCAGCTCTTGCCCCCTTTCTCCTCTCTCCTGACTCTCCAGGGGCCACCAAACGTGCATCTTTTACAGCGCGCGCACTACCACCCGGTGAACATTGACAAATTGGCCACGAGATTGATGGGCCATTTTTTGTTGGGTTACAAAAGTAAGGGTAGGGTTTAGGCTTAAGGAGCTTAAGGATCCACCTCGATAAAGCTTAAAATATTAACAAATCTGTCTTACCAGCCCCCTTTAAAGTCATAACTTTTCGAGGCCGGCTGATCTGGCTAGATGAAACCCGATCCGGGGGCGAAGATTGGCCAGAGCAGGATTTACGGCTTCTGCCCGTGTTTAGGGCCGTTTTTCTGGGCTCTGTTTGTTTGCCCGGAGCGTCGCGGAGCAGATCGTCTCGAGCTCAGCGCGCTTCCAATTGCTGACACCTCGGGCATCTGGCTGGGGGAGCAAGAGGTTTTGAGCAAGAGGATCTCAGGGGAGCTATAATTTTTTCTAACGTATTTCCCTAAGCGATTTTCTTCCACTATCCCAATCGCCAGGCCAGGTGTCGATCCTTAGACAGACAAGATGGGTTTTGGTGTATGAAGGAGGGGGGAGATGAGGATTATATGGCGCAATTGGTGCCCATTTTTCTGGTGGTGCTGCCCCAATCTGTTGCCTCAAAACCATTGGATAGGGTAACGGGTCATAAAAGCACGGCCAAACGGCGCGTCATTTGCGCAACGGGCCCCCGCCCCCTCGATGGGCCTCCATTATTTCTTTTATAATAGTTGATGGGGTGAACAATGTGTGGTTTTGACACGTTTTTGGGGTTGAATAGAGGTATTTTGGAATATTGGTTGTCAAAGTTAAGGCCATGGATGTATTAATTAGAAAAACCGGTAATTTGCACGAATGAATTTTCTAGACTTTTAGTTTACGTTTTATTTCTAGACTGTAAAATTCCAGCTTATCAAAATTCGATATTCACAAAATTAAATCGTTAAAAATACCAAGATTTTTGAGACTAACAGATCCCGTTTTTACTTCTACTACCCGTTTCCAAATCCAGAAACCCACGAAACGATTAACGTATTAGACAGCCCTCCACCCCTGCCCGGCCATTCCCGATTCCGGCTTCCCAGGGATTCCACAGACCCCCAGACTGCCTGCAGGAAATTGAAGCGTTCCTGTGTGTATGGGGGACTTGGAAGCGGGGGACAGCTCGTCACAAGCCCTCAGGGCATGCATACACCTATGGCTCATTTGCATATTTCAGCATGAGGGCACAGACAGGGCCACTCCTGGCACGCAATCCCCACTCTCCGAAAGGCTCGAATATCTTTTCCAAGAATTTCCGGTTTAGAAGATTGGTATAGCTAAGGAAAGAGATTTTGACACTATGCGAAAATTTTAATATGCAGAAAGCCATTTCCGGTTTAGCAGATCGTTAAATCTAAGGGTAAAAGACCTGAAAAGATTTCTAGCAGCTTCTACAGCTGGTAGTTTCAAGCTACTTGCTAATTAGCAGATGGTCCCCCCTACAAATCGTCGTCTGGCATGGTGCCTCCTCGCTATCGTGGCGGCCATAAAGGGAGGGTGGTTTTGGTGGAGAAGAGAGGAGGATGAGGTGGCGGAACGGGATGGCCGTGTTCCGCCCGCTGAGATTTACGACCACACCACGGGGACGATCACCTTTCTATCAAGCACATGTCCCTTTTAAGTATGCCGAAACAATGGAAATGGGTGGAGAGAAAAAGAGTAGAATTACTCCCGAGAAAAAGATCTGGGAGTCGAGAGTTCATACAGGCCTTTGGGTGGGGTTGAGAATGAGCCCAGAAAATAACTTTTAAAATATATTTAAACCGACCTTCTGAGCCTTGCACGTCTGCGCCAAGTTTTGGACGTCATGGTTGGCATGCCGAATGTCCTAAACATCTGATTTAAGGCTGGAACGGCCAATTTACCTGTACACAATTTGAGCAAATCGGTGCTTTGCACGGCACGCAGTACATTGTGAACTTTTCACGATGTTGCGTACAACGGAGGTCTTGTGGTGGCGTCCGGTTGCAGGCAAGCTTTCTAAAAACCAACCATGATGAAGCTAAAAAGCACCCAAACATACCGCTGAGCTGCTGCGATGAGATTGTGCTTTGCCAGTGGTCCCCTCATCGGATGCAATGCCCCTTGGCACGCATCGCAATAATATATATCGCACTGCTCACACCAAACGCTCGCCGATTTTGAGCCTTCCTCGCATAACTTAAAAAACGTTTTTATCTAACTAGTACCTTTTGATATACCTGACAATTGGCCTCCTTCAACGCTTCAGGCGCATTCTCCGGCTCTTTTTTACTCGTCACCAAATTCGGATGAGCGGTCAGGTAGCGTGACAGCACATTTTGCACGGCTACATTTGTCGGGAGCTGCTGGACGACCGACTGGAATTTTATTAAATTAATTTTATAATTTTGTTTTTTGAATGTTCCCTGGAGGGCGTTGAGGATTTGGGGGTCGTATAATCTTGGAGAACGCCTTTCCGGGCGCGACCACCCATCAATCCGGGGTGGTCTTCTTTCTTTTTGGTTGAGGCCATTCTTGAGATTAAAAGACAGAGAACCTCCCGAAAGACCCCGGGGGGATGGAGGTCCTAAGGATGGCGGAGGAAGGAAAAAAACGAATGGTTGCGCCAAGATGGCTGACGGTGATCGGGCTTTGGAGATTTATGTTTGAGCGGAAGGTGGTGGATTTTAGGTTTTTAAATTTTTATATTTCCTCTGGTTCAACCTAAGGTTTTGGGCGTTAAAGGGGCTAAGAAGTCTGTTCCACATTGCCTTACGACAGGTAATCTCCGCAAGCCCAAAAAAGTATTTCGCCCCAGAAATACTACATTTTATCCAAAATATTTGCACCTTTTTCGTGTCGAAATGAATTTGTCGATGTTTTTTATACAGAACTCCTTGGCTTTTTTGGACTGTAGCTTCAGATTTTTCACTTCCAAAGTCCTTTAAAACTAGGTTCCTAAATTCGTCCCTCTTCTCCTCACTAGGTGACGGTCATTTCTGAGGTCAGTCGGCTCGTAAAAATGTTGGTAGGCGCGGGAAGGGACATAAGGTCCGGTGGAAGGATGGACGAATGATAAGGACACCCCCCTCCTTCTTCTTCTTCCTCTTCTACACCCTCCCCCACAAACAATATATGGTGCCTCGGGGCGGTGATTCGTGCCCAAAACATCGCACAATTCTATTGATCGAGTTCGCGCGCGGAGACTGTTAAAGGTTGCGACTATAGAGAAAACTGAAAAGGCTGCAATTCTAGGCTTGAAAATAGGGATGAGCTTGCATTTTCCCCACTACAGCTGCACGCTTTTTCACACTACTCCCGGACCACCACGATCCGCTTTTCGTATTTTCATACACCAGCTGGGGATATCGCCCCGAGACCGGGTAGAGAGCCCAAAAAACTCATTAGGAGGACTTGTGGGGGGACCGAGGGATAGGTGCCTTTTTTACGGGAAACAGGTGCAATCCGTTGGCGACGGGGCCCAGGGCGAGTAATTCTAGGGTTGCCATCCGTCAGCTGGCAACAATATAATTGGCCACTGGGTAGACATGGTGGTAAAAAATAAGATGGTGATAGGAAAATGCATAGAGATACAAAGAGAGAGCGAGAGGGAGAGAGAGAGAGGGAGATATAGCGAGAAATAGCAAAAGCAAGGCTAAAAACCAACCTCATCACAAAAATAGTTCGGCTTATGACAAGCAGCACAGGTCAGATGGATGGCTGACGTTGAGGGAGTAAGAATCGACGGCAATCGGCTTGATGACGGCCCAATCATCGAACAGGGTCGAGATGCTAAATTTAAATAAATATAGATAAATATGTATCCTGATATCGAAGCTTTTCACCCGTGGAACTTCCCATTTTTTAACCCCTTCCTCCTCCTCCATATGTCCGTTGTGACCTTCCATGTCGTTCTTTACCCCATCCCCCCCATCCGTTCACCCAAAGGCAGACAGAAAAGAGTCGAAATACCTCTTCCAAGCAGCACAACTCCCGAATCCGTCTCCGAGACGACACTCAACTTGTCACTCTCATGGTCGTCCGAGACACATAGCGAGATTGTGTCCGAGCTTCGGTCTGAAAAAATGGTGGTGGTATGCAAGAATATTTGCAACACACCTGAAGAGTAATTCGGGGAGATTGGGGATGAGGCTGGGCCATGCCCGGAGAGTAGGCTAGGGCCGGTAGATGCCGATGGGGTGGCGGGAGTGTGAGGGCGGTTGGACTGTGGGTTTTGGATTGCCTGAAAGGATCGGTGGTTTTTGCTAGAAAGGTTAAACTACCTTAACCGTACAATCGCGGCAGTAGGAATGACCACAGCCAAGTAAGACTGGGTCTTGGAAAAAATGGCGGCAGAGGGGACATCGTAGCTCTTCCTCCATGCCGGGCGCCTGAAAATATCGAAGGTGATTTTCTGTTTTTGGGTTATATAACTCTGGCTGCAGAAAAGTACGGTAAGGAAGGGCGGTGATAGAGAGCGAAAAAATGGCTTTACGACACCTGCCAAAATATAATACTCATCCGCCCTCCCCATTAGCATCGGGTGTACACAGACGGCTTTTTTGGCCACGGCTTGTCTGTTTGCCCGTCCGTCCCTGTGTTGTGTTGTGTCGCGTGGTAGATGTGTGGATAATCCGAAGCAAAGGGGGGTAAGGGTAAAGGGCGCATAATTACCTAGCACTACCCCCCAACACATCCTATTCGACACGCATTATCCTCCCACCAACCCTTTTATAATGGGTCCTGTAACGGGTGGAGGATGAGGGGGAAGGGGACTGTGCAAAGGTGTGAAAAGGACTGTCAGCTCGAATTAGTCATTTCTTCGGGGCTGCTCAAGGCCAAGAATTCTTTGAAAGAAAGGGCTAGGTGCTAATATGGGGAAACAAGCAATGACCACCAGTATAGGTCACGATTTTTCAAAAAGACTACGAGATTTTACTAATGCCATATACTCCAGCTCCTCTTTTTTTGGATTGACTCCCCCGTAAGATCGTGGTGGGCCAAAGGAGCTGGGTGCGGGAGCCCATTTCTAATTTCTCATTATTGGGCACCAACGAGCCCGGGCCCTTCGCCCCTTTCCTTAGGGCCCATCCCATCTCGACCCTACGGCCACCTCCCATACCAATAAACCCTGGCCACCGATCTATGGGCCCCCCGACCCAGCACCACCGCGCTGCTGCTTTTGGAAAAACCCACATCGAATACTAGCACTGGCTGTCCGCCCAAAAACTAGAAATATTCCTTTTATTGCGAAAAATAAGGTAGCGCCAGCTGGCACCCTTCCTTTAAAAAGTCAAATTTACCAAAAAATGCGACTGATACTATATAATTTCCAAGGCTCGAAGTTTTTCCAATTAATCCGCAAAACAGGGTTCCCACGAAGCGGGTCCCGGGCCGAAAAGGAAAGGGGGAAATGACATTAAATTACGGATGCGGAGTCGGCCGAGGGAATGAGCGGAAAATTGGGTTTGAAGGGCTTCGGAAGTGCACAGGGAAAGTTGCCAAGGGCCAAAAAAGAGTTGGATGGAATATGCGAGTTTGATCTGGGTGCCGTTCTGGCAAAATGAGGAGAGTTACTAGAAAGGGAAGGTATTGGACTTGCCATAAAATCAAGAATTATCGGCGTCTAGAATGAATAAAAGTAAACCCACAGAGCACTGTTAACACGATGAATTCCATGAAGCTCCAAAATGCAGAAAAATCCTACCTTTTTCGCAGTACTAATCGACGGCGTCGGAGCCCGAGAACTGCCGCGGGATAAGGGCATATTAATGCTTGAGGTGGAAGCTGCCGAAAATCCACGCCTCATCCAATAATTAGCAATTAGTTGAAAATGGGGGAAAAGGTTTTGGAGATGGTTGTAGAGGGGGGGGTTGCTGGCTAAAGGGGGGAGCAGAGATTGTGGGCGTGGCCTCGGGGCATGTCCCCGCCCATTTATCGCACCATTTCTGTTCACCGGATATGCCCTAAGGGTTGATAATAATGGCTTGAGGTTATGTTGAGGAAGCAACTGTCAGTATCTAGTCGATTGGATAACAAGGGTTTAATTGTTTGGGATGATGGGTCATATCCGGGATTGTCGTTTTCTAAAGAATTTTAGTCAAAAGGAAGTATATTTTGGACATTTTGTCATTTCCAGATACACTATGTCTCACTGTATTGTCTCAAATACAAGGGAAAAGTCCTGTAGAACCCTCAAGCTTGCATTGAATATGGAGTAGCCCCGTGGAAAGATGACAAGTCATCATGGGAGCCCGATCGGGGACTTTTTTCGAGTGAAAGAAAGTGCTCGTAGCAACTTATTTTTCCCACATTACCTCAGTAACCAAAAACTATACCAAAAATCCCCCCTTCACTGCATCTTTAAACCCTTACATCCCCAATCCCTAAAAGGCAGCCCAGGTGTTAGGAGGCGGTCTTCCCTCTCTGCCTGGTTGTGTGTGAGCAGCCTGCAGAAGGAGGCGAGAATGGCCAAACGAGCGGAATTTACGAGCCATTCCACTTCTTTCCCCTGAACAGTCAACGAGGGCTCACAACAAAGACGACCATTTTCAAAAAAAAGCCCCCGGCGGCCCCGGGCGCCAAAAATGGGGCCGATTCCCGGGGCGGCGGCTCATCACATTTCGAGGAACCACGCAGCAGATACACCAACAAACAGACGAATCAAATGGGAGATTAAATCAACCGTGCAAATAAGGGAATTTGGACGCGACTTTCAAAAACGATGCGCTAGTATCGATTTTGAAAAATGACGTAGAGCGCTTCTCAAAAAAATGCGACGTTGTCCCGTACCCAGGAGTCGTTTTTAGGAAATATTGAGTGTTGTGATGCAGCAGAATTCTAAGCTTTAAAAAGGGTGAGATCCTGCGTGAACGCTTTCTGAAGATTCGGATTTTGCTGAGAGAGTGACTAGAATGTAAAAAATCTTGCGTAATAACCTAAAAACAACTCCTTCTAAGGTATAACTTTTGCAGTTACGTCAATGCACGGCTAGTCTGGACGTCGTTGGCCTAGTTTTCTGAAGTGTTCTTCAACCCATCCCTTTGCTTTGTCCAGCCCCCAGAAGTGCTAATTATGGGTCGGCTCTTCCCTTTTTGTGCCTATTTGGCTCTTGCGCAACTGTGGCCAACGGGACGGTCCATGGAAAAAATCCGTGTCAAGTGGCTGCCACCATGCCCAAGCCCTTTTGTTGGTTCCTTGACACCTTACAGTGACGTCTTGGGTATAGAGTTAGCGTATAGAGAGTAATCCTTAAGAAAAACTATTTTGCCTCCACAAAATGTTCGTGAATAGACCGGCACGCTCTATGTTGCTACCCCGATAATCCCTCCCCCAATACCCTGGATCGAATCCAATTTTTCTTTAAAATCGGAAATCGAACCAAAAAATAGCCTTGAAAAGGCACCAGCCCCATGAAAGCAACATCTGCTCCCCGGGAGACCCGGATACGATCGAGCTATCGGAAAAACGGCGGCTTTTGTAAAAACGAGGAGCGCAACGGGGAATATAGGCGGGATGGCCTATTCTACCTGCTTTCACACCTTTCGACCTCATCAATATTTCGCTGCTCCAAAATCGTAATTGAGTCCGAAAACACACACAAGCCATCCGGCTGGTCCCCTCATCAATCCCCCCTCTCGCGGCGGCAGGTGCACGACGGAATTCGGGGCCAAAACTGATTTTTTTCTGGGCGGGTTTTTGGTGGAAAACGCAAGAGGGGAGGGGGGTTGGCAGATGTATTTCAGGTGGCCCTTACAATAGGTGCAAAACAGGGATGATGGTCTATTTTTGGGGCTGAAAAAAAAAGTTTCGAATCTATGGGCCGGAGTAGCGACAGATTCAAATCGGGTGAAAGAGTGGTCAAGAAATTTTTCTCCAGGAATTTTTAGAAGACTAACTGAATTTAACCAAAATCATTTCCAACTATGCTTTAACCGTTGTGACGTATTCAATCAGTTGAAAGCGTGGGGGAGCCCAAAATCCAAGCGGCTGCAGTAGTCCCAACATAACCTTTTCCAAGCAACGCGTCCACCCTTCCGCAAACCATCTTCCGCAGCAAAAACGGTTGTTTTCATATGTGGGTTCTGTGGGTAATTCAGACGCTAGGGTGAGGAGAGGAGGGTGTGGATTATTCACCCGACGACTGGGTACCGGTCGGGACCCTTTTGTCCTTTTCGGGACACATTCCCGACCAAAGCAAAAAATGGGTGAATGCTATGCAGATGCTGTGGGGGAAGGATCGTTTAGCTAGGGAGGAGGGTTAGGAGGATTGGTACGGATTAGAGGCTGTAGGAAAATTAAGGAAGCGCTGGGCCTAGGTTCTAGGCTTAGGTTTGAGGCTTAGGATTAGGCTTACACTTACGCTTATGCTTTGGTTTAGGTTTAGATTAGGCTTAGGCTCAGGCTTAGGCGTAGCTTGGGCTTAGGCTTTGACCTAGGCTTAGGTGGCTTGTGTTTTGACTTAGACTTAGGCTAAGCTCAGCCTTATGCACGAGGATCATCTTGTTTTAATTTGTTGAGCATCACCTTCGACCTTCATCCCCCTCCAATAATCCCAGGATTTTAACGACGGCTTACTCCTTTTAATTGGGTCTATATCGGTGGGGGGCTGGCTGGCTGCAGTGAGCCTGACTGACTGACGACTGTTGGCTGAGTCGACCTTTTGGCAGATTAGTGCTCGCGTGCGCCCAATTTAGCTGCGCACAGATCGTATCTCGGGTTCGAGCGGGGGGGGAGGATGGGTGGAATAGGGGATGTCCACCATCCGGGCATACTACTCCCTCGGGCCATTTTTTACGAATCTGCACATAAAGATTTGGATAGCGTTGACAAAGTGTGGAGGACGATTCGTTTCCCGGATTGGTGGAAATGGTGGAAAAAATCGTGAATATTCGTTTTTTATAAGTTTTTGATACTTTTATGAGTTCGAATTAGCTTTTGGTAATGTTTTCACCACTTTTTCTAAAATTTGCTTAAACGACGGTGAGGGAAAAGGTTGCAATATAATGTCTTTATTAACAACTCTTTTAATTCTAGGAATGGGGTTGATTTTTAAGCTTTAGAACGATCTTAATTAGCATCCATAAACAGCATTCGGCGAATTGAAATTTCGCGCAATGTATGATATAAGAAACAACGCGACAAATCCCCTACATAGAGTCAAGAATAAAACCAATAAGCCTCGGAAAAAATTAAAGGCAAGAAAAATTAAAGTACGTCGTGCAGTGCATACTTCCAGTAGAGACCCAGCTAGAACTACCAGTTCAGTTTCAGTCCAAGTTAGTCCATCCATTCAAAACTCGTCCTTCCCATGGTCTCCCGCCCAAATAGGTGTTGTTGCATTCATTGAACGCGACGGGGGGAGGGGTCGCTGATAGTCAGC